GGCTCGGGCTCACCGGAGCCGGCTCGGGCTCAATGGGGCCGGCTCGAGCTCGCCGGGGCCGGCTTGGGCTCGCCGGGGCCGGCTTGGGCTCACCAGGGCCGCCCCAGGCTCGCTGGGCATGGTTCGGGCTCGGGCTTGGGCTTGGGCTCGCGCGGGTGCCACTGAACTCGCACGGGGCCCGTCGAGCTCGCACGGAGCCGGGCTCACACAAGGCCGGGCTCGCACGCAGCTGAGCTTGCACGGGGCCGGGCTTCCACGAAGCCCGTCTGGCTCCCGCGGTGCCCCCTCGGCTCGCACGGGGCCAGCTGGACTCGCATGGAGCCACGCTCGCATGGGGCCCACTTGGCTCGCAGGGGGCCTGCTGAGCTCGCACGGGGCTGGGCTCGAAGGAACAGGGCTGGGCTCACACGGGGCCGGCTGGGCTCACACGGAGCCGGCGGGGCCGGGTTCGCTCGGGTCCGGGCTCGCGCGGGGACAAGCTCGCACGGGGCCCGCCTCAACTGGCACGGGCGGGGCTGGGCTCGCACGGGGCTGGGCTCACACGGGGCCGGCCCAGGCTCGCACGGAGCCGGCGATGCCGGCTGGGCTCGCACGGGGCGGGGCACGTTATGGCCCAGGCTCGCACAGGGCCGAGCTCGCACGGAGCTGGGCCCGCACGGGGCCGGGCCCGCAAGGGCAAGGGGCCGCGCTCGCGAGGCCGGGCTCGGGCTCGGGTTCGCGAGGCTGAGTTGTCCTAAGCATGCAAGACGGGGCCGAATCCATCGGGCTCGCGGCTGAAGCAGCAGCGGCGAGCTCTCTCGGGTTCGTGGCCTGGCTTGCTACTCTGGCGGGCTGAGCCAGGTATGGGCTCGCTTTACTGTTCACGCGTAAAGGCTTTCACATCATAAAAAAACGCAACAGCGACGAAGGACAGCGCTCACTCTTATTCTCGTCCACGTTCGACGTTGCAACTCTTTGAGCCTTTCCAGCTGCTTGAGTGTTTTCCTTCTCTCTTTCTCGTTTTCAAAATAGTCAAGGAAGCTAAAAAAATCGCGCTGCAGTAAGGAGGAACTTCCTAGCCCACTATATTTGCCACGTGGGGTCCAGAGGAGCAACTTCCCTAGTAATTATAAGTCTATAGAGAGCCATAAGCTAAGTGATAGAGGTTTAAAATATTAAGGAAGATGCTACAGCCCATGGCGTCCCACCCCCAGCTCCGGGCGGGGAGCGAAAAGGGGGTGGGTGCTCGCACCACAAGGAGACCGCCGTGCTAATAGTGACCATGGGTACCGGTTCACCACTACTTGCTCTCCTCGAGGTCGCATCCAAAGAAGCTGGCCACGTGAGTGGCCGGCCACAACCCTAGGAATAAGTAGGTTGAGAATAACTAAAATACACATAGTGAAGACAGTAGAAGTCTAGTACGGACAGGCAAGGCAGGTGACAAGAGAAACGCGTCTCTCACACTCCCCTCACGTCAGGTGTGGGTATCTAGAACGAGCGAAGACGACCTGTATATACCAAAGCTACGAGCGATCATGAAAGCGAGTAACGGAATTACGCAAGGATCGCGTCAACGAAAGTGCACCTTGGATGAAAATCGTATTTAGACTTTTTTTGCTCTCTACGGCTGGTCGATCCGTTCTCTGGTATTTCTTCCCGCGCTAAAAACATGAATTTTGATTTTCACTTTGCAGTGAGCATCGTTTCCCCTGACCAGACTTATAGTATTTTTGAACACCCCACTGTCATTTCCGTTGCGACACCAGAGATGAAGGGGCAGTCGCACTAACACGAATGTTTATCACGCTTTCGTCCATTTCTGTGTCACAGAGCGTCACAAGGTCGGTGTTTCATGCCGCCTGCTCTCCAAGAAAATCTATCATCATGTGTGAACAGCAGAAGTGCGAATAAACGCAAGTGATATTTCTAAAAAGGGAGTCTGACAGAAAAGAGGTGTGCGTGTGTCGCTGCGAAAAGCTGTCACCTACACGGGAAGTATCAGTCGAAATACGGTCATGCGTTAACAATTATACAGGGGCGTAAGTACAATCAGAAACCTGGGAGTACGAAGAGTCCATACTATGAAAGAACATGAGGGTTACAATGACATATAGAAGAAGTGAAGTCATGTTTCTTTAGACGATCCATGAACAATATGAATCCATTTCACACTAAATAATCATATCGATCCACAGAAAAAAAAACATCAGCATGCAGTGAATCAGTGAATGACTGAATTCGGCTACAGCGCATCTCGCGTTAAGAATGTGAAGAAGAAACTCGTCTACTAGAGCATGGGGGACACAGCGGATAAGTATATTATAAAAAATTGGGAAAGTACTGGGGGCTCGCTCTTCTGGTAGGCGAGTCAAATAATCGTGAGAATCCAGAAGTGATGTTCACATTTTTCTAAACACCATGAGGGACTCTCGAAACCAGAACAGGGTAATCGCTCTCTGCCGAAATGCCTCCGAAATGCTTTCCTCGTAAGCAAACCCCCTCTTCAACATCTCCGCTTGCACCCACGTATTCGACTGTAGATTGACATGACCCCAACCTTCTTGTCCAGGTATGCCCCAAGATAGGATGATCCCAACGCGAGCAAGCCGTACGAGATTCGAAAAGGAAGTTAGAAGTTGCTGTGGACGTAAGTGGATGCTATGATCATGTCCAGTAGTGCCAGGTGTACTCAGTATATATCGCGAAAAACTGTAGGAGCAGATCCCCGCGACTCACTGCAAGGAATCTAGTGGCGCCACATTGTAGACGGTGGTGGTGGTAGAAAGATATCTAGCTTCAGTGTATGCACCCAGATGGCTTCAGTGTATACACCCAGAAAGGGGCCTAGCTTCAGTGTATGCACCCAGATGGCTAGTTTCAGTCTTTACATCAACATCAAGGTGTCTAGTTTCAGTCTTTTGACACTCGTGTAGCTACAGGATGTAATGTAGTCCTTTTTCAGTCTACCCACTGGAACTCTACTTGCTTCTTGGAGAGAATCTTCATCCAATCTGCGTGTTTGTGATAATTGCAGTTCTATCTGGAAACCAAAGCTATAACTTCTTAAGTAGATAATTTCATAATCTGTAGTCATATAAACCAGAGGCTTCTAAAAATCATCGGCTGCTGATTCGAAGAAAACTGTTGCTAGGATGGACTAATATGAGTAAACCGGAGTATCACTTCGAGCAGCCTTAAATATGCTTCACTTGGAGCACCCTTGGGAATGTGCTCACCCACCTCCAACGAAACAACCCAGTCGAAAGTAGTCGGCATGGATGCTGAAGATGCCTTTATGTCGTCGACGCCACCATTCCCTTTCATTGCTGCAATAAAATATGGTCCGCCGGATTCACCCTTAGAGGTACGAAGAAACTACTGTGTCTTGGAACTTCAACATCTTTCAGCAATGTTGACTCTCTCTACAAAAAGATACGCAAAAGGTTCATGCGCCAAACGATTAGCCATAATTCTCTAGAAAAAGCTAGCCAAACGGCTCGTCGTGCTCGGTCCAAAAGATGAATTATTAGTTTACAGTTACAGTGGCCTTAACAGGTTCTATCACTTTCTGCTCCTGCTGCCTTCCGCCTTCGACCATGTGACCAGGGTCAAGGCTGTTCTCCTTGTCGCCGCTGCGGCCTGTCACTAACCGCTCATGGAGGAGCCTCCGCAAAGCCAGCCCTTTGTCGTAGTCTGCTTGTTGTTTCTCGTGGTTGTCGAAATGTTCTGCCAGATTCAGGAAATAATTGGAAGACCACCCTGAGGTTATACAAAGAAGATATCGACTACTTTGGCATCTAAAGATAGGAGGGCAAGTAATTGTACCGAAAAAAACCTATCAACTTGCAACGCATTTTCGACTAGAGATCGAGATGTTTTTCTCTTGAACACCTCTTCTCGTACGTAGTTGTCGAGTAGTTCTTCTCCCTCTTTGGAAATCGACCACCTAGAGATGTTTTTCTCTTGATCATGTCATCAACACTCATGTTCGCCACTTGCAGTTTCCCTTTCACAAACAGACAAAGTCAGAGATGCGTGGTGTAACACAAACTAAGGTCTTCGTCGAACTGCGGGCTTTCATGTGCCATAAAATGAACGAGTTTGAACATCTCCGGTCCGCAGATCCCCTTGTCTCGATTCAGCTCATTAACGCCTACAAGCTCGCTTCCAAAAATCTGTCCTTCCAAAGTAACCACCGGCTTCAACCGTACACGCACCACTAAGTCGTCGTCGATGGGATTACTATTCATCAAAGGTCGTGTTAGAGTCAGTGTATACTTTCTAGAGTACATCTGTGCAGCCACTTGTTCCTCTTCATAAATGCAGCCTTACTTTTCGTCTATTTCATGGGAAAAGATCACGTGCCACTTGTTCATCTCGATGCAGCCTTACTTTCCTCCTATTTCATTGGAAAAGATCACCGAGAAGGTGAGAAAGATGGACAAAACAAGCCGACCATAACTCGTGCACTTTCTTCTCAGCGGTGCTAGAGGATGCGCCTTTCGCGCGTTCGTCATGCAGTCTGCTGTCATTAGAAATGTCAAAACAGCAAATAGCACCTACCAACCATCAAAGAAAATATCAATGGAAGATATTCGCTAGTAGAAACAGAACAATGTAAGAGTTGTATTTGACTATTCGGTTATCGCCAAAAATGTAAATGAATCTCCTTTCCCCATTGAATATTGCTTCTTTTCTCTATCTCGTCGAACGAGATGAACGCGAATACATTCATCAGTATCAGAACTATCACAGAATGAATTCTACCGAGCCGAACTCAAAGCCAACATTTCTTTATAGAGTAAGATTGTGACTACAGAAAGCTAAGCCTTAATGAACTTGTCGTGTCTTTCACTTCCGTGAATTCCATAGGATTTAGCATCTTGCGGTGGCGGTAGTCGGGTTGCTGCGTCACCTCTTCGCATTAAAGCCTGTGCACTACACTTCAGAACATCCTTCAGAACTCAGTACATTCTTGGAACATCCTTTCTTGGCCTTTTTGTTTTTTCTAACTAAGTATAGTCACGATCAAAAACAAGGCCAAGAATGTTAGAAAAGGGTGTAATTATGTCATGGCCCATAATCGAAGAAGTTGGTGTCTTGGCCACCTATGATGGCGGAAGACAGTACAATTCCAACAGTCCGCAAAGAACGTATTATTGTTCCACACGTGTAACTCCTCAAAGCCGTCTCCTTCTTCTCGTTCTTCCTCTCTTTTTGTTCTTACAGCTGCATCTGCTGCGTTCTTTGTGGTGTCATGTTGTCCTCCTACGTCGTTTTTTGGATAATTGCTTCCTCTAACGAATCTGCTTTTTGTCACATAGAAAGCACCTTGCCGAAACGTATCCTCTCTGCGAATGTGGTAGTTGTAGTGCCCACAGCCGCCGCCTAAGTCCGCGATACTCACAGAATACTCCAGGCGTCGCGGACCACCACTTGTGCTACTACTAGAGCCAGTATGGAGACCACCACCTATGCTACCACTGGAACTCGTTCGGAGGGTGGTTTCCTTCCTCTTTTCAGGACTATTAGACCTTGTTGCTAGTTTGGGACAACTGTTAGGTATAATGAATGTAATGTTGGGTGGACTTTACGGTAGTTCATTGTCTTTCTCAGATTTGTGAGACTGAGAGTAGGTAACAAATACCTACGAAAATAACAACATTTAACAAGAATCCACAAGAATAGTAGATCAGTTCAGAAGGATCTTAACATGAGTTTCCCTTTTCGGCAATTTACAGGCTCTATATTCGCCTTGAAACGCGTTTGCCCAGGAGACCGACGCATCACACGAAAGAGCCTTCCGCACAGTTATCGTCTTGATCGAATATTAGAGAGAAAGCTTGAATATCCGTGGTTACAACATACTGGAGGAGGTTACTGTTACAGTAAAATTAATTGCTACTATACATAGAAAGAAGGTGACAAAGACATCAAGCTCCGAGCAAGAGCACTCGTTATTGGTGTTTCTACAAGGGCTAATGAGTATGCCAACCATAAAAATGCGTGATGGAGTTCGCGAGTCCACGCTGTGTCCAATATTGATGCGGCGTGTGCAATGCCTCGTCTACTATAGCTTCTGCATCTAGTTCCTCGGTCTTGATTATGAAGATAGAAAGAATTTGGTGAATATTCTGTTTTCTTGTCTTCTTCTTATACAAAGTTTTTATCTTTTGTCTTTCCCTTTGACGAGCCTTGTTAGGATTTTAAAGTACTAGTGTTTTTTTCATGCGAAAATGCTTAAGTATGTCATTTTCGCCCTTTCAGGCAGCATTTCATTCATAACATTCGTCCTCGAGGATGAGGATGTGGTTCCTAAGCGTATCGATCCACGATTGCCAGCACTCTTTGTCACACGTCTCTGATAACTCTTCACCAACTCCTCCGCATGGAGGTCTGTGGGCTGCTGAGTCGCTGTCGCAGTCGCTGCACAGACAACAGCACACGTGATGAAACAGTTGCCAAGTCGCACAAAAGATGAACGATGGGAATAGGAATAGCTCTTTCTGCCTCGTTCTTCATGTTGTATTTTCACACGTGGCGCCATGTTCCAACGATGAGGATGTCATTGAAGAAGGTCTTGTTAGTTGAATCCGTGTGAAGATCGTCTACTTGAGTCACTCACTCACCAGTCAAATTTATTCAACCTACTAGAAGAGCCAGACTCGTCCTGCTCCACTGCTGTACACTCCACTCATGGGCCACGGGTTATCAGATAATTCTCTCCCGTCCCTCGTGGACCGCTCACTAGTCACTCTCCATTTACTACTGAGAGTCTCTCACTACTCAGTGCTCCTCTCCTGACGCTCTCTCTTGGATGCGCTCGCTGTACAACTCTGTCTGATTCACGTCTGAAAACATTCATCAGTCCCTGATGCAAGCAGCCACGTGAGAGTTTGCATTTTATTCACCATGGTACCTTTAACGTTTCGCAAGCTCCAGAAAAAACGATAGATTTAAGGGATCACAAGCCTTAAAATTCTTTTGCAACGAATTATGTATGTAAACAAGTCACCGTGTTCTGTTCGTTTTGACTTCCTTGGAAACAAGACAGAGGATGCTCGGGTAAAAAATCAAAATGATCGTTCACTAGATAAAAACTTTCATTGATCGGAGCACATGCATGAGCCTTCGCAGAAATCTCTCACTAGGACAGCTATTTTCTAATTTACCCACTACTAGCTGTACACTTTTTAATCATAGATTTCGATGCTCCATCAGATGCTCAATCGCACTAGCTGTAGTAGAAGTTTTAGATGGATAGTTATACTCTAGAGGTTTTCTTAAATTCTGGATTTATGAAAGGATATGGAAAAGGTTACGGGTCTTTTTCTTTAGAAGAACTAAATGGGCGTGTTGATAGAAGAAGGTCCTATGTTGTAGCCCAGCAAACACATCAACGCCTAGACGCACTTGTGCTTCTGGGGATCTCTCTTTCACTAGATGAAAAAATATGAATGGAAAGAATCATCCTTGAGTGCGTAGTAGATGAAAAGATCTTATTGCAGCGAGGTAAACTTCACAGGAAGGAAATAGTTATCTTGAAGCCAGTAGCCATCGTGAATCTACAGGCATTACGACGAGGGAAATTTTTCTTACACTCAAGTAGGAGAGGACGCATACGTGTGAATGAATAAAAGCCGTACTACCGAACTTCAAGTGCGCATTACTTAGACCTTGACCTTCATGTTGCGTCTCTCAGGGGTACTAGTATTTTTTGACACTTATACATAATAATGTTCTATCAGGCTACATGATCAAGTAGAGGCAGATCAAAGTCCTATGCAAAGTCTTCGACTAGTTTCCATTTTGTTTCTAAGTGTTTTCTGATGATATGAAACTCAGCTCGGTGTCCGTCCTCAGTCGGGCCTTTGTTAGAGCTACCGCACTGGCATCCTTGGAAGCATCGTCCTTGGCGTCTTTTTCCCTTAGAAAAATGGCCAAGGACGAGGTTGAGGATGCTTTAGCGGTAGCCTTAACTTTGAGTAGACGACGATAGAATAGCGATATCTGTTCTTCGATGCGTAACGCATTATGAGCTCCCTGAGTCCATACAAGCTCGTACGAAAAGCGAACGTAGGTGACGGCGTTTTCTTCCTGACGTTCTTTGGTGGAAGGAATGATCTTCGTCTTTTTAGAAGAACAAGACCTTTTGGTCAAAATGATCAGGTTCCTTTGTGGAATTATGTGGTCTTGCATATGACCTGAGGCCACTAGTACTAGAATGTTATGATTTTCTATTTCAAAGAGTTCTTGTTTGTCGCACTGGGAATAGGAGGAACAAGGTAAGATTGAGGCATCCAACAAAGGATATTGACACACACGATTAGTCAATATCAATCCAAGCAATCTAAAAATGCTGAAGACATAATTGAATAAAAAAGACATGGACCACATCATAATTCTTCCATCGTCGAAGCCAGCTTGAAGCATCCCGTTTGAAAATATCCCGTCGACGGTGTGCATCCCGTCCGCTCCTCCTACTTTAGCATCGACTCTTTGCAAACTTTTTCGTATCAACCATAAACCTGCGAAATTTGAGGGACCGCCAGGAACCTTCTGTACCCAAGGATTATATCGCAGTTCTGTATACGGCAACAATTCCTTCCTGGAGGATGGAAAGATATGTAAATCGTCAAATTAGAGGTACCGACAACCCACCTTTCAGAACATCTTTTGCCCAGTCATGTCTTCTTTTGTTGCTGAGTCTTTCGAGTAGAGAAAGGCCAAAATCAAAGTCCGTTTTTTGATTTTCTGTTGGCCGTAATCAAAGTCCGCGTCGAGAGCAGACGGTAAAATGCGTATTCCAGCTACAGGATCCATCGTCTGGCGACCGCGGCCACTTATACGTCGTTGTCTGTCGTCCTGCTCGTCACTTACAAGCTCCTTTGCGCGCAATAACTGCGAACCAGATATAGTCCACAATGGCCGGAAAGTGACTCCAGAGGATGACGAACTCATGCTGGTGGCAGAAATAATGCCAGTAGTGCCACTACTTCTGGAGGTTTTAGATGTTCTATCGGCTTTGGCGACATGAGAACGGGTCGCATTAGAAGTGGAACCAGTTTGTGATTTTGATTTTCGGCTTGCTCCAAGTCCGCGAGGATCTATTTCAACACTTCTTCCTGTAAGTGCCTCCATGTCAGCAATCAACTGAGCCTCCCGGTCAACTGCAAAAACGCACGAAAAGCGGACTCCATTCGTGAACTTTTGTGCCAAGCCAATCACCTTGCCAGAAGAATGGAGCATTTGCTGCTGCGACACTGCATTTCCACGTAATTCCTCTGCGAATATGGCGTAGTCAGCGGTGTCTTCATTATCGCTCTGAAACCGCTCCCGGTCAGCCGATGCGACCAGAGCAGCCGCCAAGGTACCGTCCTCACTACCAACTCTTCGATTGTCGTCAACGTCTGCGGTTCTTGTGTAAGGCCTCACATCAATCACAATCGGACGAGCCACGTGTTCTGCATTCGACGACGATGCAGAAGATCTCCCACTTAGTGTCCGAAAAAGCAGCCTGCCAGTGGTGGACGATACCGCTGATAATTTTCCACTCTATTAGAACTCTCAATCAGTCAATTATAACTGTTAAATTCATTTTCTGAGAATCCCAAGATGGAAACGGATTCAGAGAAGACAGAAGAGTGATCTAGTGTCGAAGTGACTCACTGGTGGTGCGAGGCTTAACTTGATACACTCCTCTGTTGTAGCTGTTCTCCTTGCAGACTATTTTTGTTCGAGACAGAAGACAGCGAAGGATCGCCGGAAGAACTGGGGTCCCGCCGTTGATATGAGCCATCGTGGTCGGAATTCCTTTTTTGTCTAGGAGGAGCATAAGAACCCGCTGAAGATGACGCAGATCTTGAGCCTAATCTAGGAGTCTTTCTATCGTACTCCTCTTCTTCGTGAGAGGGTGCAGAAGATGCTGAAAGCTTGAGTCCTTGTGCGAAGCGTTTAATTAGGTCTCCGTACTCTCCCAAAACTGAACCCTCGTCCGTGCCACTTGGCGCTGGTGGCGTATGAACGGCCTCGGCCATAGAAGCCCTCTGTGCACAATTACAACTCTGCTCCAGCATTGTTTTTGTTCTTTTATCTCGACGTTGATCCAGCTCCCACACTTCCTTCTTCAATTTGGTGAATATCGCGGTAAACTCGGCTTTCTCCGCTGCTTGGGCCAAACTTTCGCGGTAGGCTGGAATACCATAATCCCCAGACTCCCAAAAAACAATGTACCGGAAACTAACACGTGTCGGAACTCGACTCTCGTCTCGATGTAAAAGCACAGGCGCTGGTGCAACTGTGTACAACCGCAAGGAACGCCACACAGCACGATTTGCGGGCTTTGTTGATGTTGCAAATGGTGTGGAAGCTGGTTGGTCACTATTGCGATTATGCCCATCCTGTGCCTGCTGCTCTTGTCGTGACCTCGCACAGCTTGAAGCACCGCTAGAAGATCTCAACATGATCGAGGATGATGACAGGCCCTCCATGCAGGATAGATTTTTCGTTTCGCGTTGCTGGGCGGAACCAGAAGAACCACTACACTCTTGCCTCAGTGGTATCTTTGCAGTTGATGAACAGGGACGACTACCACCACCGTGTCCATGGCCGCGGCCTCTAGAAGAATCAGGAGAACTACTACCTCCCACACTGCCGCACGCTAAGCACGAACTGACGAAAAAGCTCTTGTTCAGATTGATGTCGGTAGCCCTTGATGACGTTTCGCCTTTTTCTGCAGCACTTCGAAAGAGACGTTTTCCAAAAATTAGAAGTACGCGTGTCTGTGATCATAAATCAGTCCTATCTTCATAAATCCATCGGTAAGGAGACGCGCCTTTGTGCCTCTTTTCGGTTGAAAAAGGTCGTAAAGTAGCTCACGATGGTGCTTGGAAGGAAAGATCAAGTAGATGCGAAACGAGGGAGCGGCTTTTTGTCTATTGCCTTGAAGCGGCCTTAACAACAAGCGGAAGCTCAAATGTGATCTCACTTCGGTCAAAGAATCTCCACTAAAAAAGTGCTCATCTCGAAACTCGCTCACTCCAGGAAACATCCCACCGTACTTTTTCTTCATGTAACCCGCCAATGAATTAGAAATATAGTGGGGGTGCAGCTCTCTGCAAGACGCAAACGTTGAAATCATATTGCAAGTACTTACTCCATTTTGTTAGAAGATGTGGCCAAGCTGTGGAAGAATCAACCTAAATGTGAAAACAAAATCCCGAAACCCGTAAACAAACGCGTGGCCGGTGTCGGTGCACGTGCCTCTTCGACGACTACAGTGCTGCCATCGGCTGTTGTAGCAAACGACGGCGCTGAAGATGAAGGACAAACTTCGCGACAGGCGTCTGGTCTCGACTTCGTGGTGTTCGAATGTAAAGCGAACAAAGGGTCATTGCCATTTGCATTTCCTGCTCCTAATGCTCTACAACTGCTCTGTAAAAGTTGTGACGAGCAGCATCGCTCTTGTACTGACATGATAGGAAGTCGAAGGCCAGCACCAAGAGTCGCCGAAGAACTAGAGGATGAAGCAGCATGACCGGCGACTGTAGGCGGAGAAGAGCTAAAGCCGAGGCCTGCACCCGTGTCCTCGTCACCGTTGTCTTCAAGCTCAGCAAAGCCTCGGTTAGCACTGCGTATGGGTGTGCGGTGTTCTTGTCCATCAATTTCATTTTCATCTTCTGGAACATCAGTCCGACTTCCATGCTCTCCTATTTTCCCAGCAAAATGCTGCCACAACTCCTCTATCCCGTCGGCGTGCGACAAAGCTCCGCTATCTGAGTACGCGTGTGCGGTCCATTCGAAGCCCCGACCGCGAGCAAGCGAAGTCTCTGCCCTCACTAGCCATTCTTCAGCTGCCACCTTCGCTACGCGACGAGCAGCAATGTTGTGTCTGCGTTGCTGCTCTCTTTGTAACCGAAGTTCCCTTTCTGGACTGGATAAAGAGCGCCGCCGACGTCGACAACAACCAAGAACTAGACCAGAGGTTTTCTTGGTGCGTGTTGTTCTTCTAGAACAAGAAGATGGTGGCTCACTGTCACCATACAGGAGCTGGTCCACTCCGTAATTTTCTTCATCCACGGCAAGAAATTCCTCGTCAAAAGGATCGGGTGAAGCGGGCGGCCATTCGACTAGGTCATGGTCACCTCCGGTCACCGCGAGTGCTTGAGACTTCCTATCACCTCTTTTTCCGAAAACTGATGACGATTTTTCTACCGAGCTGCGGGACAAGAGGCAGACCAGATACCAAAGGATGCTGGTTTTGCAGCGCGTTCGCATCATTTTGGTCATGTGTTGCAGATGAATAAAGCTGTTTCAGACTGACATGAACAAGAGGTGCACATCTTCTTTATAATTTCGAAAATCACTATAATCCTATCTTCTATGATGAATCGTAGTACTTCCATGATTTCATCAAAATCCAAAGTTTGATTTCCTGAATGCAGCTATCAACTACAGCTAGAACTAACAGTCTAAAGCAAAATCCGTACTCCTCCAAGTAGCTATTCACTCACCTCCTTACTGCGATCTTCCTGAGCGACGCAACCATTTGATGCTGGCTCGGATAACATCTAATTCTACTCACAAAGACACAATTTAAGCCATAAACTCTCCAGATCGCTCGCGTCTTCCCTCGTCCAGAACGATCACTACCGAGGTCCATGATGAACAGAACTACTTGCAATACTCCTACGCCTTCCTCATCCAGGATGAGAGATGAATACCACCTGAGTGTCAATTTCCTTGATGCGCGCAGCATACTATGCGCGCAGCATACTTGCTGCGCTGCATTAGTACGTGCTTCACTACGAGACGTCTTAGCACAACCTCCATTCTCATAGGACATCTATCATAGTTTCATGAGTACGCAAAGGAAAGTCTCATCCTCTTACATCACCCACCTCCGCTTCCACCTACCAAACTTTGCCGCAACAAGAGCATTACATCACTCATATTTGCTTTGAGAGATAGGTCTCTTTTCAAATCTTTCACCAATGTCAGATTGGATTTCAATGCCAATGCAGTGTTTACATTGTCAATGTCGGCCTTATCTCTTAGCGCTTCTACAATCTGGTCGCTGAATTTGTGAAATCGGCCTTGCAGGTCCCGAAGATCCGCGTTCAAGATTTCGCCATCCCGTCTTGAGAGCACTTTCGATTTCAGAGTTCGCAAAATCCGCTCTTGCTGTTTTTGTAAGTCGCTAAAATGGCCTGGAGAAGCCTTTTGTTGATTTTCATTTTCGCAGAGTTCATGTCCAACTACATTCTGAACGTCCACTTGCTGCTCAGCTGTCTCTTCTTTTTTTCGAGCCTGTTTGATATCGTCCTTTTTCCTTGTTTCCTCTGAGAATGTAGGATGAGACTTCTTCATTTTCTTGAAGATCATCACCGGACTGGAGTCGTCATTGTCACCCTCATGTTCTTGTACTACAGTACCTGGTACTTGAAAATTGTTACTAGAAGTCGGGTCATAGGACCCACGTGCGGTTTTTTCTAGATCTAGCACAGCCCGTTCCAGCACTTCAAGCCTCTCAGCCATCACTGCACCCTCATTCGGGGATCTTCCTCGTCCTACATGCTCTCGTAGAGCTCCTCCACTTCCTTCGCCTTCTCCACTTGTTCCTCTCACTAGACCTCCGCCATGTCGTTCATCCTCTTGTATTGAAGTCGGAGGCTTGATGCCTACCGTAGACGTAGCTTCATCAAGCGCCAAATCAAGCATGTCCGGTGATATCTGAGATCTACCCTTATTATAAACATGATCGTCACAGATAATACCTTTCGAAGACAAATTATTGTTAGTACCTTGTTCTACAGCTAGTAGGAGAGGTGTCGATGTTGAAGATTCTGGTGCTGTATGATTTTTTCCCTGCTGGAGGTTGCTAGTACAACTATTTGATGTTAGGCATGGAGACGCTTGTAGATTCGACGTTCTAATGTAATCAGCAGTTACGCCAGCCGAGTCAGCACAAGAATGACCATCTGCTGCCGCAATCGAGGATAGTGCACCTTCTTCGAGATTGTGAACTGCCCTAGCATCGACTTTATCTGCCGCTCGTCTACTATTGTCAGAAGTACGAAATGCTCTATCAGCCTCTTCTGTTCGTTGTTGTTCTAACGTCGTTAGCCTAGCTTGCATTTCTTTCAATTGTTGTTGTAGCTGATCTAGATGTCGCACAACCAAGCGAAAGTCACCCCAAACAAACTGCTCGAACCGCTCCTCCTCCAAGTATCGCGGTCGCTTCTTCCACGTGGCTTTCGTATTAGCAGCAGCAGTCATGATAGGAGACTTCGGACTACTGACCGATCGAAGAGCCGGATTTGTCGACAAATGAGCTCCTCCGGAATATGTTAATGAAGAAGGAGGCACTTGTTTTACTGACCACTGTTGAAGAACGGCATTAGTAGGACTTGTCGTTGATGTGTTAAACAACTTGGTCTTGGTGTTGGCTGCATTGATGTGCCCTGTTGGACTACCAATGGTGAAGGAATTGGTGCTGTAATGCGGGTGACTGGAAGAAGATGCAGAAGGCGTCGGCCCTGCCACACTCCGCGGACGACTGCGCGTCGCACCAAAAGAAGGCATTCTATTTTTCGTTGTGGTAACCAAAACAATGACTCAAACTTAAGAAGTGAGAGTGACTGACAATAGATTCTTTCACACCTTAATAAAACAAACACACAAAGCTTGACCAACCAATCTTCTGGCGATCTTTTTCCCTTTTGCATGTGCGCTACAGATGCTAAGGTATTTTTTCTAATTGCCTGTCTGTCTGGCGTGCTGTCATCGTCGTGTGGACATAGGCCTACACAACTTCACAAGCTCCACGAACACGAGTTTTACGCAATCTGCTCTATTCCTTACTTCGTTGTAGTCAACTTGAAGATGCGCTCAGAAAACTGTGATTCGTGGAAATATGTAAGCAAGTTGTAGATGAAAATCACACACCGCCCAAATCCGTGAACCCTGCTCCACGCGGATCACGCTTATGTTTTTGTTGAGCATCTGGTGCATACTGTTTCAACCTTGAAACCCCCCATGCACCACCCTTGATTACCTGATGAGGATTGTGCCCACCTTGAAACAGTGGTGCCTTGACCCTCCTCTGCCTCTTATTCTGTTTCCGCAGTCCACCAGCGCGCTCATTCTCCGCGATAATTTCCCCAAGCTCGATTTCATCTTGCTCGTCTTGCAGCTCGTCTAATTGTAGTTGCAGATCTTCATCAAATACATCTTGTTCACCAAGAGCATCCTGCTCATCCCGTTCTACTCCAGCACTGGGGCTCTGAAGAAGCTTCGTCACATCTAGGTCTTCCTGGTCGTCGCCGTTACCGTCTTCATGCTTAAAAATTGCAGGTGTTCCTTCATCATTTACATCAGCATCCCCGATTTCACGTGGCGTCTTAAACCCGCTTGAAGCAACAGCACTCGCGAAACTCATTCTCGCATTGTTGTGTTCCTCCCCAGCATGGGGTGAGGGCAGCTCGACGCCAGCCGCACGACCTAGGATATTCGGCAATACTCGACTTGCCTGCCGCGCTCTTTGGTCTGCTAATTTTCGCTTCACGTCTCGAAAATACTCTGCTTGCTCGGTCGGCGTAAAGCGTTCGAGTTCTGGCAAACTGCTCCCCAAAAGTCGCTTGCTGCGCTGTGCGTCTGACATGAGACGAGATATATCAGCTTGCGAAGACAAACGGACAACTGCAGTGGAGGTTTTATTGCGTTTTTCATCTTTATTTTCCACGACCCTGTGGTCTTCTGGAGGTTCTGGATCTGGCAAGGTCAAAATATCCACATTCCAAACGACCACCGCATGTTCGCACCATTGCCTGATTGACAGCACGGTCTGAGGGTCGCTGCTCAAAAAACGAACGCGCACTAGGACGACTTCAGCATCTGGTGATGAGGGCATGGCCGTCGTTGCCGTTCTCGAAGACCACGATGAAGCTGCTACCTTCGATTTGGAATCATGATTCTGGTTCTTCCCATTTTGCAGCCTCTTGTATTCCTGTCGCAGTTGCGAAAGCTCTTCGACATGTAGGACCCTTAGAGCCTTGCCGTCCCTTCGAACCGGCCATGTTGGCGGCCACCGACCACTGAGGGCTTTGCGAGCCAGGACTGCCATTTCTACTGTGAGAAACTCCGCGAAAAAATATCCACAAGGAGTCTGCAATCGTGGATGTCGTGGCTGAACAATCAGTTGAGGGATTGAACTGCGCTCACACATCTCAAACAACGTGGACTTACCATTGAGCAGCCAACTCTTTGGTAATGTAGGCGTTGAAGAGGTGGACGACGAGGAAGAGGAAGTAGAGGAAGAGGAGCCGCTACTACTTTTTGTTTGTGCTAGAAGTTCTTGTTCTCCTTTCCTCATAGCCACCTGCTTCTGTGCTCCGCCAACTTCTGCTTTGCTTTCAGGAGAAGCTGCTTGGGCTCCTCCGGCTTTTCCCTCTGCTAGCTTCTCCTTTATGCATTCCCGCAAGAGCCGCTGAGGTTCACCACTCTAATTAGCGGTCTCACCAGACGTGGAGAAACTACTTACTTTCTCTTTCTCACCAGACGTGGAGAAACTGAAACTACTTACTTTCTTATGAAAGAAGAAGTGGAACAATGAATTGAATTTGAATTGTATTGATTTGTCAGATCAACCGAAGAGTAAGAACGTATTTAAGTCTATGGAAAGAAACGATAAAAAAGAAAACCAACAACAACCAAAATGAACTTTAGTCATAACAAAAGCCTTGTGCGCAAGCTTGTATTGGTCGTGGTCTCGTTCCCGTTGTACCAGAAAAGCCAAACCTAGTAGTAAAGGTGCCAAGTCCATTGTCGCTGGCGCATTTTCGATGTATAAGGTCCGTGCTTGCGCTTCCAAGCGACCCCCCGGGGTTGTCCTTGGCAGAGCTGCCGTGACACGACGGGTCCACAACTGCTTTCTTGTGTCTTCTTGTTTAGCTGCATTGCTTTGAACAGCCACAGTACCGAAAAGAGAGGCTGTGGAGGAAGAGGAGGCAGCAGGCTGTACAATGGACGGATGAGCAGGTGCAGGCGGTGGTCCTTTTCCTTGACCTTGCGCTATAATATCTACTACATCTGTACCAGTACTAGAAGATGAATTCTGCAGAAGTTCTCCTGCTCCCTTTGACATTCGAACGACTTGTTGTGGCAATGGTGGAGGTTTTTGCAGCCCTTGAAACGCTGTCGTCCGATAAATGCGACCACGCAGAAGGATTAAGACGTGCGACTTTTTCAAAGCCTGACAAATCTGCTCAGGATGATAGACGCCCAAGCTGCGCATAAAACTTTGGCGCATCAGATTCACAACGTCGACGCCCTTCTGTCTAGACACTTCGGCTCGCACGTTGGGTGAGAGAGACGATTCCTGACAACTGGATACTTTGACCGCACTTCTCAAGGCAGCTACCAAGCGCCGTGTTGTATTGCTCTTCGTCTGGCCAACTGGTTTTGCCGTTGTAGCATTCGATTTCTGATTCTGCTTTTCTCCACCAGCTTCATCATCGAAGTCGATTTTTAGTGACCGTGACGAGGATACGAAAACCTTGTCGTAGTTGTCACCCTTAATATTACTAGCCGGATTTTCCTTCACCTTCAAGCAATCCTCCTCAACATCTTCTGCTGCTAATTTCCTAGCTCGCTTCACACTCGGACCACGTATCTCTTCTTCGGTTGCTTGCAGTTTTGCATCACGTGCTTCCACGACCATCGCGCGACTCTGCGTTCTAAGTAATGTACGCCGTGCATTCGGTTGTTGCGGTCGCAGCCTCGCTGCCTGCTGTTCTTCATCAGAAGACAAATCTGCGTCGGCACTCGGTTTAGCATACTGAAGAGACGAGGGAAGGGCATTTTTGGCTCTTTCAAAAATTTTTGCTTGCTTTTTAGTTGCAAGTGTCCCACCGCCACTGCCGATGAAATCCTCCCTGATGTCCTTCTTTGCTTTGCCAGTAGTCGTAGTGAAGATGCCTTGTTCTAGTTCCCTCTGTCGCCAACGTCGCTTATTATTGTTTCGACATTTCTTCTTATTTTTCTGAGATGCGAGTGGCTGGTCTCTGGTTCTTGGTGCTCCTTGACCACCTGAAATCTTCGAGGCAGCTGCTTCTTCTTGACGGGTATGACATGCACTTGAGGCACTGGCAGTTGCTGCACGTTCTGGAGGACCTGGACCATGTGCCAGCTTCTTCGTCGGCGGCTGTTCCACTTCCCCTTCGGAACCATGCTCCCGTTCTTGTTCATCCTCGCTAGTACGAGGTCGCTTATTTTTGATTTTGGACGAGGCACTCTTGACTCCTGTTGCAGTTTCTCCGAGGCGTGCAAGTTCTACGCGATCTTCACTACCATGATCTGCAATGTTGACTCCCGTAGCTTCTCCGAGTCGTGAAACAAGGGGACCTCTATTATCTTGACCTTCCTTCTGCTTCTTTCCAATCTTCCCAGTCCCAACATGTCGCTCTTCTTCCTCCCGCTCCTGCTTAATAGCCGCCTCTTGATTATCATTCTTCCCACCATCTTCCTCAGCCTCTTGCTGGTAACTCAAGTCTGCTGCGAAACCATGGGCATTGCGTCGTAAATTGCTATCGTTAAAATGGTACTCCAGCACAACGCACAATGTCTCAGCCCAACTTGTCTTCTTGATCAGAGGCCACACCAGTTCCTTCCGCACCCGACGATCGAGAGACATTTTTTTGGTTCATGATTGAAGATTGAAGGTATTATGGTCGTCAGTCTCGTCGTGGGTGGCCGGATTCGTAGTTATTCATCCATACATAGTAGCGATGTATCTCTGTGATGTAAGTATCTCTGTGTAAAAGCAAAAGGTATCTCTGTGTAAAATCAAAATGTAGCAAAGGTCTCAAGGTTTCCGAAAAGGATTCCTTCTACTTGACTTTGACTTTGATAAATACGAGAAAGTGACGATAGACCGAACAGTTGCTGACGCTGCAAACAGAACAACAGCACGTTATATCTCAAACTGAGATCATGTCAAAGCTATAGCGCGTGCGATAGACGTCATGACATCTGCTTTTCGAATTTAACTGTAAGGGCTCGAAAAGATAAGGAATGGAGGAGGTATTTGGAGGAAAGTGGGATTTCTTGCTAGGGGTATTCTGGTTCTTTCTCTTTGGTTAAGGAGAAGATCAATCCTTATTCGCCAGTTCTTGACAGTACAAAGCCAGTTTTTTCAAATAGAATGCCCTACACCTCGTTGGCAAAGCGTCTGCAAGAGTTTTCACTGCTTTCTCTATTGCATTGCAGGCTCTCTGAAAAACTGGATAGTCGTGATTGGCCCACGCGTCTTTCGCCTTGTACAGCCCTGACAAATCTTCAGTGTGGAAGAAAACGTTGATACTCATACCCGCGAAACAGGAAACAGCATCATCGTCATTCCTCCGCCTCTCCTGATCTCCTTCAATACAGCATGACTGCGGATCTTGCAAGTCTTCGATACGCAAGTCTTCTGTGCAATGTGGCCATAGGGCTGGAATCAGCACTGCATCTCCTGGCTCTAGTATCACCTCTACTCTTCGTTCCCAGGATTCGAGAACTTTTCCTCTATCCAGGTTAACGAAAGAAGCACTGCTAGAACTAGAAGAGCGAACCCGAACCCCAGCATTCTTCTGTTCTTCGTGTTCGTCCTTAATCGCGAGACTGCTCATCGCTTCATCCACCAACCTTTCTACATCTGATCTCGATCCACAGCGAAGCAATTGGCACGCAAACACTGAGCTCGACGCTTGCGAATCAAACCCCAATGCGTCCACGCACTCTGAGGGCCACAATAACACGCGTTTTCTTCCAACGACTTGACACAAAACATTGTCGCAGACGTCGTAATGAAGCCAGACTTTTGCACCCGGAGAGCACATCCGCAACACGGTGGAATAACAAGCTTCCGCTTTGGCTTCATTCAACACCTGATCGGGCAAGTTGAAGTCTCCTTCTAGTGCAGGCACAGTATTCCCCAACGTAGCAGCAGCGCGAGTCGCACTAGGAGTAGCACGATAATAGTAATGCTTGGCTCTTCTACAAGAATTTGAGGAAGGAGAAGATAACGAAGATGATTTCTCTGGTGTAGATGAAGCAGAAGTTGTCGGAGGTTCGTTAGGATTCTTCTTGCTGTTGCTCCCAGTGTTCTCCTCCAGCTTTTCCATAGAAGTAGCCGTCGTCTCGGCCGGAATGCTCGCAGTGGACCTCCCGTCCACATTTGCTGCATGTGAACTGTCACATTGTTGACTCAGTGGAATCCCAGCTTCGCTTTCCGGTTGAAAAAACACCTCACTGAATGTCCGCAACACATAGACGAACGCCTTGTGTCTATAATCGAAGGTGGTTGAATCGCTTTCGTGAAACGACGCCTTCACCTCTCCTATCTTTTCCTGTAGGTAAGAGCGGCTATTCCACAGGGACAAGCATGGCCCCAAGTCAAGCTGTCGCCAAACGTGGGGAGCGCCGAGGCCACTCCCAGATGTTGTATTTTCAGCCATTTTTTCTTGTTTTGGTGAGAGCACTCTTGAGAGAGTTGGCGCTATCATGTAGTTGAAAACGGATACTTACAGCGAAAGAAGAACTTTTCCATGCAGCTCATGCTTTTGCTAGTAACATCTATGGTATAGAAGTCACGTACCTACATGAGTCGGTAAATATGAAAATCAGCGTGTCTGTGCCGTGTCGCTTCCTGTATATCATCACAAAAGAACAAAAGTTGAAGTAGAAGTGAACAAACGAGTACTTCTATGAAATAAAAAATGTACTTACAGTTGGCAGATCTCGTCCTGAATCTACTAGTCTCCACCTGACAGATCCCGTCTCGAACATTCTGACATGCAGATCTTCTTTTAAGGTCTTTCACACATTTCGATCTGGTGGTCCGGAAGAGCGTGATCTCTGCTTCTCACAGGATCCCAAGTAGACCCAGCTAGTAACGCGGTCGAACACGTCCTGCGCTGTTCGAAAAGGGTGAGTGTAGAAGTAGAGAGCAGAGTGAGAGACTTGTTGCTTGAATTAAATATACTTATTTAAGGAATGGAGAGATCATTTCGATATTTCTTTCTGTTTATCATCTTCCAGCTTCTACTTCTAGTCGAGCGATGCCTTTATTCTACTTCGCCAAGTGACAGACAAACCCAAAGACAGCTCGTCTTCCGCTCGTCACTTTGCTCATTCCATGCCACACCTTAACCGGATCGAAGATCAACAAGTCTCCACGACCCAGATTCTGCGGATACTTTTCGTTTTTCGCCTTATCCATCACATAAAATTCCCCTCCACTGTAATCCACCCCCTTCCCCTCCGTCAGCATAATAAGCACCTGAAACGGGAAGTAGACAGTCCCAAACAAGTCCCGATGAGGGAAATTCACCCCGCCTTCGCTGTAATAAAGGACTAGGGAACTGGGCCTCTTCTATCCTGCTTTACGACACTGATCGTGGAAGGCAGAAAGCTGGGCTGCTGGGCTTGCACTGGAGCTTGAGATGGACTTTTTGGTTGAGGATGATAGTCCTTTAGGCAGTGCTTCGGCGGGTTTCGCACTTGATGCATCTCTTAACAGACTGTTCTGCTTGTTCACCGAAGTAAAGGGTGATAACGCGGAAAAAAGTGCTGCTCGCAACTCAGCAAGTCGAGAACCCACAGTTGTTGTATCTCCAACAAGAAATGCTTCCTCCTTCATATAATGGTAAATTCCCCTCCCAAAATTATGCTTTTCCAATCGCACTGTGCGGTCACGATTCGCCCCAACACCTGCCCAATCCAAGATCGCTTTCACCTCTGCCACACTGAAAACTCGTGACACCTTCACGGGATTCAAACTAAAGGAGTCGGGTTCGGTGGAAGCAGACGTGTAGTTGCTTTTGGTGGTAGATGAAGAGGACTTTGAAGACGTGGCAGTTTGCATGGTCCCAGATTGAGCACCACCTTCTCCTGCTTTTGTAGTATGATACTTTTCCATCTCCCCAGTGACTTCTTTCACTACTTGCTTTACTCGCACAAACCAATTTTGGAACAGTGCCCTTCTACTAGAAGAGGCATCAGGCTTGTTACCTCTAATATTCTTCAAGTCTTTACCCATAACGGTTAATGCCTCGTCGTCCACTTGCGCTCGTATCGGGACAGGCTTTTCCACGTCCACTCCTTCTTTCGACAAAAGCATTTTCTGCGTTTTCTGTCGTTTTGCAGTGAGGGCAGCTCTTTGTTCCTTATCATCCTTATCATCTCTAGAAGGTCGCGGTCGTTGTAGCAGTTTCACCAAAGGAGTTTTCGCCTCGCCCTTGGTTAGAAGCAAGAGGAGGAGTTGAGTCATTGACAATATCTTTTTGTAAATTATAAAGTTCATCGAAGATTATGCTGGATAGACAGATTATCTCGAAGGAATCGAGATAAATATATCAACTCAACTACCCAGAACTACTTCCATCTTAACTTATATACCACTCTCCACCAGGGAACATCTCTTCGTCCAATGCCAATGTTGTGCGCAACGTTCGAGGCTTTCATCATCCCCCCTTGTCCTTGTCTTTCTGCTTCCTCGGCTACATCTTGAAAACTCCACACTTGCGCTGACGGAATCCGCTTGATGGCGTTTGTAAACGGACATTGCTTCACTTGAGGTACAGTCGTAAGTTTTTTCATCGGAACCGGACGAGCAGGAGCAGAAGAACTCGCCATCTTCTTCATCGAAGAAGACTTGACGGCACTTTTGGCGAGCGACAGAGCCTTCATCGAAATCCTCTCATCTGCGTTTTTCGGCGCCTTTTTAACAGGAACCTTCATCTTCGATGAAGAAGCGAGGCCGATGAATTTCTTCATTTTTTTCTGCGGACAAGAACTTTCCTAAGTAGTAGACAGAGATTAAGAAATAGCGGGACTATCAGAACACGAACGGATCATGGTCCTCTGTGCGAAAAGGATTGAGACCCCAATTATTAAGGGTTCTTCTATTGGCTACAGGTTATCAAACATCTAACCGAAATTTCACAAGTACTCATGTTCAAATAGCACTTGCTGCAGCAATGAATGCGGTAACAAACTGCATACAGGAAAAACATTCTTCATCTCTAAGATTTCAGAATTCACGGGGCTCCCGCTCCTCTTTTTTTTGTAGTCTGGAGCCGCTCCTCACTGTTTCAAAAAATGGGGAGATAAAGATAGCGCAACGATTCTTACAGAAGCATCTGGATTTCCCTCTCACCTTCTCAATTCCGAACATCCATCCTCTGTTCACATCATCTTGCTGCAAAAGTTCCGTCCGTCGTAATGTAGTTCTCAAGAACACGGTCGCCTCGCTTCGTGTTGAGTCTGTCATACCACATCATAGTACTATTGGACGACACTATGATGAACGATGTATCACAAAAGAAATGGAATGAGGTCATCAAAAGAATGACTGATAACAATGAATGAAATGGGATGAGGTCATCAAAAGAATGACTGATATAAGCCAGAGCGAGCATAGCCATAGCACATGAAGAATATGAATGGGATTGGGACCACTACCATTATACACACATTACCCAAAAGAACCATCCACCAAGATTCTACATCTGTATCATACATGAACGAGGAAAAGCTATGGATCGTGCGGAACGTCAAATCTTTGCTCTAAATCAAAGTACAAATACTTGAGTACTCTCTTCAATATCCAGAATTATTTCACAGCACAAATTTCATGTATTTTCTTCTTGTACTCGCAAAAAATGCTGCAGATAAACGACAGTGTTAGCAGTAAGTCTCAGCGTTGTGTCTCTTTGTCAGACCTCTTCTAACAGAATTCGTTTTCGTTCGCATTAGAGCAGCAAGCAGATGCCGGTAATTCTTGACTAGGGTTCTTGGTATTGATGTGGGTACCTTCGAAACCCCTAAACTTCGTTGGTTGCAATTTCGTTTTGAATTTGTCGCCTTATTTCTACAACTACTTCTCATGGTCAACATGATGGCTGCCCCCGCACAGATCCAAGGCACATTCCTCCTGCGGAACGATTTGTGAGACTGAATATGACTTCGGAACTAATATTTGCGCATGCGCATTCGTGTCGAAGAGCTGCCCAGCATTTGGCAGATGATCATGGCTTTTCTGCTCCCTTCTTATCACCCCCTCGATCCAATCATACGTTTCTTTTAAACCAGTCTCGAGCGGCACCGCAGGCTCCCAGCCCAAAATCTCCCGGAGAAGCCTATTATCGGATGTTCGAGCGCGAACGAGGTGTTAGAAATAGAAGGTGAAAACTCTTTCGAGCATAAAAACAAGAAAAACCTTGTTCCCTTCTGAAGTTCATCAACCTACTTTTTCACTTTCATGATCTCTTGTTCAAAAGTGAGGAGCAAAGTATAAACCTATTTTTACAGCAGAGAGAACACCAGGTGACTCGACCTGGTTCAAAACACGAAACTCACAACTACAGCAGCTTGCACGAAGATTATAATAAGAAGATACTAAAGAAGATCAAGTGAGCCTTAACCCTCTGGTCCCTTTTTGCAGGAAATTGTAAGGTCCTTTCCGCTGAAGCTGATCGTCATCTGAGCCAGTTCGCGAAGCGTCACCGGCACCGAGGACCCAAGGTTCACGGGCTGGCCTTGCGCCAAAATCGCATGGTCCGAGTTCATGATGCGGATAGTGCCTTCCACGCAGTCTGAGATGTGCATGAAGGAACGAATCTGGTGTCCGTCACCCCACATTTCAAAGGTTTTAGAGGCGCATATTGCTTTCCTACAACAGGCTGCCGGCGCTTTCTCACGCCCACCTTGCCAGGTACCCCGAGGACCATAGACATTATGATAACGGGCGATCCGCACTGGGAAACCAAAATCGCGGCTGTAGCGCAGCGCCATTTCTTCGGCGTACAGCTTCTCCAGTCCGTACGCCTCTTGAGGCTTCGCTGGCCACGCATCCGTTTCGCGGAGTTCGTACCGCGACGTTGCATCTCGTTGTATGTCCTCGTTGTACACACACGCTGTGGACGCTAAAAAATAGCGCACAACCGGTTCGTCAGGTTGCTCCTGAACTTCTAATGGAAAATCTCTTTGCTCGACGTCCAGGGTTAGGGAATCTTCATCTTGGTCTTTCATGTCGGAGGTTTCCCTGCTTCGATTTTCAAGTCCTCCAACAGAAGCTGATCTCGAAGGGTTCTCGTAGTGGCGATCTTTAGTATATCTATTATTTCGTACCATCGAAAGTTGCCTCGTCGCGTCGAGCATATTTAGGCTGATCCGCGTGTTGTTGTACATCACCCGGCACTGATTCGACTCGATAAAACCCATGCCACCCATGTCGGCTGCAAGGTTGTACACATGGGTGCAGCCCTTCACTGCTGCCAGACAGTTTCGAAGAATGCGCAAGTCCACGAGATGAAACTCGTCGCAAAAGCCCTGTTCAGCCATGAATTCGTTGCGCCGCCGATCTGCCACCACTACATAGTGCCCGTCTCGCTTCAAGCGCTGCGCTAAATGGCTACCAATGAACCCTGCACCACCTGCGACACAAATTTTTAATCGTGCCGATGTTGAGCCACCATGATTATTCAGGGCAACACCATGATCCTGGGTCAAATTAATATTGGAAAGTTCTTTGCTCTTCCCTGGTTGTAAAAGTCGATGTTGATGCTCTATGAAGTTTTGTTGAACTTGCTGCTTTTCTTGTGCTTTACAACTGCCAGAACTGATAGTAGAGCAGGCGGGCAACGAAGCCGAACTATTGCTCGCGACATCGACTGGCACAGTGGTCGTAGCTTCATCAGCCGGCTCATCACTTGTTTTCGAGAAAAACGGCAAATTCTCGTGTCGAAACGCGTATTCCAACTCGTCGTAGTTGTCCACTGCAGTCGAGGTTGGGGACCATGACTGTTTCACTGTTTCTTGCAGGGCATCGGGAACGCAGAGGTTGCTCAGCCCTAAAAACTGCAAGAGCGCCGACATCACTTGCTTCTGGTCGTTGACGAGCTGCTCGTAGCTCAATCGAAAGACACTTTGGCCCGCACCGGAGGTAATGCGGTCGTAAAAAGCATAAGTATCGTTGTAGTCGGAAAGAAATCGCTGAAACGCCGATGCCTCGATCTTCACCTTCACATCGTCGAGGGCCTTGCCAAGGAAGCGCCCTGACATCGCTGCGCGAAGCATTGACACGTGGACCGCGAGTGCATCTTCGCGATACAAGATCACTTTTTTGATGCGCTTATCCTGCAGAAGTTTCAGCAAAGCGTGGTCGCGCTTTATGCTCGAAAAGTGCTCTGGGAACAGTTTGAAGCCAACCGCCGTTGCATTAGCCTTATTCGGCGGCTTTTTCACATTGAAAGCAGCGCAAAGGAAGCGAGTTGGATTCTCGTCGCGTACTTTCTCAGAAAAATCAACATCACCAGACTCTTCGTCGTCTTGTGACACCCGCATATACGTTTGAATGCGCTGCGCGTGAAAGAGCTCATTGTGCATCAAAACCTGCGGATGATTATGCAGGATTCCACAGAGCAAGTTGGACCCTGTCCGCTGAAACGCAAGAACAACGAAACGCTCATCTTTGGACTCCTTTGTCCTTTGCTCCTCAAGCAAGCACGCCCGCTTGGAAGAAGTCGAAGAAGGAGAAGGCGGGAGACCACGACGACAAGTGCCGTCGAGGTGACAACGAGACTCGCCGGCTTCCGATGTTGACCCACCAGACACTGATCCCCCATTTATGCAGCCACGTTGATGATTCATCCTGTTCTTATCGTGATCCTGCCCGACGACTCCAACTTCCATATTTGGAATTTTTGTGGCCTTGCAAGGCTCGTCATCTCTCACCCAGTCGTCGAATGGAAATATTTCTGCGGGTGGCGGCATGAAACTCCAGTCGTCCTGGCGAGAGAGGCACCAAAAAAGGAGCATGAGTATCGCAGCCAGAATCGAATACGCCCTCTCATAAACCATAACCTCTAAGAGAGCACGAGAAAACGACGAACCTGCACCAGGTTCATCTTGAGCAGCCAGTGTGTTGATGTGGAGACCTGCTGACGTGCTGCTTTGAATGTCAACATTCGGCGTCACGAGATCAGCTTTCCCTTTCGCAATTGAACAATGGTAATAACAAGAATCAACGATGCGCAAGACCAGCACGCGCAAGAGAAACTTGAAGGATTCATTCCAGGTTGCGACGACAACGTGTTGCTTCTGGCCATCCATCCAATCGAACCAGAGACAGATTTGGTAGAATTTCAATCGGCGAAGTTTGGACCGCAGACGAACGACGTCTTGCACGAAGCCCGGCAAAACCGCCAAGCAGCAAACACAACAGATACTCGTGACTCTACTGCAATTCTGGTGTAGTTTGCGAAATTCAGGAGCCAGTAAGCCACGTTGAAGCGCGGAAGTGACATAGAGCGCGGACATGACCAAGCCTGTCTCCAAAAATATGATCGACGCGCTCAAGAGGAGGAAACGAGAGAGAGGACCTTGCGACTGTGCAAGGAGAGTCGCATTCAAGATATGATGATTCTCCTGTCGTGTAGCATGATCTTCATTCTCAAAAACCAAGCATGCCCACGACCACACGTTGTGCAGAAAGAGGAAGAAGATCGTCTCGATCCAATTTGGTAGCGTGTAAAACGTATTCGCCGGATGCGTCTCCAGGCAGAGCACGTCGCCGCTCGCCCAGCCAGCAACTTGCCGCAGGATGTTATCCCAGAAAGGGTGGTGTGCTCTCGCACCAGGGACGCCAATAATGAGCGCGTCGCGCTCTCTGCCAAACGTGCTCTCCTTAAGCCGGAGGCAGTAGTCGACGTCCTCGCCGCCGCCAGTCTTCGGGTAGCTGTCGCTGAACCATACTTGGTTCTGTGTGCGCCCGCGAAAGCATATGTTCGCCGTGACGCCCCAAGGCGGGTGTCGCATGCGATCGGCGACGTCGTAGAAGAATGTGATGCCGCTGGCCAGCACGGCGTGCTGCATCAGCGTCTGCGGCTTTGCCGGAAGCGAGGTAGAACCGACCCAAGCACGGGCACGGGGGTAGCGCCGAATCGCGCCGATGTAAGCGTCCAGCAAGTGAGATTCCGGAACCACATCGTCATCCAGACACACAATGTGGTCCGCAAAGGACTGCGCCATACCCGCATTCCGGGTCATGCTAGCACCTAGGTTCTTGGGATTTACATACACCCGAACAAGCGCATTCTCGTCCCATTTTTCCAGCGCACGCACATCGGGAAGCGTCGTAGCATACGGATTGTCCACAACGAGAAGTATCTGGGTAGAAGCGCGCGCCTCCGGCGCAGCCTTAAGGCTAGCAATGCGGTTTAGCATAGCAACATTGCAACGAAAGGTCGGACACACTATGTCGATGCACGTGTACTTCTGGAAACCCGTTTTGGTAGGAAAATGATGGCTCAACCAGTTTTCGACCACAGAAATTGCATCAGCGAGAGGCTCGTCGCGCCACGGAATTTCGGTATCGCGTTTTTTGTAGCGCGCTGCTTCAGCGCCTCCCACTCGATTGCGCAACTCCGCAGACTCCGCAAATTTGGACGCACCCCAACGACGATAGATCTCAAACAAGAATGGATCTCCATGCTGGTTCACGAACAAGTTGTCCTCGGCTTGACCAAACAGCCGTCCGAAGATCTCACAGTGCCTTCGATGTAGCACAGGGAACGTTGGGAACACCGGAAAAGCCAAGTCCCTGAAGGCTATGCACCCAACTCCGAATGGCAAACTTCGCTTTTGTGCCATGCGCACAAACTCGCTCTCGACCTCTCCTTTCCAGTCCGGCGTGAGCAGTTCGATATCATCCCCCAGCAAGACGAAATTTAGAGCCCAAAAAAGTTTCGCTGCTTGCTACTTGTCCATTTTTACTTCACAATCCTAAGAAGGAATGACCTGTAGAAATCACCTGTACTAGAAATGAATTGAAGTTGAGCCTTATGAAAAAGTCCACTTGATGCCGTTCCACCGCGACCTTAGCCAGTTGTTCCCAGATCCAACAAATGCGGCTCGCGTAGCCACTCGAAAATCTCACTATTTCCACTGTAAAAGGGTCGAACATGCGCTTCAACTCTTCTTAGACCTTATACCCCAAATTCATCCTCCTGAAAACAAAGCATCTTGGAACTGTGTGTAGAAGCAGGGACTCAGGCTGACGCCTCCTGCTATTGCATAGTACTAAAGTTTATGAATATGGGAATTGAGATCTTGTTTTTGTGATCCTTCTCATCACTCAACCTATAATCCAAATTGTGCCTTTGCTTTTCTCCTTAACAGGACAAGAACTAGGAAATCTAAATTCTCACTCCCAGTTTATGGAAATACTCCGACGTTTACGTGTCTCTACACGACCTACACCAAGATGATAACCCTTTTTCATACTCCTGGGATCGGTATTGTCGTTTTCCCTTACAAAATCCGCCCAAGATGCTTCTCAAGATGAATTAAGGAGAGCCAACTTAGTCTTCCTGTGCTGTCGCTGTTCCCCGTTCTGCTCTGTCGTACACAGGATCACCATAATCAATACCGATGACAATCGTGACGAAGGCCGCATTCTCATCTGGCGGTGTAGTGGCAAAGAGAGAGTCGCGGAAAGCCTGTATTTCGGACATGCACGCTTCCGCCGACGCCCCACGAGAGCACACTGGTAAGAGTAAGCCCCACTTAAAAGACGGAGCGTCCTGGTTATGCGGCGCGATACTACCCACTAACCGAAGTTCAAGATCTTGATCTTCGTCCTTTTTGTTGTTGTTTTCCTCTGGCTGCTTCTTGTGTTTTTTCGGATTGGCACTTGAGGGAATAGCAATACATTCTTCGTCTTCTTCATCTCGCGTTTCTCCTTTCACTTTTTCCATGCCTCCTTTGCTGGGGTCGTACATCGGATTCAGACTTAGACTGGGACGAAAATCATTCACGATTCCACGCATTTTTGGAGCTTCCGTGGATTCTATAAAACCCATGGTCACATTTTTTAGCAGGCGCTTTCGCAGCCGCTCAGGCAAATAGGCAAGAAGCGGAGCCAGCCACGCCTTGCTGCGACGATAGATATTAGTCGCATTCTTGTACACGTCACTAATGCCCGTCATCTTTTTTTGTACAAATTTGACAAAGTAGATTTTTGATTGAAACAAAGATTCACAAAGAATGGTTAGACAGATACTAAACTCACGACCATTAAATGGTCGTGAGTTTATTAAAATCGATAATCCTTACCTAAGTACGCATAATAGATCTATGATCTATCTTCTCTATTAGTCTATCATTTGTAATCATCTAGCGCGTATTTTTTTCAAACTTTTTTTCTTGTCCTCTGCGGCGACGGCGAGGCAAATTAAATCCTCAAAAAGAAAGTGAATACGAATGACTTCACCTGTAAGGGTAAGCGCCTCGGCCAAGATCAACAGATGAAGTTTCCAAATCTCACAACAATTTCAGAACTCTTTCCACTATGAACGTTCTTGCGTTTTGTAAACTGATGATTTGAATCTATTCGGCGAGCTGCCTAAGATCTCCCAGACGAGTCCTACCCGCTGATCTAGCTTGTTGTTGGCTTGTTAGTGATTTCTCGACTGTTCCTGTTGTTCCTGGTGATGAGCTACGAAGTTCTGGCCTTTGCCTTGCTACTTGCGCCCGGGGGCTCCTGTCTTCTGCGTCAATTGGCTGCGCTCCTCTTGCTCTGAGGTCTGCCTCCAGCTGCTTCTTGTAGGTTGCGTTTTGTAAACTAACAGGCTGTTATTATCTCACTGACGGTTTCAGCCGAACGAGCTCAAGCTCACCGCCTGCGTTGGCGATTCATTTCTAGCAAAGATTGCGACATCAAAAGAATGCCGATTTTTTTAAATGCAGTTCGCCCAGTTTATTTTTACCGATTTCAGATTTGACGCTTTGTCATTTACCGAATTGGCGCGTCGCTGATAAGATGCAAGGATCACGAAGGGGACGTAGGTCTCGACTGTCCAACGACATTAAGATCTACCGTTTGATTTTCCTAGAAATATCCAGTCATACATGCCTCACCGCCAGCATATTAGCGTCTTCTGAGGACCACTCAGAGCGCTTTGAAGCTTTCAACATTTGCCTGTGCGTTCTGATCTAGGCATATTCAAGTTCTGGAGAACTCAGGCGCCGAAGTAGATCTGAAGATACTTCGGTCATCCGAGAGGTAGAGGACGACAATTTAAGTAAATATTGAAGACTTGACGCGTTCAAGGTTTGAAAACGAAGTGAGAAGATGGCCGAGAAATGGCCCCCGAAGGCCGCAGAATAACAAGTAATCCATTGATGCAGTACAAAACATATCCCGAGTACTCAAACCTCCCCTTCTCCACCAAGAGCCTGCCTTTCCCTCTACCCATATTTCCGGCACAAGCGTTGATGCTTCCTTCCCTCTACCCATATTTCCTGTACAAGCATCGATGGCTCTACCAATATTTGCTGCACAAGCATCGATGGCTCTACCCATATTTCCTGTACAAGCGTCAACCCTCAGGAAATTTACCCTAAGCCTCAACATCTGCTCTACCCATATTTCCTGTACAAGCGTCGATGCTCTTGTTCCTCGCGATCTGGGATAAACAAGAGCAAAGGCATCGGCCTATCGTCCAGGTATGTCCGCTGAACGAACCAAACGGCCACACCGAGTCTGGTGAAGTACTCCATTTGGCCGAAGATTAGCGCGAATAGGGAAAGGGAGTAATTCGATTGTTCTGGGAAAGGCAGTAATTCGAATCAGTGATAGTGCCTCCTAGTAAGTTACTTACCATTCAAATTGCCCAAAATATTAGAGGAGGAGAAGGAGAAAGAGGACTCCTTCTTATGAAATGTCGTGGTCTATCTCTAAATTATTTATCAGAGTCGTGGACTAGTAATAGTATGTTATGCTATGTAGTAAGATCTTGTTATGATATGTAGCAAGATCTTCCTGATGTTGTTCTCCTGATGCCATCATTCGTTTCGCAGCGTCCTCGAATCAGTGATAGTGTATCCTAGTAAGTTACTTGAAACACGTACTTACTTGATGCACATGAAAAATTCACAGACCAAAGAACACCCCGCTAGGTACCTTCTAGCTAAGCAGATTGTAGCAACAGGAAGTTCGGGCTATCAACTTCATCAAAGAACAATAAAAGTTAACACTTTTGAAGATAGACCAATGAATAAATACTTAGGACAAGCCGTAACATCAATAAAACCAGAGAGAGGACCAAGGTCGCAACACCCGCACCGAAGAACAAGATTAGGGAGATCAGGCGGTCATCGAAGTACATCCAATATCGAAAGCGTTCTAAGAAGGAAGCGATTCCCTCAACAGTCTTTGAAAACTCGTGGAGCTTGGTGAAAACCTCACGAACTTTGAACACCAAAGAGTCCGGGTCGGGTCTGAAAGGAGGAGGTTGATGTTGGAATGATGTGGGAATAGTGTGGGTGAGACGATAAAGGTTAAGCATCCTCTGGCGGGAGTGTGGGTGGGTTAGATATTAGATGATATAGCATGGTATAGAAATTGGTCTGTCTCTAAATGGACACCAAAGCCGCATGGTAACAAGCCAGAAGCTTAAAAGTACCCTCCTGCATGTTCCGCTCCTCCCTGTGCGTTTCTCTCCGCCGCTTCCGACTTCGCTTCTGTTAGCTGCATTTGCTTCAGCAAGAACTCTTGTTCGTGCAAATACACTCCCGCTCGATTCCTTTTCCCTGTGTTGTATGCTTCGTACACGCATCCAGCTAGTAACAGTGGCGGGAACATATATCCCGGACAGGCCATGGAGAGATAAGCTGCGGTCAAATTCCCACCATGTGTTGTCGGAAAAGAAGGCCAAGAACCTAGGACGCTGCCGATCCGCTCGAAACCCATAATAATGCGCTTTGCAGATCCCTCAAGATCGTACGTACGCAACTTGCGTCGCTGTAAGTGCGCAGACGCGTCGGATTGCTGTGCGTGTGGCACGAAGACACGAAGAAGAAGCACTCGAGTCTGTTGTTCATGTTGATCGCACTGTGGGGTACTCGAAGATGACACAGAACCTAGACTCGAACAGAAAGAGGATGATGCTACTCTACTTGTTCCACCAGATGAGGTCATTGCTTTGTTTCCTTTTCTAGTACAGTCGGTGTCAGTATGATCTTCTGAAGTAGCAGAACCAGCTACTACGTGATGCTCTAGTTGTACTCCCGTGCTTGTCAGCTGTGTCTTGTTTTTAGAACCCCGATCTACTTGTTCTACTTCTTGTAGTTTGGATTTACTGCCAGTCGATATCATACCTGCCCCAACAGTCTTATCAAGATCTCCCGTGACAACTGTCCGCACCACAAACGACAGCTCGTCGCCTCTGCGACAGACTGGAGGAACGACAGGCGCCGCCTTTGCTTCCTCATCCTCCGTCGTCGACGCGTCAGGCGCATCGTCGACTACACCAATTTCGTAATCCGCGTATTTCATCGGTCTACATTCCGCTCCCACCGGCGTCGAGGCTAGAAACGACAAACTACGCTCAGGGCTGTTCAGATCCCCGTGATCACTCGGAACCAATTTTAGCTGTCCTGAACGTGGCGTACTCATGATATTACCTACTGCTACGCCAGACGTAGATTTCGATATGCTTGAAGTGCCATGTTTCAGCTGTAGATGTTGAAGGTTACCGGCCCCGTCTCGCATATTGTTGTAGAAATGATTCTCGTGCACAACAAGATGTCGATGGTTGTTGATCATCATCGTCTCAGCCGAATGGCGTTCGTACCATCGCGCCAGCTCGTTGAGCGCCTCCTCTCTCGAAGCAGACATGCCACTGGAACCGAGAAAGCCTGTTGGGTCCTCTAAACTTCGTGTGCTACGTTGTAGGATCAAATCGGCATTCTGTCGGACACGCGTTTCGTGACGGGAGGGGAAGTCCTCTAGCGTGACCGCGGTGACGGAGGTGGTTGTTGAGCCTTTACGAGGAGGCCGCAGATTTGCGCCGTTCACTTGGTTTTTACTATTGGGACTAGAAAGGACAAGTAAACCACCTCCAGACGAAGCAGAGACGAGACTGCTTTTGCTGATTAGACTGGCTCTATTCGTCACTGCTCCTGGTGTAACTACAGATGAAAGAATGCCACTTCCGCCTGGCGCACTACTATAGGGAGACGAGGAAGGAAGGCTTATTGGACCATCTCCGGACCCTGAGAGGCCGTCCCGGCTAGCCATTCGGGAAGAGACCAAGCGAGAATGCGCAATATTACCTGCAAGTCGATGCAAATAATCTCGCTTGCCAAACAGACCTCCCCCGCGCAACAGTCCGCGTAGACTCGCCGCAACGGGAGGCAAATGTAGCCGCGCTGACCCAGTCGACAACCCACCAGAGGAGTGGTCGCGCGCGAAGGAGGGACGCAAGGACAGGCTATTACTGCTTTCGCTAGGAGTGTGGAAAGGATGTTGCTCAACATTCAAATTCGCATTGGAGGAGTCAGCCGATCCAGCACTGAAGCCTGAGCCTGAGGGATCCCGCTCGAGCATTCTTCTCTCCTGGATCGTACTCTTGATCGCTCTTGGCGCGCTTGTTTCTGTCTTGTTCTTCTTGCTTGTTCTCGTTGCATCGTCCGCCTCAGCATCTGAAGCTGAGCTGTTCTCTTTCACCGACCCAAGCGGGAGATTGGAATCGTCGCTTGAGGGCATTGCTCTGTACTGATCCAAAGCTGTGTTCGAGATCTCTCGATGCAAGCGATACAATGCGCCTTTACTGTGCGCATCCAGTTGTAGACCGTGTGCGTGTGTTGATGGATCTTCCTGATGTCCTTCTTGGTCTCCTCGAGATGCGCTAATCATGCTTGTCAGAGAGGATCGTTTCCGAGACGCTCGCGGTCGAAGCATATTGCCTGTGAGAGAATCGTCGGGGAGAGCGCGAGCGGGGCTGGTGGAGAAAAACGGCGGCAGAGCGTCATCCTCGATTGTTTGCCCCTCACCGGAACTACTTCTATGTTCTTCTGTTTCAGCGACAGCGTCACTGGCTGACGTGCTGGATGAAGGCGTGCCATCGGGTTTGACGTGCTGGCCTGTAGCACCTTCCAAAGGCTTTGTATCTCTCTCTCCATCACCACCAGCATCACCACCTCCGCCACTTAGAGTCTTGAACAAGGCTTCTAGTGTCGTGTCCACAGCACTCTCCCTTCTACTTCCAGGCTTTGAGGAAATGCCTGCTGGGCCCAGTGAGTGTGATACCAGTGTTGTTGGTGACCGCTGACTCAGATCGCCACTAAATCGAGACGACGAAACATTACTTCGGGCATCCGCTAGGTCGTCATCATCGGTGCGAATGTCGTCGGGTGAGAATGTCATCGGACCTTCTTTGGAAGATTGGGGTGTTACTTCTTCTAAGAGTGGAGGTTTCTTTTTAGTCGTAGTCTTGAGATGGTCCTCACCTTTTGGATGTTCATCCTTTAGCATCTCTAGCAAAGCCGGTTGCTGTAACAAGACAGGCAATCCGTCTAAGACATCATTTCCCTCAGGGAGTAAGATGTCGCCTAAAGCGGCAATTTGCAAAGGACTAGCCCTAAGCGAGACTGTGAAGTCCACAACCAAATGCCCGATCACTGTTGTCACTGGTGCTTCCACTGGTTTTTCCTTACGTCCAAAAATCGACTCGAAAAAAGATGCTGGTCCAGAGGGTCGCCCAGCACTCGTTTTGCCTGCTTTACTCGCACTAGCAGATGAAGGACCAGTAGTCGTTCGAGGAGTTGGAGACGCAGCAGCTGTGGCACCATAGCCACCGCCCATGACACTACTCGGAAAATACGCGGAACTACCAGTGGGTCTCTTCCCGCCATCGACGAATGGCACAGTGCGCGGTGAGGCTGCGGCTGTGCTCTGTCCTCCGAAGTTCTGCAATAGCTTTGGGAGAGTAATCTGAAACAAAGGCGCTTTTCCATCAGGACTACCGCGTGGGCTTGATGGAGAAGCGGCAGAGGTTCCACTACCAGAGTTAAAGCCATTCTCACCGCCTCCAGAGCTGATTCCAGCACCATCCAACGATCCTACGGCATCAGGGAGATACAACTCTGCTTCCGCAGCCTGCAACTCCTCTCTATGTTTCCTGAGTTTCTTCCTCGCCTCTTTGCTCAAGTCGCCTTCGCGTACAGGTACTAGTTTGCTGGGAAAACGACCATCCTCGATCTTCAACAGTGCTGGTGGCAACATGCGCAAAATCTTGTCCTCGACGAAAAAATCACGCCTACAACAAGCATGGCGGACGATATGGACTGCCTTGCGCCACCAAACGCTACGCCGAAAATGATAGATGCGGCGCAACTGGCGACGAGGATGCAGGAAAAGATACACTAGAACGAAGTATCTGAGCCAAATCGCGGCCCATCGCAAGACGTTGAACCAGAAGCGAACCTGAATAATCAGTTCTGTCCAAAAAGCGCGAAGGCGTTGAGGCAATTGACGGAAGAAGTCGGCTATTCTGGTACTAATTTTTCGTCCTGCACTACCACTGGAAGAAGAGGAAGAAGAACTACTAGAATTTATTTGGGCTTTATCGCCGTCAACATACTGAAGACTACTAGTCCCAGTATTGTAGAATTCCTCAACTTTTTCCACCGCTTCTGAGTCACTTTCTGATCCTAATATGCTATCTACCGCATCATTTCCTGAATTAAAACTTCCTTCTTTACTCGAAGAAGAGCCCGCTCTTCCCTTTCCTCTACGTTTTCGCAACTGCCCTCCAGATATCGCTTGCTTTTCCTCTCGCCAAGGTGAACTGTAAGCCGCTAGTTTCTTCGTCCATTCTAACAGTTCATCTTCCTTGTAGCTCAAAACTGAACTTGCGCCTGAGGAAGAAACTAGTCCGGGAGCTTTCGAAGTAGCTAAAGAGCGAGGTGATAATGGACTACGATCGATATCGCGCTTCGTAGGAGTATAGGTGGAAGATGAACTTGATGTTGCTGTTGCTGAAGAACACGAAATCATCGAGTTTCCATTTGCGGCTACAGTTGTAAAAGTCGGTGATATTGCTGCATGCTCTGCCACCACGTCGTCTAAGCCAGCTGCATCACCAGATGGCGCTGTGACCGTCATCCAATCCGCTGATAATTCATAATCTGCCCATATCTCACTCAAAGGCACCACACAAAAACCGACCACTGAAGCTTCTTCAAAGCCTGCACGCCATCGCTTGCAAACACCGTCAGACACCTTGATCACGACGTCGGTGGTGAACAAATTCACATTTGGAGGAAGTAAAATCGCAATCTCCAAATGCTTCTGTTGTTGCGGTACGGTAGCGTGGCTTTGCACGATGCCACCGCAGACGCGACAGGAAACCAGCTCCTCTTGCTCCTGTGTGAACAAACTGACATCGAAAACGAGCTCGCGAAAACTCAGTCCTTTAGTCGTAGCCCCATCTTTGAGCCTGATTTTGAGCACGCCAAATCGCTCAGCGTAACTCCGAGCAAGAAAACCTAGCTTCGGGTCTTGTGAGAAGTTCGCGAGGAGTCTCTGGATTTGATCTTCACCCACTTTTGAATCGGGTTCCTTTGATGATGAAGAAGAAGAAGATGGCGTTCTTTCATACTCGAGACCTCGAAACTCGTCTGGAGTTAGTTCAAGAAAGTCCAAATGGTGCTGGTTTCCAATCGCATCTCCACTAACTTCCCAAGCAATGGTGCTGCCTGAAGAGGACTCATCTTCTCTTTGGAGAGGCGCTTCTCTTTCGCGTTGAGTCGCTGTTAATGCTTTAAACAATGCACTGTCAGCAGCGGACGATGAAGTTGCTGAGAGACCGTCGTGGTCCTGCTTCTCCGATGTCGACTTCTCCGACACACACGATGATGCCGACGCCGTCCCGGACTTATACTGTGCCACAGCTACTTCACCCCCACTCAGTACCTTTGATGCTCGACCACTCGTCGAAAACAACCTAGCCCCATCAGGGAGCTCACAGGCTAATGGCCTTGCAACACCGCCACTTTCCACTGTATAGAGGTAGTTGCTGCCGCTATAGAAACCTCCCTGGTGATCTTGGCTGAACAGTTGTCGTATCGTGCTACCATTCTCACTCGTCAACGAAACTATGCCATTGTTTGGTCCGTATGAAGTATTTCTACCATCATGTCGGGCACTCCCGACATAGTTTCCAGATCCGCCGGAAAACTTTGGATCACCTCCACCTCGGCCGGATGAAGCAGATGAAGCCCCACCACCGCTATTACCACTCGATAATTTACCACCTCCACCATACTGTCCAGATGCATGTGAATGGCCCTGAAGATGGCCTCCACCTTGATGAACGCTTACTCTGCCTCCACCATGATGATCGCCAGGAGCATTCAAATTCGCACGCTCTCCACCTTCGTCGACGAAAATGGCATCTAGAATCTTCTGCTTCACGTTTTCCTCTGTCTTTTTTAGATCTTCGAGAGGTTTGTCCACTAACTTCTGCTTCACCTGGCGAAAATCCGCCAAAACGTTGTTCACCCACTTATCCATCTTCAGTTTCAGTTTCAGGGGACCTCGCTTCAGCCTGGACTTTTTTTTTGTGTTCCAAGACCGCGGCTAGGTGCGACGGCGTACTAGGGGCTTCTTGTTATGCTTTTATGCTTATCATGGTTCCTCTCACGACGTCCTTGTTCCCTATGCGAGAGCGTGGCAGCCACGACTACTTAGTGAGATGAACCTGCAAATGTTCACGCAGTTCATCATCACAAGCAGACAGTTAGAAAAACCAGCTGACGAGGACTCAATTCAGGAGTACATCATATTTCATCTGATCTCAACATAGAATAAATTTTCGGCACGGAAAAAAGTGACGCTGTCGTTGTTTCGACACCAGGGAGTATCAATGTTTAGAATAATGGGGGAACTAGGAAGATAAAAGCCTGCTTTCGAAAAGTAATGAAATACGAACGAACAAAAAAGGATCTATTACTGGAACAAATCGAATCTTTCAACAAAATATGTTACACAACTAAAATCAACCCCGACCGACCTGTTTGCAATTTCAAACCAGAAGATCGTGAGCCTATCCAAGCGCTAAAATAAAACTAGACAACTTATAATATGCGTAGTACAAAACCGCTATCGATCCATTTCCTGACAAAAAAAATGATGCCACTAGTGCCATATGACGCGGCACCGACGCACGAGTAAGGTTACGGTTTTACTCATGCTCCACTAGAATGAATGTTGCGAATGTGAATGACGACTAGGAAAATTTCTTTAATTTTAATCCAGCTTTTTTGCTTTTGCTACCTAGGGCCGGACGTGGGGCCGCTGATCACAGGGCATGATCAGGTCTCAAAACAATTTATCTCATGGGCAGGGTATTGCTGGGGTAAAAAGATCATGGTCCACCTCCTGTATCACGCACACGGACATGCAGAATGAATCTCAATCTTTCTACCAACTTGAATCCGGCTCCAGGATTATTCATTCGAACGACTTCTTCGTGATCAAACAAAAGATTGTGTGTTTCTTCTGTTACTTTGCTTCTTCCAAAACTTAAAAAGCACCTCTCATCTCAGTTCCGTCGCACAATTATTTTTGTCGTCGAACACGTTTTCATCTCTGTTTTTCAGATTCAGTTGTTGACTGACATCATTAAACATAGATAGGAGCACGCTGGTGATGATCGTGAAACAAATTAATCAATCAAAACGAGTCTCTATTGTGTGAGTTCCAGTTAATTGACATACGTACATTGGAATGTAGAGAATCATGCAAATGGATTCCCTCCGCCTCCTACGAGACGTATGTGACGGGCAGTCTCCTTAATCATCAAAGGTGCAAAACTCCGAACTGACCAGGGATCCCTTCCCGCATTCCCACCCCATGCCTCAGCACTAGTATGGTAAGCTGAGGATAGCTGAGGATAGGCATGGTCGGTGACAGCGCAGGTCCAGGGATCAGGGTCAAGAGTATCGTCGAAGGAACCCGGACTGTGATCTTCGTGAAGATCTTTGTGATGCTGCTGCTGCTGTCTAGTAGTTTGCGCATCGTTATTTCGTATCCCCTCTTCGGTTTCTCGCGTAAGTCGGTCTGCTGCGTCTTTATGAGGCGGCACGTCTTTGCTAGTCGAGTCCAAAGATGCGTCTTCTAGCATTCGAAGAAAATCATCCTCGATGTCGTCCCGTGGTTGTCGATCTTGTGGCATTCGTCCTTTACCATCTGCACTAGTCGTAGCTGGCTCCGCAGATGAAGCAAAAGGATTTGTCGTATTTCTCTTGTTCTTAACTCCCACTGAGGAGCTAACTGAAGACGCCGTATGCGCTTCTTCACCAGCTCTTGCCTCCTTCACTCCACCACGGCCCACAACATGATCTTTAGGTGGAGCACTTGCAGTTGCACTTGATATCATCGTACTGTAAGTGGAAAACCGTCTCTTGTAGTCCGGACTCAGATTCGCTGTAGACATCACACGAGGTCGCCAATGCTCGCGTGGTGGCCCATTAGACGTCGACCCGCCTGGTGTTGCGTCGCCTTCCCCTTCTCCATTCTCCTCACCCTCGTTTTTCAAACCATTTTCCAAAGCCTCTTTGTTATGCCTCAACTGTCGCAGTATCGCAACCCCGCAACTGTCGAGATCGCACGCTGTGTTGTACTGTTCTCGTAGGAAGCGTTTTTGTCGATCATTCAATCGACCCCATGTTGAACGCAGGGGAGAGGTTGGCGCCTTCGCTAGAGTCATTCCAATCGCAGGTCCTGCTAATTGTGGTCCGGTAGAAGATGACGACGGATGAAAATTACTCATGATTTGCGGCTGTGCTGGTTGTCGTTGTAGAACAAGATGCGCATTTTTCCCATCATAGTTGTTTATGTTTTTCAAGATGCCGCTGCGAGGACGCTGGGACGCAGACGAAGCGTGTCGAGGCGTGAAATGGGTACTAGCCTGGTTTGCCATCTCCTGGCTCGCCCTATACTGCATCGGTTGCTGCCAATGAGCAGAAGGGAAAATCGCCTGATATGGAGGTTGAAAAGGATGTTGTGCTTGGTTCATGTACAGATAGGAGTGTTGTTGCTGAGGTGGTTGCATTGGGTACAAATACTGTTCAGGCGGCTGCATTTGAGGACTATAATTCTTGTACTGCTGTGGTTGAGTCTGAATATTGTAGTTGTACTGCATGTTGTTAACACCGCCTGGAGATGCTGAAGAAGCTTTTCCTACTCCATTAATTAGAGGTTGCGGAGTTGCATTCTTCAGATCATCCCTGACCCTTTTCCTACTGGGAAAAAGGTCAAGGACGGTAGTGAAGAATGCAATGTGGTAACCCTTAAATTAATCTTTGATGATGAAGCCGCTTTAGCATCACTAGGCAGTGGTGAACTAGCAGATGCTGGTGATGTAGTACCTCCAGCGTCGTCGTCGTCGTCCTGTCGACTTGCCCGCTCAGCATCGTTTTTTGCTCCTGCTTTCCCACTATCTCTATTTCGCTCTACAAAAGTCGACGCGAAGTCCTCAGGTTTCGCATCGTCAAAGAAACTTTGGTCACCCTCTCTGCCGTCGGCGTCGTCTTTCGTATCCCTTTGCGATTTGCTTTTCATTTTGTTGCCAGTGTCGTCGTTCTTGTCTGCAGGTTCACGATCAGCACGTTCTGCGAAGAAATCATCACTTGCCTCGATGTCTTCTTTCTTATCCTTCTTTTTCTTCTTTTTCGAAGCATTACCATCTTTAGTAGTATCGTTGTCTCTATCTTTCTTATCACCACCCCCATCTTCGCCAGGAAATTCGAACCACTCTTTGTCACGTTGGTTCTCTTCGGGAAAGAAGTTGCTAACGTCTGCAAAGAAGGCTGCGTCATTTCCATTATCGGGTGCTTCAAAGTAACCATCTCCACCCTGCTGTCCTCCTGCAGCATTGTCACTGAGAAGATCCTCATCCTCTTCTTCGTCGAAAATACTACCCTTCGGCTGTGGTTTTGAAGACGTTCGAAAAGCATGGTCATCATCGTTTTTCAGATCCTCATCTTCGAAAAAGGCAGCGTCGTTGATTTTCGTTGACGATGAGTGGTTGCGGTTGTTCTTTGAACTACTACTTGAAGAAGCTTTTTCATTCTTGCTTTTCTTTTTCTTCTTTGCATTCGTGGCATCCGCTGTAGTTTCGTCGGGAGGTGAGAAATCAAAACCAGGCACGTCCATAGCGGGACTCGCTGCACTACCGCCAACTGATGTAGCCGACTCCTCCAAAACCGAGTTGTTTCCCCCAGCACCAGCAGGCGTCGTAGCAGGCTTGTTTCCTCGTCGCCGCGCTCGCCATTCCTCTTGCTGACGTAAAGCTTCTGCTGACTGTTGATTCTCTTGTGTGCTGCCTGTTTTCGCAGCCGCTCTCGAAGAGGACCCTGTCTTCTGCCTATCTTGTGTGATCTTATTGCCCTCAGCAGTGCTTCCTTGCTTCGACATTTCGGAGACTACTTTCGGAATCCGCGCACCGTAGAGTTTAGCTTGTTTCTGTAGACGTGCGGTCACAGATTCTGGTAAGGGTAAGGCTCCAAAAGAGGAAGAGGACTCCTGACTTTGATCTGACAGTTAGAGCTCAAAACATTTCATTTCTTCCCTTCATTTCTTCAGAATTTCAAGAGGAAAACTGCGAGAAATGAGTCGTGGAAATGAAATATATTGAGCCTTAAGACAGTATCTCTACTACGTGGTCACTACTCGGCCGTTCAGACGGGTGCCAAGCCAGTAGCCAATGTACGAGACACTCAAAGCATTCACCCACTTTCGTTGTACTGGGCGGGTGTTAGAAATGTTGGATAACGATTCACAATTGTAGTGGCTGTACAGCAGGAAACTCCGAAGATCTACGTTGTACTACACAGTAGTATATCTACTAACTAGGGTATCTGTTACTTCTTTCAGATCTTCATCTTCTCTAAGAATCCTCAATGACGTCCCGCGCCATACCATCGATACTTGCAATTCGTTATCGCCAGACTGCTCTCGTCTTGAAACGGGTGCTTGCCGTACGCTAGCGTGAAAAGCACACATCCCAGATCCCACTGGTCTATCTGGACACTGATAGGCAAGCCCGAATGCAAGTCCACTAGTTCTGGTGGAGGATATTAGCGCTCACATTAATTCATATCCCACACCCACGCGCATCTTCTCAATTCCTAAGAAGGAAACAGGGAGAGATGAGCCGTGCGGAGCTTCTTCCAGGTGGTGGGATGAGGGTGCACGTATTGTTAAGGGTTTCCGAATTGCATTCCTCACTACCATTCCTCACTACCATTCATTGACTGCGAGCCTTAACGATAAATCAGAGTCGTGGTTCTCTGCACGACCTCCTCCAGCTCTGAGAAGGAACGGCCATCCAGAGAACGAGCATCGCTGATTTCCTCGCTACTGACAGAACCAAAATCGCAGAGCTGTAGTGTTTCGTTTTTGGGTTTAGTAGATTTGGGTTCAGTTCACGCCAGATCCTAACTACTGCTCAGACGCAGTAGAGGTGCTTTGGACAAGATGAAAAACGTATCCTGTAGTATGGTATCACTTAGACCTTCCATGTGTGTACAAACATTCTCCTGGTTGTACCTTCAAAGTATCCCCAACCAATCTGCCAACAGATCTCAAAAATCCAGCCTTGGTAGTACTTACCTTCAAAGTATCATGTGGGCCAGCCAGCAGGATATTTTCGATTTTTAGATCCCGGTGCTGAATCCCCTGAGCATGCATAAAAACCAGCCCTTTCGCTATTTGCAATCCGCATCGCTGAGCATGCTCATCAGGCATCTGGCATCCTGCAAAGCGTTCTAAAAACGAGAGTAGATGTCCACGATCACACAGCTCCAGCAGCAGCTTGACTTCGCGAGGGAGGGATTAGAAGAAGGAAGGACCAGGATGATCCTTTTGAGCAGCATCCACTGCTTCGTTATTTCTCCTTTCCTAGCAATTTGACTGTGCCATAATTCGAATTATCGCGACCAAAACAGGTGATCAGGTTCTCGCATCCCTGTGGTATCCGCCGAAAGAAATCGATCTCAGCCAGTGCTACTCTTTGGTGTTCAGGACCGTCGCATCGCATCACCTTCAGCGCATAATATGATTGTTTCCTGTCATGATCCTGCGCGAGATACACGAAAGCGAATCCACCCTCTGACAGTTGGCGGACTCGTGTGATGCGGCGTCCGCCGATAAAATCGACTTCGGAAGAACCGCCCAACATGTTTTGTTCGTTTGGTTTTTGGTCGTTTTTGGTCGTTGATTCAACTTTTACCTGAAGATGCTGATCGACGATGCGTGATACGGGTTGAAGAACAATAGTTTAGCTTGTCACTGTCCACTTTGTCTGCTTTTCCTACTGTTTCATTTGAGAGTGATGCAGACAGAACGCCGCGTTTCGAATTGGTGGCGAACCTTTTTTGCATGCTTGCCTACAGGAGAAGATTCTTCAATTTTTATGCAGATCCCTCTTCCTTTTCTCTCACTCTCTCTCTAAGAAGGGCTTCTCTCGCTTGTCCCCCAGACAAGGAACGCTTGCTGCGTGTGTGGTATCAAGTCGGTGCTGGCGCCATTACCTTTGCCCCACCTCAGTTACTCATTCGGTAAGGTGAAATTCTGGCGCGTCTAAAAAGCGTAGTTACCCTGGACAGTAGGACATGTAGTCTTGGACATGTAAACTATAATCAATGGGTTCGTTTGGAAATCATACACATGTTGTAAATATCTTTCATCGAGACCACTCAGTTATACATCATTCAGTCGGATAGACATTACAATCCGTCATCTCCCTACATTTAGTGCCGTATCAACCATTTGTTTCTCATCGACGTCGTCGGTATTTTTTTCATGACATGAATTTATCAGCTCCTGAAAAACTATTCCTAAAACGACCACAACTAGGTGCGCATGTGGTTACCTTCTTCGCAAACCACTCAGATATGAAAATATGGGCATTGTAGTTGTAAAAAACACAAGTATATAATGACTCAAACAGTCCGCGTGGTATGCAATTTATCATGTTGCCTGCATAAGAAACCTAATGAAATTCTCTCTTAATAAATATAATTCTTCTAAGACACCCAAGAAATCGTATGTAAGTGCCTTTCAGAAGTTCGCGCATCAATCATAAGAACCACTCAGTCATCGCGAACAAATTCCCTTTCCCTCACTAGATTTTCGTAGTTAATACTTCGATCGTGGTTATACTCTACCTGAAAAAGCGGTAGCACCTCTACCTATTATGCGCAACCCTAAAAACTCCATATGACGCTTCACTTGAACCCTATAAATACCATCATCTAAATCTTCTAAGCGAAGGACACAACAGGCATATCTTTTTGATAGTAGTTGTCTCATCTCAAAATCTACTTACATCGACTACACCAAATATTCGTTATATTCCAAACCCTCAAAATTTTGTTTCATATCTACTTTGTGACCCCAAAGAATATGGAGTCTTAAATCTATCAATAATGTTCTGAACCGAAGAAGACCAAGATCTTTCTATCTCTTCAAACAAAAAAATATATCATTAGAGCCAAGTCACTAGTCTTTCTGCTGTATGCTGTCGTGTAGGCAGCTAGGAGACTGAGGCTTGAGGTCATTTTTGGATTTTCTTTCCCTATGGTGGTTTCAATAATTTCAATTCCTGTAATGGTTTTCAGTGCCTACCATGGCCACCACAGCAACCCCCATGGCCGTAGTGACAATGGCCATGACTATGACCGTGGCCGTCACCGTGGCCTTCATCATGCTTTACGTGACCCTGTGCCCGTTCATGCGCAGGCTGACGACTTGGACTACAAAGATGGTTCCGTCCCAGCCATGCATCGCCACCAATGGCAGCAGTGTCTGCAAGTCGCAACTGTTCTGACGTGGTTGCAGGAAGTTGCTCCGGAAGTACTGTGGCGGCAGCAGAAGGTGGCATCGCTGCTGCACCACATGGTCTTGATGTGTGACCACAACTTTCTCCAGGCGCAGGACGAGGCACTAGTACTGAGAAGGAGGTGTTATCAGATTGAAGAGGCACAAGTGCGAAACCACGACTGCCTTCCCTCCTGGAGGTTTGCTGCCCCTGCTGTCCAGTAGTTGTAGTTGTGCTACCAGCACTCAAAGTAAAACTGATTCTTCCTGGAGGCGGCAGTGAGATTCTACTACTAGACGGACAACATGAAGATCCAGAGGGCTGTCCACCTAGTGAAAATCCTCCACCTAAGCCTCTTGCTGCCACATCATTTTCCAAAGTAAACAACAACAATTGAAGCACTGGGTTGTCTGATAATGGTTTCGCAGAGTGTCCGGAGCAACCACAGCCTGAGTGAATGTGGCCATGGTCATGACCGTGGTGATCGTGACCGCCATGTCCAGAATGGTCGTGGTGATCGTGACCACTATGTCCAGAATCGTCGTGGTGACCGTGACCACTATGTCCGTGACCAGTATGACCGTGACCACTATGACCGTGACCATCATCTCCATGGTCGTGATCATGATTTTCAGTCGTTCGACGTAATCCAGAAGTTCTTAGGGGACTCACTGATGCACCACCTCCAGAATTACCTCCATCTTGATCACCTCCATTACCTCCATGTTGATGTTGACTAGAAATTAACCTGATAGTCGATCGTCCACTGAATATACTACTAGTGTTTCTTGCATTTTTAGCCAGCGTAGCAGCTGAGAACTCCACTTTGCCTTCACCTGAATCGCTAACCGACAATACTCCGGAGCAATCGTGAAACGTGGCTAAAAACCACATCAACGCGCTGCCTGCGGCTGCCATGACACCGAATTTGAAGAGGGATTTCCAAAAACGACCAGTATCAACGAAAACTTCCGGCACAATCTCGGTAACGCCAACATAGACCAAAGTGCCGACTGCGAAAGCGTTAATATACGGCGAAATGGCTTGGAAAGTTGCGGCATGCCCAAGATTCGAGGAAATTTCGTGGCACGCGATATTCAACGCCATTCCAACTGGAGAAGCGAGAGCGCAGATACTGGTGAAGAGAATGATCTTCCCGCATTCAGCACGACTTCGACGTTGACTTCTTGTCCTCGTTGACTTCTTGTCCTTTTGCAGATGTACTTGTAGTTGATCTCTAGAAGTACTGTTGTTCTCCTTCTCGTCGTTGTCCTTCAACATCATAGCCTGTTCTTCGTCATATTTCTCATGATCCATCAACATTCTAGTACTAGGATCTTCTCCATCTGGCTGCTCTTCTTCCTCATCATTCCCAGACAAATTCGAATTATCGTGTTTGAGCAAACTCATGACTACTACGAAGCCCTCGACCCACTTGTGAAGCGCAACTGTTACGACGAATGTAATACCAGTGGACCAAGCGTCTTTGCGTCTGGGATCGAAGACGGAGCCGCAAACATAGCCTTCGCTCAAACCGTGGAGGCTGAGAGCTAGCAACAGGAATATTGCCGTGGTAATGCTGGACCCTTCTGGAACGCCGTGGCTGTGGCCTTGGGTATGAAAGGGGATGGTGGATGTGGGTGGTAGTTATAGTTTGCAGACACCATACTATATATATTATAAGGCAGAGTTCGACTATCAGGTAGGGAAAAACGAAATATTTATATTAATTGTAATGACAAACTGCAGCACTACAGTTGTAAGTGAGATCGAACAGAGCTATAGGCTATAACTCTCTCTTACAACTTGCAACAAGTGAATGTCCAACAAGCACCAACTTCGATATCATAATTGCAATCATGCCCATGACCTCCATGGTGATGACCATGACCAACGTGCATTTCCTGTCCTCTCGTATTGGCTTTAGAAGGCACAGAAGATGGCTGTATCTTTCGTCCCGAAGCTGTTCTTCGCGTTTGACCAGAAGACGCGGGTTCGTGACAGCACATTGAATGGTCTGTCAAAGTGCAGGAACGCCCGTGACTAGCACGGGGAAACAGAGGCGCTACTGCTGGCGTCTTCTTTTCTTGAATGGGTGCGGTAATAAAGGTGGGATCTTCGGATTTTAGAGCATTGTCCAGAGAGCAGATGCTCGTCTCGGCACAAACCAGACTGATCTCAGACGTCGTCTTCATCGGTGCGACAGCAGCGCCAGAACCTTGGAGGCTGATACGTGGAGGCGAAGTGTCAATCGTCAGTTCTAGATTTCCTTGGTCGAAGCCCTGGAGTTCGGCATCCTCAGGGACGTAGTCACCATTTCCGTGGTCGTGAATGCCTAGTCTAGCAGCCAAGTGATCATGTTCTACTTCGTCATCAAACATAGCACTTTTTAGGTCGTGACTGTGGCTCGTCTCTTCTTCTTCAGGTGCTGGATCCAGGAAGGCGTTGGCCAATACTCTTTCGCAGAAACAGATGAGCAAGTAGCCAGCGAAAATCAATTTGCCCAATGTTTGGAGTCTCTTTTCCATCCATTTCAGGTCCCAACTGGTCCAAGTGAAGTGAGTGTGATAGCCATCCGTTCCAGCCTGTCGCACCGCTTCTCTCAAATCTTCATGAGTAAAACCGCCTGTTTGGGGATTGGTTGAAGCGGCATTGAACCCATACAACGCTGTCAATTCCGCGAAAACTGCGACTAAGCCAGCCCTCAAAACAGACTCCTCTGAATTCAGCAAGCCCATCAAGCTCCGCAAAGTAGAAGAAGCATGGTCAGGAGTCAAAAGTTGCAACTTGAGAAGTAAAAACTTGTAGGCTGTGGTCGTGTTATTCGGGTCAATCGAAGGATCGTTGAGATCGTCGTGGACACGATTCACCGTTTTCCAATTGTCCAGACTTTCCTTTGTTAACAGCCGCATCAAGTCGATGATCGACTCCGGAAGGATGTGGAAAAACGCCATAGCAATGAACATGCCAGCGGCAGCCGCGTTGAAACATTCTAGGACGTATTTTGGCATGCGACCACGCAGAAACGCTGCTAGAGCCCCTCCAAGAACGACGCATAGAATCAGCACGAACGCCGAAAGAAGAACAAAATTCAGCTTGGATTGGTCCATCTTTTTGGTATTGTGAATGATTGACTAACTAATCTGAGAAATTATAAAATATTACTTAGACCACCTTAAAGAAATATCATTAAGAAACAAGAAGTTTGAGTTGATATGTAAATGTATCAATGGAGATTGATGTGGCGCGTTATTCATGAGGTAAAACTTTTTTTGGTATGCTCTTAGGTTAACTTGCAAAGATGTGTCGAGGACATAAGTCTTCATTCAGAGAGGATCACGGGAGCCATACACTAGACGCATGATTACAATTGCAAATTTTTCGATTAGTTCGACGCACCAGCAGCGGTGGGCGCAGAGAAAGCAAACATTTCACAGATACAAAGAGAAAGCTATAGAAAGACTGAAAAGGAGCACGAAACTCAAGTGAACTACAGACCGCATGAACGCAGAAAACCCTGATCATCACACCAACACAACATACGAGAAGAAATTTCAGCACGACAATGCCAGAACATTGACCGGGCCGATGGAATTCGGATACCATGATGTTTTTCTTTTCTTAAATTCTTGAGTTCTTCGTGGGGATTATAATTTCCTGAAATGCGCGTGCAGTTGTATTTTTTCGCATATCCGTTTTTAGCGTTCATCACTTCGTTAGCGATATCATCCTTGATTTTCTTGACTTTCAGTTTGACTACCATGACAGCATGCGTTTTGGATGGAGATCGCTTGGAACAACGTATGGGTATTCGATTTCCGGTTACAAAACATGGAGATATTTTATTCATACGAAGACTAGACTAAATTTGATGACATTATTTTTCCATGATAGTTCTGTGGTACTTCACTACATATATTAACGGAGATGAAGAAAGATGTAGTGCAACAAGCAATGATCTACAATTTTTTAGAGAGAGATAGACTCGGCCTACATCTACCGATGATATCATAACGCTTGAGTTCAAGCCTGTGCACCATGCTCCTATGGATTCAGTATGACATACTACTAGCGATTAATACCAGTCAGAATGGTACGTTAATATGTGACGATGTTTTTTACATCGACGCACTATGATATTGAGCACATGGTTCGGGATGGACCAATATGAACATACTGTTCTGAAATTAGATGCTAATTCTGTGTCAGAATCATCTCCATCAACAGCAAATCTGATGATCAGTAGTTGTTACACATCATATAAGATCCAAAACCAATCCTATTCTACGAAGATAAATGTCTGCTCTAGTTCCCATGTAGTTTAAACAAATAGTATACCTTTTATACCTGAATACACAATATTAATCATCCTGTACATAATGTCAGAAATGCAAAAATTGTTCCAAGAGATCATTGGTATTTGTCCTGAGAATCAGGTATCTAAATTTCTCTGCTTTCGCTCTAAGAATTCAACTACAAGTCCTAAGCGATTGGTCTGCTTTGCTGGAATATGACACACGCGTTCTTTGTGTTTGGGATCTGTAATGGTAATTCAATTTCCCTGTTGCTCTAGTAGATTGAATAATTTCTGATGCTTGTATTTCCTGATGCTCATGAATACGAATTTTTGAGATGCGCGTTGCTGCATCGATGAACAGTATGATGTCATTACCCGACTTAGTCAAACATGACGAGTTTTCTAGATGTCTTAGCTTAGTGTCATACAACTAGGGTAAAAGATAGTTTTTCACTCGAAACGGTAATTGTTAGTTCACACGTACATTGCTTGTCGATGACATTCTAGTCTGTTTGTCCAAGTATAATTACTACCTCTACTAGTACTAGTTCTGTTAAAGAAGCCACGCTCCTTGTAACAACGTGGTCGTCTTACTACGTCAGTCACTTTTGTGTAAGTAGTTCTACACCTTACAACAAGTAAAAACCCTCATCGTCGCTGCGGAGCGTCACTTGTTCTTCTGTCCACTACTAGCAGAACCCTGTGTTTCTGGATGTATCCCGCTCGGATTGTTCATGCTGACCAGAAATTTCAGCCTATTCGACATTTTCTGTTGTTGCGGTTGTTTCTTCACGAACTGCGAGTGGCCCATTCCTGGCAGAGCCCTAGGCGAACGTTTACCACTATTGCCGATCTTGGGCGTCGTGAGTTGATTCGCCGTCGTATCCAGGATTGGCAGTGTGACAGACTGCGAATGCCTCAACTCAGCTTCTTCCATCTTCGATGCTGTCCGTCTGATCGACGCTGCGTCGATCGTCAGTTCCTGCGAGCTCAACATCTGGCTCTCGTGGTAGCTAGTGATGTGCATAGAAGTAGACGAGTTTGCAGCTTCTAAACTGCTATTGGGTCTAAAGATCTGCGATGTACTGCTCTCCTCTGGTTGGTCAACACCATCTCCGCCTCTAGAATGCGTGCGGCCGGACTTGATGCGCTTGGGCGAGGGCAATTGTGCGACAATCAAAGTCTTCTTCTTCTCTGGCGAGACCATATTGCCGATATGCAAATCACCGGGACCAGCGGAGGCGGAGAGTGTCTACAGATTGTTGGATCATAATCACTCTAATTCATTGGATGAAGAAGACGTATAATTCACATTTCATACAACTGTGGGTCTCGAAAACAAAGATAAACACGACGAAAAGTTTGGACGAACTATCCTTCCTCATCCTCACAGGTAAAATTCAAAATACATGTCCCATCGAATCCGGCGACCTGCTTCTCGTTAGTCGTTGACTCGAATTTTCCAGTTTGCTTTTGAGGGTGTCATGTCCTATTCTCATAGAATCCTGGGTTATCGTTGTTTGTCCTACTGTCGTAGCCAAACCCGAACTTCCAGCAAAGGCTGAATCTCGACCTATCGTCGTCCCTGGAGTCAGTCCTCGAGCTATGCGTCCGCCTTGAAGGTTAGAGGAGGTTTTGGCTTGTTTGGGGGATACAATCTTGAGTGATGTAGCCAATCTTTAAGTATTGGTCATTTCGGAAGACACCATGCACCCCGATGTAGAACCTTGAGCTACGTACAGGAGGAGTTGAGTTGTTCGTGCCAAAATAGGTGAGAGTACTACTAAGCCTATAGTTCATGAAGTTGGAAGTACCATCACGGGGAAGTTGTGCGTGCCAAAATATAAAATAGACTATGTATTCTGTTAAAAATGCATCAGTTTCATAATCAACATCGATCCCACTCCTGTCCCCGCTTTGTGCGGTAGCGGCTCGACTGAACTCGAGCTCGCTCCGCCTGCCTGAGTCCTGTCTATGCTGTCCACCGATAATGAGTGCGTGAAATGCTCGGAGAAGGTAATCGTTGGCGAATTCAGCAAACTGAAACTAGTGCCCGCAAGTCCTAGAGCTTCTGAGGGCATTGCTGCGTCGAGGTTGCCCATCTTAGGAGGAGGACTAGCTCGTCGCATCCACGCTGGTGTCCGGTCAGCGACTATAGGAGCTGGGGCACCCTCGGAATCCCCGTAATACAGTGGTGCTCGCATCATGGAGACGGAACCGGGAGGCTGTTGAGATAGGTACTAGGAAAGAGCTTTCATGAAAGATGTCAGAGAGTGAATGTTGAAAGTTTTCATTGTCCCGTGTTGTATTTTTGTGAAGTTTCATCACAATACGAAAATCAGCTTTGAAAAACAAAACAAAAACAATACCGGTGGTGATCTATTTGAGTGCCTTGCATCTCTAATTCGCATATCCCCTGGCCTTCCGCCGGCTCGTGGGCCCGGTTCTCCGATTCTCAGCGTCTCTATTCCACCCTGTGCTGCAAGAAGATGCCCATCCTCTACTAACCTCCTTTGGCTAGCGACTGCGCCATCTGGTCTCACAGTCGCCTTGTTTGGCGTCTGGAGCTGCCGTGGACTGGCTTGTCGTAAGCTATTTTCTTTCGTCATCAGAGAAGAAGACTGCTGGATAAAGGAACTCTGTTCCGCTAGATGAGACTTGGTGTACATCAGCGTGGTCGTGCTGGGGTCCTCAGTGGAGAGCAAGGACTGGCCGAGACTGATGCGACCTGTTGAAGTTCATCATTTGTAGGGACCGTCGGTCACAAATGAAATTATCAAACGAGAGGCAAGATAAGGATAGAAGAACAACAAACATCCGGATGTATGTCTACGAGAGGTCAGTATCTTCACAATGCAACAAACAGAAACACGATCGATATCTCTACTACGTCTGCCAACCCTCAATCACAGTATTACGTACTTAGTACCTCCAGCCATCGGTGGCTGATAGAAGTTGCTTGCAACATAGGAATTCAGGCTTTTCCTCATCTCCTCCTGACTCCTATACCTCTTTGGACTAGATTTCGGCGACGCTTTTCGAATGATGGCGTTGCTTCGTACGCGCTTTTGCAAAGCGGCTTCGAACGTTTCGAACCCTTTGTAGAATTCCTGTTCGAAAGGGGGAAATAGTGAGGAGATCATGAACAAGTGGGTGAGCAACTCAAATTATCCAGTAAATGACAAAAAATACTAGTAGTTTGTAGGTAGCAGAAGAAATGTTAACCACCGTCATTCCCCACTTCAGTACCTGATACATCTTCCTCTGATCCTCTGCAGTCATGTCCTGGCCTGAGGTGTGCAGTACTGACATAAGACTGCGCTGTTGGCCGCTCCAGTGCTTTCCTGCACGGTTCTCCTGTCTTATCATACGATCCAGGGCATCCTGGTATAACCGCTCGTACACCTTTCGTATACTCTTTGCACCGAAGAGCAGGTTCGTGATACGGTGGTTAGAAGAGGGTGAGGGGTGTAAGTAGAGATGGTAATAAATATCCGTTGTATTGTCAAATTTTTGTTCTCAAGTTACACTGACGGCTTCTAGATAGTTTGTGATCGTAAACCTAAAAAATTTTGATTTACTTCGTCTCCTCAACACAAGTAGTGCACGCAAACAGTAGTAACCAAGCGTCATAACTGAATCCTTCAAAGCTGCGTCGATCAAATTGCTCTTCACACCCGCTTTTGCCAAGGCCTGTTTCATGTCCGCGAACTTGCTCTGCAGTTCTGTCACAGCTGCTTCCAATTTTTTCGCATACACTTCCTTTTCCTCTAGTTCCGCTCTCAACTGCGCCACTAGTTTCTCCAGCCGCCTGATCTGCTGCGTTTTCATGTCCACCTCTACTCTGGTAGCTTTCTGCATCACGAACTGTTCCTTGGTCTCTTTATCGACGACGACTCGAGTGTTGCCCTCTTCAGTGCCGACGACTTCGAATCGGTCGGCGTTTCGCCGCATCTGTTCGGGGTTGAGAACGTGCTCGATGGTCAACTCGTTGGCGATTGGCTCGCCCTCGTCGTTCAGAATCGGGTTCTCCTCTATGGGGACGTAGACGTTCTTCTTCTCCTGCACTTTGTTCTGGATCTTGTACGATTGACCTGGTGCGAAAGATGATCAGGACGAGATATTCTCACAAAATTATGGTAAATCAAAACCAGATGAGGAAGTAGAATGCGGTCTTCTTCACAATAACACGAGAATCATCTTCCGGGTACTGACTCTATCATGCGTGCCTCCTACAAAATCGTGTTAGATTCTTTGATGCGGAAGAACACGTCCCGCTACCTTATACCAAGGACATGCAACAATCAACATAGAACTCTTCCAGATTTCTGTACCTCTCTTCTTCTCGTCCATACCAGCGTAGACGATTTCACCCTGATCGTTTCCGTAATCCTTAAATTCCCATTCACGTTCTCCATCGCTGCCACTGCCACCGCCACTAGCTCCGCCACTAGGACCACCACTACCGCTTGCTCCACCGCTGATGCCACCGCCTCTAGAACTAGCTGGCTTAGAATACGGCCTGCCACCAGCACCGGTGTACCCACTCGCACCATTGAGGCCACTGCGTGAACTGGCGGCACCTCTCGAGCCTGGTTTAGAACCAGCATTACTGACGACGTAGGGAACACCTGCCACTTGTCGTGCGATCTCAAACTCTCCATCCGGGTTCATGGGCATCATGGCCTGGTTTGTGGAGTGTTAGAAAATTATGGCCACTTGGAGGAAATAAGAACGTGGGTCGTGGAATAGAAAAATGGAAATTCTGGTCTACAGAGGTTCTTCCTGAATGTATGTCATGTTCAGGTTGAGACTGTGAGAGAGAGTCAAGATTTCAAATAAAACTATACCTCCGGCACCGGCACAGTGCCTGGTCGCATCTTTTTGATCGACACCTGCAAATCTTCTGCATCTGGGTGTGTGTCCACGAACACCCACGTTCTCTTCTCAACCACTTTTCTTTGTACTCGGAACTCTTTGCCCGTCTCAATTTCAGTAATCTTGGCCACCTTATCGTCCAATTCCTTGATGCGGTAACCACTAAGGCCCTGGACACGAACTTCTCTTTGCTCTGTGCGTGCGTTGAGCGGCGCTTCACCCGGAAAGACCCACTCTTCTTCGCTCTCAACTGGCGCTCCTCGACCAAAGGGCGTTTTCTCGCGCGAGGGGAGACGGGAACCGTCCTGCAAAAAGAAGTGGTAGAGGTTGAAGTTGAGGATTGAACTGTGATTGGTATTTATCATCAAGTCAAAACGGGAGCAATAGATATAGAGACTTTATTGATTCTTTTCGATTATGAAGTGACGATGCTATCAAAATGAAGATCGATCATCTCTCTGATAGGGAAAAATCCAATAGCAATTCTTCTCACAAAAATAGGTACCGCCGAGTCCACAGGCATCCTGTACTGGTCAATATTCGCATAATCGTCATCCGGCGACGAGCGAGCACGCGAACTCGGGGAGGCTGCTGGAGATGCGCTAGGCGATAGTTCCGTAACCGGAATGGTCAGACCCGCTGCACTAGCCTGTTCTGTCAGTTCTTGCATTCTGCTCTCCATCTTGCCCATCTTTGCTTCTAGCTTTGCCGCGTCCTTTTTGGCTGTCGAGGCTTCCTTCTTGGCAATGGCTAATTCAGCCATCAGCTTGTCGACTTGGGAACGCAAATCCATGTTCTCACCACCAAGCTGTGCATTGTCTTAGAGCTCACCCTAATCCGTCTCAATATAGTTTGCATGTAGGGATAAACCTAAGTATGATTAGAGGGACAACTAACCGGTTGTTTTATAGTGCATCCTTCCTGTACGTAGGGTGCTTCTTCCCCTTCTTGAAAAGCGGACTCTCTTCTGAAGATGGATCATTAGGGGGAGCCTTAATTGTCTTGCTCCAAATTGTCGCATCGGTCACGCAGCAGGGCCATCTCTTTCTCCAAGGCGGCGAGTTCCTCAGCATTCAAGTCGATGTTACCAGCGTCACCACGGCCACTGCCGCTCTTGTTGCCGCTGCCCTGAGTGCTAGGACGACTGTCCCCACCTTGGCTTCCGCGTTTGCCTCCGACGTCGGTCTGGAGACGAATAAAGATGGTGGCGGAGACGAATAGAGATTGATGATGATGAAAAGAAACAAAGTCCTTCTTGACGCTCTCCTACTAGAGACGCTCTCCTACTAGAGACGCTCTTCTACTAGAGACGCTCTTCTACTAAAACTTGTTGAAAAAGATTTACTTGAGTTTTTACCCTGATATCTCCCATCCTTTCGATCTCCTTCTCGGCCATCTTCAATTGCTTGTCGGCTTCACGTTTCTCACGTGTCAATTGCTCATTCTGTTGCCTCATTGCGGCAAGTTGCTTTTTAAGGTCATCCACACTCTCACCAGGCTCATCAACCGGCATTAAAGCGGCCATCGCCGAGCTTGCGCCACCTCCGGCTTCCTCGAGTTTTCTGAGTGAAGATACGGTAGAGACTCGATTTTCGGTTGAAGATGAGATGTCTGAGAATCGATGAGTATGAAGATGACAAACGAAGACGATCAACATGTTGGTCATGATGAAGGCCATAGACGAATCTTCGATGTAAATATCGGAGAAACATCAACAACTTCCAACGAAGCCATCTTGTCTGTAAATTACCTGCACTTATTCTCCAGTGCAATTTTTTCTTGTTCGACAGTCCGGAAGAAGTCTTGGAGGTATTTCAGCTTGTCCTGCAGAGCCTGGATCTGGTCTAGGAATTCGGAATTCCCGCCACTGCCCTTGAGTGCAGTAATGAGCCTGTCACGCTGGACCAGCGCGTTTTCTGCTTCTTCCTGTTGTAAAGCGTTGTGTTCTCAGACTAAGTAGAGGATTATGTTTGTTAAGCAGCTACAGAACTACAAAGGAACCAGAAAAAGGACGACTATGCATAAAAAAATGACCATCATCATTACAATTCTATAACAGTGTGAGCAACAGGAGTATGCAAGATGATAGGTACTATTAACAGTAAATGGGTAACAGTAGGAGTAACTTACTTCAACTAGTACATAAGTTAAAGTTAGTACCTTCTGTGCCGCCAAGGCATCCATCTTTCGCATCAAGGTGTCTCTTTCACGCTGTACCGCAATGAAGTTCTGGATCGTGTCTGCAACAACTCCCTTCATCGCTGCTCGACCGCTCTGGAAGGCTGTTTTCACCTTGTCTGCAAGAAACAGCTTGACAAGCTCCTTGGTGAGTTAGAAGGATCAGCATGCTGATCATGTCGTTCTTTGTACTAGGACAAAGATAAAACTGTTGTTCTTTTCTGTTTCGCGCTGTAGGTACCTTCTAAGTACATTTATATTATTTGGAGAACAATGATAGTGCGCAGCTGATCTACTTCATATCACAAGTGATGATCTCATTCAACTGACTTGTAGTTTTTCTGCCCTATTCTTCAGGCGACAATTTCATCCAGAAGTCGCTGTTGATGAAGCTAACGTCTTCCGCGCCAAATAATTGCGCGACCACGCTCTCGTACGCACTTTTCACCGTCTGCGTGTCTTCAGACATGAAGCGCAGTTGGTCCTTCATGACGCTGACAGTTTCGAAATATTCTTTGCGTACTTCGGTGATATACTTCTGGTCCCGTTTGCTCTGTTCCCGGTCTTGAAACGCTAGAAACAAGGCTTCGCGAAGGGCCTCGAGTTTGCCTTCGATCAACGCCTCGATCAGGAGCAAGGTGCAGAACCAAGTGTAATCGGTGAGGATGGCTGAAGGTGGAGAACTTGGGAGTGTAGAGGGATGATGGTGAGTGAGTCTCACGCTCAAGTAGCATTAAGAAACTACACTAGAATTGTTTGCAGGTAACACTGTTGTAGACCGCGGAGGATTGTTTTGAACACTCACGTTTAGTTACCTTAAAAACACCAGTCAGTGATGAATTAAAAGACATTTACAAGTAAGTACTTACTAAAATCACAAGAAGTACATAGCATCAGGTTTTTCGGTGCTCCGAAGGAGAAAACCATCCTCGCACCCCAGTAGGAAATGCCTTCTGCAATCGAGGGTTCCTCGTCCAGGAAGTGGTGCAATTGCTTCTGCAATTTCAGCGGTATCCGAATTTTGAACAACCGCCATTTCTGCACCCCATACCTCTGCGGATGAAAATAATGTGCAAACGGTCTGAAATTCTCCAATTCATGGGTTAGCGGTGCTCAAAATAATTCATCTTGTGTATAATTTCCACTTTTTTTAGCCTCACAATCTAACAAGGTTGAAAGTGAAAGAGCTCTTTGATATGGCAAAATTTAGGCAAGTTAATATTATAGTCTGTGAACGACAAGATGAATCAATATTGCGAGCAGCCTTAACTGGGTAGTCGGGAACTTAGTCTGGCCACCACGCGTCAACACTTGCAAATCGTCTTTCGCGATACCTGTGTCTTTTTCGACCATGTAAGGACTGACGAGAGCACCAGTTTGCTCAGACGGTTGCTTGGCTGGACCACTCTTGGGAGAGTCGAGAATGCCAGTGCCGGCCGCGAGCTGCCGCGATTCGCCCCATTTGCTCACGGGCGAAACGGACGGCATCCTCGCGACTCTATCCTCTACTTAGCTCTTTTTCTTTTTTGTAACTTTCTACTTTCTCTTTCTTGCAGATCTTGAAGATACTTAGACTTCCTTGCTTAGTAAGAATCTACGTTTTGGTTCTTTGTCCCCATAATTTCGACAATTTGAAATACTATTATCATCCACTATATTAAATATAAATCAAAACTAATTTTAAGGGTTAAACAGGAGTAGACTTCTGGCGCGGTATGTACGGACATCATGGCGAAGATGTACGGGGTAGATGTATAGCGCTCAGACGTCTCCGGCGGCGATATATATGCTGTACGGCAATCGGGTTATGTGCTCGCACTGGGGTAATTCGTGAAGCTTCTCCGCTTCTCTTTATTTCTGAGATGTACGGAAATCATGGCAAAGATGTAGACTCAGAAGTATCCGTCTTTTTTCGTAGCAATTCTTTGGCATTTTTCCGTACATCTTTGCTTTTCATGATCCTGCTCCTGGTAAGCCTTACGGTGGTCGTAGCCTACGTTTCTGGGCGGTACCTGCTAAGCTGAGAATAGACTTCCCGATAGGCGTAGCGTGCTGGCTAGGCACAGCTTGCTTGCTTGCTAGCTAGCTAGCTAGCCGTATTATATTGCTTGCCAGCCATAGAATATTCGCAAGGCATAGCCTGCTTGCCAGTCATAGCTTGCCTGCTAAGCAAATCTCGCCTGCTACGCCTAGCTTGCTTGCTAAGCATAGCCCTTTAAGCGTAGCCTTTTTGCTAAGCGTAGCCTGCTTGCTGGGCGTAGCTGATTTGCTCCGCGTAGTTGGTTTGCTCCGCGTAGTTGGCATCGGCGTGCAAATGTAGTTGGCCTGCTCAGCGTGCCGTAGCTGGCTTGCTTGGCATAGCTTGCCCGCTGAGCATGGCGCGCCTGCTAGGCATAGCCTGCTTTCGAAGCAGAACCTGCTTGCTTAGCATAGCTTGATGCACGCTGCGCATAGCCTTCGCGATAAGCATAGCGCGCTTGCGTCCATGCTATCTAAGCGTCGCCGGCTTGCTAAGCATGGCCCCCGCGCTACGCATGGCTCGCCTGCTAGGCATAGCTTGCCTGCCAGGCGTGGCTTGCTTGCTAAGCGGAGCCTGCTTGCTAGGCGTCAACTGCTTGCGCGGCGTAGGCTGCTTGTTGAGGGTGACTCGCTTGCTAAGCGTAGCTTTCTTGCTAAGCATAGCCCGCTTGCTAAGCATCGGCGTCGCTTGCTTGCTAGGCACAGCGTGCTTGCCAAGCCTAACCTTCTTGCCGAGGGTGCCTGGCTTTCTTCCCATAGCTTGCTTGCTAAGCGTGGCCTGCTTGCTGACTAAGCATAGACAGCTTGCTAGGCCTAGCTTGCTTTCTACAGCGCATGGCCTGCGCGCTAGGCATGTGCTAGGCGTAGCTTGCTCCCTAGGCATAGCCTGCTTGCTGGCGATGGCTTGCTTGCTAGGCGTCGCTTGCTTGCTAGCTAGGCCTACGCTGCTTGCCAAGCGTAGCCTGCTAAGGTGCTGCCAATGTATACGCATCACGTCAATGCATGTAGCACGTAACTCCTTTACTTATTTTGCGCCTCGTTCACGTCATTCGTAGCACGCCGATAGGCCGTAAGTCTCTCGTGTAGCTCGTAGAATTTGTCAGACCCTTCCACCCTGCCCCGGCGTGTACACACGCCGGGGGCACGTAGGCCGTATTTGTTATTTTGTAAGATAAATTCATTTTGTGTAAATCAAGACTATAATGTCGAGGTTATATCATTTGATCTTACGAGAAATTAAATCCTGCACGGACGAATCAATGAACTAGAACAAGCATGTGCTGGGAATTCATATTGAAGAGGGAAGGAGGAGTGCTAATGTAGGGTAGACGGACTATCTGCAGATCATACCAGCACCGAAATGATGGAGAGGAATATACCCAGGCGTTACAACCCGCACCGATTGCTAGATATACAAGGAGAAAATCGACGCAACATACCAAAACCGAAGTAGTTTCTCAACAGTCCGATTGCTACTACCGATTCTAACCAATCACTGTCGAGTCTGAACACACGACGATAGAGGCAAGTCGTCTACCTCACAGAGGGGTAGTACATACTTTGCACATTGATGTGATGAACATACAGATCAAAGCGGAAGAGACAGCAACCTCCAATCCTTCGTTTGGAATGAAAACTTCAAAAGGAGCAGCCTAGATGATCTGAAAAATGGAAAAAACTACATCCATAGCTCTTGTGGTTGCCAATCCGTGTTCATCGGAGCAAGCACACTTTGAACAGCGATTCCCTTCCTCAAATCAATAGTGTCCGCACGCCGTCGACGGCGTGTGTCCTTTTTTCACAACGTGGCTGTTTTGTTCCACCTATGTCAATCTTGAAATAGGGTTGTGGGGTCCACCATCTTCATCATTGAAATGGTATTGTATCCACTTCGGAGAACAAGTCAAACATGGATGAATCAACATTTTTTACACCTTACTACGAGGACGTCGATGTACAGAAGTCAGGTCTGTCCTAAATCTTTCACCTGCACACAATTTGCTATAATAAATGACTTAAACTTTACTCACATTCTGCCAGTGCCTGTAACCACGCCTCTGTGCTAGGATTCTGACTACGGTACTCTACTATCTCTTCTCCTTGTTGTGCCTCATCTCCTGTCATCGCGTTATCCGTAGGTGTCGTGTTCATTTTCTCTCCATAAGCGGTGGTATCTTCAGCAGCGGTGGTCTCTTCAGCAGCGGTGGTCTCTTCAGCAGCGGTGGTCTCTTCAGCAGCGGTGGTCTCTTCAGCAGCGGTGGTCTCTTTCCCTTCCGCAGGTGCACCTTCGAAAATAGAAATGACGTGTCCTCTCCAGTCCAGAATCTCGAAAGTTCCGCGTTCTAGACCTCGCGCAACCCTGCAATTACCTAGAGGCGCCATCGGATAGATTGCCTCCGCCAAGCAGCCTATGTCTGTGGTTTTTCTATCGGAAGATCCTCTATTATAATGTTGCCCATCTTTTCGTAGTGTGCTCCGTGCTGTTGTACTCGAAAACAGAGTACTACCTGCAGAGGTCATAGCCTGAGAACCTCCCAGAGACAAATCGACTCCTGCGTCTACTTCTTGAAGATCTTTGTTTGTGCTATCGCCTTGTTTTCCCTTAGGAGATCCGTTCGCGTAACTGCTGCTTTTCTTCGACGTACGAGATGCTGTCATTTGAACTTCGAACTCTCCTGTATCCTTGAACTGAAAAACGCGTCCATCCTGAAGCAAAACCAAAAATCGTTCAACAGAAGGCCCACCATCGGGGAATATTTGGGTCAACGAGCCCTTCAGCACGATCTTCGGGTCCATAGGAAATTCAGCTACCAACTCCTCAAGTTGGAGGTGCCCTATCTGTTCTTCAGAAAGAACGATGTCTTCAGAAGCACTTTCGGTTTCGGTCGTGGTGTCGGCACTACCACCGTCTTTGGTTTGACTTCCTCTGCGTCCGCCTCCATTTCTGGTTTTCCTACTTTTACTTTGAGATAATTGCAATGCGCCGAGAACTTTTCCATTTGAGGACTTCGTCAAAGAACTGTTGAGGACCATGCGCTTCACGTGCGTATTGTAGTTCGTTTGCCCACTGTATGCAACTCCTGTAGCCCCTACGTCTGCGCGTGCCCATTGACCACTTCTCAGATTGAAGGCCCACTCGTCTTCCCTGGCTGAGGAGTTATTTCCGAACCAAGAACCGAACCAGCCTCCATCACTGCAAGTTCTGCTACAGCAGTCGTCGCCAGAGGAACGCAGTGGCCGACGCAGCATGCCGCTGCCACGGTACTCCCTGACATCCTTGGGCGCGAAGCCTATGCGGCTTTCCCTGATCAAGTTCAGCATGGGGACAGAACCGGGTCGCCGGCGGTGTACTTGCGACGCAGCTCTGATGTCATGCGAAGGAACAGAGAAACCGGCGAACCTGAATGAAAGAACAAGCGGATAGCGGGAGAGGATGCATAGACTGACAAGAAAGCAAGTCATTGCACGAAGTCCAACACAAGCCACTGAAGATTCTAGAGGAGTACACATGCAGCTTTTCAAGAGCCATTTTTAGGTTCATTTAGAGGAGAAAACTCAGAAGAAACTGCTCATTGCAATAAGTAGTACCAATGTTCTGCACCACCACTAGGTGTACGTCTGCCGCTGCTAGGAAGGACTTTTCTCGTAGGAGAGCCATCTCTGGCTTCACGGCCACTGCTACCGGGAGCACGTAACTCTGCTTGTTGGACGACCATATTGTGATATATTCAATTTCATCGAAAAAAACACAAGAAAACACGTGCCACTAGCGATAATTTGTGTTACGGTCTTCACTATTTAGCTGCAGACACGATGAAATGCTTCAAAAAAAGGAGCTCCAAGAATATATGGTCTTAAACTTAAAGGAATCATGAAACCAATCTAAATTTCAAGCGAAATACTACTCAGCACACGATGCGGGATGTTGGGGAAAATAAATTGATAGAAAAAGTCCCTGATAAAATTTGTTGAAAATCATTTAGTCGAATTGAAAGGACAACGATATTGCTTTCTATTCCTTGCTGATAATTACAGTCACTCCATCTTTTAGTCGTCACTCTCGCTCTTGGAACAGACATCATCGTTGCGTTTGTGGTCAGTAAAACAGACAATCGTGCTCTTCATTGTCGCATCTAGCACAGAACAGAGTCGTCCCTCACTCTCAACACAGAAGACATTTTGGTCTACAGAATGTACGCTCCAGCACAACGGCTTACAGAACCATAACCATTTAAGTTTATCGCCCACTCGACTCACTCTCACAGAACCATGAGCATGACCATCTAAGTAAATTGCACACTCAGAAGACCTCGGCTAGATGTTAAACACGACTACCAAGAACAACGCCCTCGCCTACCAGTGCGCCACCACTATATTTCTTTTGCAATTTGACAATATTCACCTCTTCTTTTCATTTGACGTTAGTCAATAGAGAAGACCTAAGACAAGTCCTTCCTACTTTCTATAGAGGACTATACTATTCACGCTGATGCAACTATACATCACTTATACAGAAGAACTCATGACTGTCTGGTGGTATTTTTGAGCGTTTTCGTTTTCATTGTGTCTGTTCATATCCAAGTTAGGTAAATACATGATACTGAAGCATCAGCAGCAACATCAGGCTGTACATTTAAGGATTCATTCGAGCTTGTGCCTTGTCGTCGTGCCCTCACAGCACACGACAAGGTCTTTACGGAAAATTATCAAGAAAGTGGAGCTAGAAATAGAACAAATAGTCTGCACTAGCCTACAAAAAGATACTTGGTATCTATTCTTGGCATTGATTCACTGTGCAAAGTAAATGCAAACTACTTGCTTTGCATTTCCTGTGCGCGGAAAATGATGCTGATGTGCCCAGCTGCTGGCAGCGGCGGGAGGAGAGCACTACTTTCTCATCACGACACACCGACACATACTCCAACAAATACAAATTTTTGAAATTTCACCTTTTCGTAATCTTCACAAAGGCTTAAACCAACACCGGTTCCGTGGCCTCACTTTCGAATGCGTCGCGCGGAGAATCGAGCTGATTTTGATTTGTGACATTGGAAAATAATACCACAACAGGGATAGAGATGATAATGATGATATACCCAGCTTTGAGGCCGCGGATTTGCACGCAACAACTGCATAACCTATAGACATCTTACTCATTATCCGACGAAATTCAATCACACACTCTCAACTAGAATAACTTACAAGCTTGCAACTGCTTCTCTTATCTTTTCGTCAAGTAAAAAGTATCTATAGGAAAGTACCCCATTCCAATCGTTGGTGTGCTGTAAGATCTGGTCCGGGACTGGGCTAAGGTGTACTGCCTCCATCGGAGAGAATTCACGACGCCTTTCAGCACTCAGGCTGATACCCGTCAATCCAACAAAGTCAAGACCGTGAGAGACGTGCTGTGAGGTGTTGGAAAGAGAGAGAGATCTGTGAAGAGATTTCATGTGGGAATGAGTCGTTGAGAAGGAGATTGATTTGTAAATCTCGATTCTGATTTGACTGCGAGCACTAGTCTGAGACATCGATTCAAAACACAGAGATGATACTAGCATCTAGTGCCGTCTACATATCAAGTTGTATGTAGATGCACGCATCAAGATTATGAAAAAGTTTCATCACTCCCAGAAAGTAGACGTACTCCTTTCTCAAACAAGCTAGCAAAGAAAAACGTCAAAAATAATATTCATCTTCGAAGAAAAGTACCCCTTTCTCAAAGAGCGAGCTTCTTGGCAGGTTCTTCTCCATATCGATATTCAGCAAGGGCCCATCCGTATCCGGAAAATTGGGCAAAGTCAAGATCGACGGATCAAAACTGAGTCGGTCGGATCTCGGCGTCGGCTTGTATCCTAGTCTTGCACTCGGCATCCTGGAAGATCCCATAAGAGAAGACGCAGTTGACGTACTGCTCTGAGCTCCGTTAAACATGAGGGCGGGACCACCTGTGTTGAGTTGGGTTGTGTACTGGAGGGGAAGAATCAAGATGAAGATTGGTTCTTTTTTTATCATAGTGGATGAGACGAGAGTGAGAGACACAACTGAGAGAGAGAGCGAAACATCAAACGGCTATCTTCAGTCACCTTGACAACATACATTCATGAGAAGAAATAATAAAAAGTAGAAGTACAAAAACAAGTTGACACCATATAACAAAAGCGTAGTACGAAAAGAAGTACCAATAACATTCGCTTTGAAGTGATGGAGCTTTGTGTGGACTAAGTGCGGGATGTTCGGCAGATGGGTGATGCTGGTTCCGATAGCCTTGTCACAGCGTCTCACATGAGCCACATGACGCAAATGCACTGGCTTCAATCGGTTTCCGTGCTCTGTGATGCAAGTTTGATCAAACAATCAAAGAGGGACATGAGATCGATATATTGAGTCAATTGACGTGTTGCATATCATGCTATGCAGCCTGTAATTGATAATTTTCAAAAATCGTGTTCGACAATCATTAACATTATATATGTTTATGAAGTGTTTGCGTAACTACTTAAATAAGAATTATTCAGGCAACAACGAGTACGTCCCATCTTCACGACTGATTCTGTAAGATGAATATACCAGCCAACAGGTTCATTTCCAGCAGGCTTCCGTCCTTTTTATCGAACAGTTCCGGCATGTGTCTGTCCGTTAGCAAAGCGTGATGCGGCAAAACCAATGGGTGCAATTCCATTGTGTGCAGGTGCACGCCGTGGACATCAGCCGCTCCACCGGAAATCTTAGGTGCCGCGATCGCACCTATGTGCAGCTGATGCGGCGCTGGCATGCGATGTTCAAAATGCGGATGATCCGGGAACATGTGCGTACTCGGCATGTTGACGTGAGGCGCTGGCAAAGACGGATCTGCGTGAGGGTGATCCGGGAACATGTGCGTACTCGGCATGTTGACGTGAGGCGCTGGCAAAGACGGATCTGCGTGAGGGTGATCCGGGAACATGTGCGTACTCGGCATGTTGACGTGAGGCGCTGGCAAAGACGGATCTGCGTGAGGGTGATCCGTGAACATGTGGGTGCTAGGCATGTTGACGTTAGGCGCTGGCAAAGACGGATCTGCGTGAGGGTGATCGGGGAACATGTGGGTGCTAGGCATATTCAAATGCGGCGCATCCAAGTTATGCGCTCCATCAGGAGCGTCCGTCGTAGTGGATCTGCGCGTAGCAGCCTTCGCTTGAACGTACGACGTAGGACCAGAAGTAGAAGCGCCTGTTGCAGTCGCAGTTGTAACAGGCGCACCCGCAGACGTTACGTTGCTGACAGTCGTGGTAGTGGTGGTAGTCGTGGTAGTCGGAGCAGTGACAGTCGTGGCAGGTGGAGCAGCGTTAGCAGCCAAATTTTCGTCCGAGTTGATCGGAGCAGCTTGGACGTAGTTCACCATTTTAGATCGAAAGAATGCTTCAGATTTGGTGAATTCTAAACCTAGTTGGATTGCTTTTTGGAACTAGTTACTCCTTATGTTGTTGTTGCTTCAAAGACTTGGGATGCCTTCGTATAGTGTTGCTTCAAACAATTGGGATGTCTTATTTTGTTGTTGTTTCAAAGACTGGGGTGTCTTCAAATATATAAGAAGTTGTGAAAGTACGTGGTGAAGAGAGAGGCGGAAAGTTTTTCGTATGATTGAAAGAATCTTGGCTGACAAATAATTTCAAAATTATTTAATATGCAGCTGGGATAGAAAAAGATAAAAGCGATGTGCGATAATGATTGAAGATTCCTAGTTTTTACGTAAATGTGGAGCTAGGAGCTGCACCACTTCTGAGGGAAGATATGAGACTCCTACACAACGAACTCAACAACATTCAGAAGTGTGACATGTATCAGGTGTCCCAATACTTGTTTGCCCTCTTGTTTAGAAGAAAACAGATGGTGCCGTGCTCTCGATACAGATATGCTGCTATCAAATATCGCTCTCATATCCTGGATATCATATTACATCGCACTCACTCGCACCTCCACTCAACAGATACAATCTCAGACCTTACAAAACAGAAGCTCTCTCTACGGTGTCCTACAGATTCGGTGGAAGTAGCTTATCGTCATTTTTCTTCCTTGAGGCTTTTCTCTCCAAAAATATGCTGGTGTGCTGGAAATACCAGCTTATAACTCAAGAAACAGAAGGATAGCTTCTCAAACAGATTCTGATTTGCGACCGCACGAATTATTACCAGTTGCGTTTGTGTGTCACACAGGGACACCGGAATTGACAGTGTAGTCATTCAACAATTTTGATTTTCTTGCATTTTCTAAACAGTTTCCTTTGTACAGAAGTCTACGACCACATGCTCTTTCATCTCATAAAGCGCTTGGTGGGTTTCGCTCTTCATGTCTGCATTTGTTCAGAAGGCACAGCATCGAGTGGACCTTGCTTTTACATTGATTTATGTAGTACTTCTAGTGTGGAAAAGACTAACAACTAGGTGTTCTCTATGTAACACAACTGAAACTTCAACTTGTTTAAGAATGAGAACAGCAACTTGCTAGAACTAGTAAAAAAACATTGAAGCAGAAAGCCTTCAGCTTTACAACGAACATATATGAGGAAAAATCTACAATTATACAACAAATGAGAAAACGACTAACTGATACCACTATCTAGTAGAGAAAACCCTCATCCACATTCTACTCCTCTATCTTGTTTTAGCTAGATATTCTATGACATAGAAACTAATTTTGTATACCTGTTTCACCTACGTAAGATCACTAAATGGTTGATACTTTTTTTTACATTTTTTCACGGTTGATTGCATGTCAGCCACATATCAAGCCTTCAAATATCGACATCTTTACTTCGACGTGTGCACCACGCACTACATCATTACTGTACCTCGACGTGTGCGCCACGCACTACACCACGCACTACATCATTACAAATACAATTACTGTACCTACTATATCTACGTACTCTAGCCAGAAAAATGACATGACGATTCCCATGAAAATGAAAATGAGTAAATTATGAGCACAAAAAATCTTACTTCCACACGACTGTAGACAACGAAGTTGTTTTGTTCACAACTACGTGATGAACATCACGTAGTAGCTATTCGACTACTTCATTCACCGGCTTTACCTTTCGAACTCCCCTCCCACTAAGTCATGAAAGCTTGCAGGCGCTACCAACTTAACCTGCTCGAGACGTCGTCAGCTCCGTATAGAGCTGCGACAACACCGCTTCGGTTACAGCGTCGTTTGGGTTAGAAGCAAAAGTATTCCGTGTTTCTTGTAGTGTATGCCGCTAAATATGGAATCCCTCTGCTTGAACTTGCAGTAGGTTCTCAGATATTCCAAGACGCTATCCCGCGGATGAACGCAACACACCAAGCTCCATAGTAAGGCACGAACAATTATTAAGATGTCAAGTAGTGGACTACTACAGAAAGACTCATAGTAATTAATCATGCTCCTTCTGCTGGTGCACGAATAAAGACACTGGCCATAACAACTGCATCATCTGGCGCGACGGTCACGGATTTTTCCCGAGATTCGGGTTCTGAAGCTGAAAAACTAGACTCTTCCGACTCAGAATCCGGTACTATGTTAAGCTCCTTCATCCCTTCACCGAAACTTGAAGTGTCGTACCTAGGTAGTAGTTAGAGTCGAAGTTATACGAAGTTTGTAAGGCAATGGGATTGGGAAAGGAATAGTACTCCTCCATCTAACTCGATGGAATCCAATCACTATTGTTCATCTTCCATTTGTCTCTGGGCTCGTGTGTTTGTGATGAAGAATCCTAGCATGAAACAAAGAATCAACTATACTATGACATTTATGAATCCAAATTGAGGTAACAGTATGCACTAATTGAGGTAACAGAGTGAACAACTGCAACAATGAAAACCGAAACTAAGTAAGAAACTGCACTGTTGGTATTAGAGATAGGTTTTTGGTGCTCGTTTATCCCGTTTGTTATGCCTGTCTCCCTCAGGAGAGCCATAACAAACGGTAACAAAAGCACCTTTAACCTACCCTTAATGATAGTTTATGAATCACATCAGTACGCACTCACGCTTGGCACTTTCATGATGTTGCACTGGAAGGTGATTCGCGGTTGGGCACCCTCTGCCGCTGCTGGCGCGCTGGTCTCTCCACCAGTGGGAGCTACGACCACAGGAGGCTGCGATAATATGAAAGGACTATAATCATATGAAACGGCATGCCAAGGTAGTATGATTCATTCATTACGTCTCAAGTGATTGCACAAGATCACCAGCAAGACGAAACATTTCCTGCGACGGTATAAAACTGGCCGGAAGAAGTGTATAACCTATACAGGTGATACGTGGATCAATCACAGTCGGTAGTATGAATAGGTTCGTCACTATAATCATCGTTCTAGGTCATGATCTCTACCACGTGGAGGTATGAGAGCGTTATCGAGGACTTGCTTACGTCCAAAATTATGAACTAAATATTCTACTTCGAAATACTTACTACTCGGATCATATATAAACTCAGAGATTTAGTGCTTGTCGCTCGATACTCCTTTCGATTTTCTACACTACTTTGGATTCTACACTATTTGAAGTTGAACAAATGACCCAGTTATCATAATATCAGCCCCTCTACTGCCTTTGTCTGACTCCACTGGTTCAGCGACAACTTCTTTTCCATCCTGTGACTTCTCTGTTCGTGGTGTAGCCTCCTCCGCTCCCGATGTCTTTTCTACTTCCGGTTTCTCCCCTACTGCTGGATCATCTGATGATGAACTGTTAGCGTGTGCTAGAATGCATCTCGGTCCCCTCATCTTGACCCCTTTCGCCTTATATTTCACGAGAACACAAGGGAAAAGGGGACCAAGATGCCGAGAATGACGGACACTAAATGTTGACCATAAAATTGGGCTGCTCTACTTTTGTAAGTTGCTGATAATTGTGATTTTGTTCCTGTGCTGCGATTGGATACTTCTTCTCAACCATGTCTTCAGCTTCTTTTTTGGATGAAGCGAGTTCTTGCGTAGTTGGATCTCCCAGCTCCTTTTTCTTCTCTCTTGAGCCTTCTCCTGCCGATGCAGAAGTGTCATCTTCTACTGATGTTGCATGTCCAGCGGATGTTGTAGCGCTACCTAGTAAATAAGCTGCAGTGGATGTACCAGCCCCACCTCCGCTCGCTGTGTCTGCTACCGCCGATGAAGTAGGTTCTGCTGGCTCTCCCTTATGTTGGCTATAATAGGGTAGTCTATTCTATTCTGTGCATCCCTAATAAGGTAGTCTATTCTAGTCTGATTAGACGAGAGGAGGTTGTAATCAAATGCTTCAACTACCAATGACAAGAGTCACGACATCCTTCAGGATAATTGTCTTTCTCACACCCTTCATAACACTCCTTGTTGTTCCTGTGCTGAACGCGGTGCCTCTTCTTCTATCTGCCTCGAAGTGTTCGCTTGTGCCACATGTCTCGCCTGTTCGTTGTTTTTATATTCCGCAGGAGCAGCTCTTGACCCTGAGCTTTGCTCATTCGTTGTCACGACATTAGGCGGGACAACGGACGAAAATTCTCCTCCTGTGTGTTGCATAAGAGCAAAAGACACTAAGACCATTAAATCTTCTACCTAGGACAAAGATATAGTATATACGGTATCATGGGTGAATGTAACTACTTACTCCTACACTAGTCAAGAATGTTTAGCTTCATATCGAATTCAATGCCGAGATGCTTCGTAAAAACATTTTGTGTTTGACACAATTTAAATACCTCGCAAATCGGCCTCCGCGCTTGGTTTTGCTGCTGGCTTTGCTGGTGAAGAGGATGAACCTGCTAATATCAGAACATTTTTGCTGAATAGCGATGGGCCGACAGAAGTGCTTGAGACGATTGAACAAGAGTCGTGTTCTGAATTACAACGAAGGAGCCTCCCAGCGACAACTAAGCTCTGAATAACACGACCCGAGTGATCTCTTTAAACGTCTATGCGAGCTTAGCAGATGCTGGAAGTAGACCAAGGCTCTGAGTAGGGGGTGGAGGTTTAGTTCCAAGGCGGATGAGTAGTTCCAATGCTGTGAACAGGCGGTAGATGCGCCTGTCGCTCAACAGAAGCTTGTATTTATTTACCTCCATGCGCCTGTCCCTGCAGTAAGGTAGGTCGCTCCACTGCATCATCGAGAGCGTTGCGGAGCACTTCAGTCGCACCAATCGGCACAACAGCATTGCCGCCGTTCTTACTACAAAGACCTCCCATCGAGAGGCCTAGGTAGTAGTTGTTGTAAAAACAGAAGTAATCGTCCAGCTCTACGGTAATTCTACTTCTATGTATAGAACACGGATAGTGTCTTCAGATAGAGCAGGTACTAGGTCTAGTCTACATCAGTATTGAGTAAAGACACTTCAGATAGAGCAGGTAGGTCTACTTCTATCGAATAAGGATAAGATCGGTAATTCTACTTCGGTCATGTATCGTAACACTAATATCAAGGTGGTAGTGGTACTAATAAGGCGGTGGGTACTTACTTTTAAGCAACTGGAGCATATTCGAGGTAGGCAAATCGCGTGACATGAGAATGTGAATATGTCTGCGTCACCCAAGAAACACGGTTACGGCCCTTCTCGGCTGAGAAATTCATCGTGGGGAAAAAAACAAACAAAAAATTAGATGAAATGGAAGGCGTTGGGACCAAGAAAAGAAAACCATCTTATTATATAGTTCTTTTCCACTACAGAAAGCATCTTCTCACGCATTCATTCGGCACCACGTAAAAACCTCCGATGCTTGCCAGGCCGAGTACAATCATGATTCTATCACACATGCTAGAATTACCGTGTCTACTTCTCTCCGGACCGACGTGGTGCTCTTCTAGGAATACAGACTCGCCTTCTAGAAGCTATACCTTCTTCCTCTATTTATGAAAAAAAGATAGGTAACAGTTACCCAGCCCAAAGACTGGATTTTGAAATTTTGAAATGGCCACATAAGATCATTTGTTAGCCTGTCGCATCAAACATCCGCTCGTTCCAAAGAGGTGGCATTTTCAGCCGGCTCACCAAGATTTCTGCAGCGAGCATATTGCGATGCTGGCATGATCTTGAGGACCATTTATACAGACACGACAAAATCAAAATAAAAACACAAATAGGTCTGGTCATAAGTACACGATTGTGCAGGAGCAACAACGATCGATCAGATATTCTTTCTATTTGGTGTTTGACATATAATACACTCTTTCATCGGAACAAGAAATCTGTACTTTGAGTATGGGTGTGGCGTGTTACAGATATCATGGTTGAAAGTTGTAATCAGTAACCTTGTTAACCTTAGAGAGTCAAAAACAATTCCGCAGATGAGATTAACTACAGTTAAAAGTAAGGTTAACTACGAAGGGAAAGGTAAGTTGAAGTTGTAATTACAGTAACTGTAATTTTGACAGGTACTAGAAAGGTGCTACAAAGACTACCGTCAACATTGCAAGCCCGCAACAGCTCATGAAGGAACGCGCGACCTTGATTGGCGAGCCCAGTACTTTCTTGACCTTATTCTTTTTAGCGTCGCTGGAGGCAAACTGCGCCCTTATTGGAAGAGATATCGAGTCTTTGTTGAGGCCTTTGAGAGGATTCCTCTCCCTCACTTTTTTTGGTTGATGTGGGAGAAAGCCTGTTATCGAAAGTTTAAGGCTATCGTACGACGGTAGATAAAATCTCCCTGCCTTCTCTTTCTACTACCTTGAAGAAGATACCAACTGTGGTTATTTTCCCTTGGAAAAACGGCCATGGATGGTGGTTTGGAGTGTCCACCATCTGCGGTTGTAGTCTTAATGCTAGCGCTGGATCACTCGCTACAGCTGCACCTGGTGGCAAAGCGTCATCCCATTCGTGCGTGTCGTTGTCGTCTTCGACCTTGCCAAAATGATGAAGAGAGGTTTTCTTAACCATCCCAGTCCTGTTCGGATAGAAGAACTTCCATTTGAAGAGAGGTGGAGAGGAACTTCCATTGAAAAAGATACCAACTGTGGTTATTTTCCCTTCGACAACATCAACAACGAAGACAGAAACAAAAACGACGACCACGATGACGACGACGACGACGACGAATGTGATGAGTGATGAGCAGAAGCGTCATCCCATTCATTCGTGCGTGTCGTTGTCGTCTTTATGTACATGGATCCACGTGAATACTAAGAAGGGAGAAACTTCCCGGAATCTTCCCAGAATCTTCCCGGATGAATCTACCCCGCCTTCTCGCTAGCAAGTAGCTCACTCTCATTCACCATACATTGATACTTTCACTCAACAGATTTTTTTTTGGGACCTGGGTCTATATTCCTCGCAATAAGAAACAAAAACGACGACCACGATGACGACGACGACGACGACGAATGTGATGAGTGATGAGCAGAAGCGTCATCCCATTCGTGCGTGTCGTTGTCGTCTTCGACCTTGCAAGTAAGACTGACTTAGTTCTGACGGGTGACTTCTTACCTACTACCTAGTATCTATAGCTGCACTCTTTATGAAAATGAAATGAAACTGTTACTGTTACTATGCATAATTCGTGGTGTGTACTTGCGATTCAGGATCTCTATACGCTAGACACTCAAATCAACATTCATAAGTTTGTCGCGTAGGAGGACTGTTACAAGGACCAGAAAGACCACGGCGAATTATAGAGAGATAATAATAAAGCGTCATCCCATTCATTCGTGCGTGTCGTTGTCGTCTTTATGTACATGGATCCACGTGAATACTAAGAAGGGAGAAACTTCCCGGAATCTTCCCAGAATCTTCCCGGATGAATCTACCCCGCCTTCTCGCTAGCAATGGCCTCGGAATCTTCCCAGAAGCTTCCGAAAAGTCACAAAAGTAGCGAAGTTTCTGGAAAGTTGGCGAATTCTAGACCATGAAGACGTCCGCGAATCCCATTCATTCGTGCGTGTCGTTGTCGTCTTCGACCTTGCCGGAATCCATCTTGAAAGTCATCCTGTGGTTTCTCCCTTAGGGCTTAGGATGCTTCTGAAGAAGGCTCTAGGATGTCCTAATTGTAGTTGACGTCGTGGACCTGGAGGTAGCCCTGGACGCGCTGCTACTCCTTAATGACGATGCAGACGTCGAAGTACTCGAACTCGTAGAACTTGAAGTCGAAGTACTCGAACTCGTAGAACTTGATGAAGTCGAAGTACTCGATGCTGAGGAACCCGTGTCCACGAATTGTTTATGTATTCCTGCTGACGATCCTCAGCAATCAGGTAGACCTTAGACAAAAAAAGAGTAGACCTTACAGACAAAAAAAGCTGAACATTGCACGATGGATCCGCCTTTCTAATGATTGAAGTTCCCCGTTCTACTTCCAATTGACGGAACGCAACCAACGCATCGGTCGTGGTTTCTTCGCCTTCTTCTAATTGACGACCCACCGCCTGCTCTTCTTCGAGTCTCTCCATGTTGCCCTCGTAATCTCCATGTTCCCCTACTTGTAATCTCTATCAATCTTGCCCTGTTGTAATCTTTTTCTTAGACTGCAGTACTGGAGGAGGATCTTCCACATGACAAAAAAAAGCACTCCCCTTGAAAAGCAGTAACCACTGCCGGTTGCCCATAAACTTCCTGCTCAGCAGCTAGCGATCTCAAAGTACTAGAGAGCAGTTCTCAAAGTCCACTTTTTTCTTCCACAGGAGGAGGACCACGAAGATAGCCACACTTTTCTGAATAGCTTCGACGTCTTGTTGTGCGAATTGATTGATTCATTGATTGATCATTGATTGATTGATTTACCTATTCTGGAGCCAGGTATAGGGCCTACAAATATAATACAGCACTCCCCCTTTCGACATTTTAGTCAACGCACCAGGAGCTTGGCTGGGCGCAGAGAAAGCATGCGCTTCAGAGAAGGAGCAAAGAGAGTAGTAGACTTGATTAAGAATTAAGAATGATGAAGAATCTGATCTAACTCAATCGAAGATAGATTACAGATGGTGACGATGAAACAACTCCTCAAAGAGGACCACGGGCAAGAACATGATCAATCTTTACAACAGGTAGCGCCACGGGCTTTTGAAAGCGAAAGCAACTATTATCGTACCTACCGGAATAAGCTAGTAAACTAAATCACATCAAAAATAAATGAAGTAGAAAGCAAAAAAGTCTAAATCAAAAAAAATCAGGCGGTTGTAGGTCTTTGACGATTCAACAACCTCTCCACAAAAATATGCCACGGTTTTAGCAGCTTATTCCTATACTTACTCCTCGCAGTTGCTCCTATCTCTACCTCGGGAACGTCCTCCCAAGGTTGACCACTTCGATACAAGACTTCACTTCAATTCCGTTGGTGAAAGGTGCGGCTGCCCTCGATGAGATGGGCCTTATGGTCGTGCCAACTCAATTTAAATGCAACCGATTCATCTTCGTAACCGATGATCTTGAGACTGTCCTCTCACCGATCATGCAGTGTGAAAGATTGCTCACCTACTTTGACCTTAAATTTGCGGAGAGGAACTTCCATGGATGAAGTCGTTTGCAAGCATAGTTGAAACAAAAAAAATCACAAAAAACTCCCATGCTACCATGCCCATACTTGCACCTGGCTGCGATGATCCATTGTGCAAAAAATGAATAAAGACTAACAGCAACACTTTTACAACTATCTTGCCTAGTGATATGATGCAAAAGAGATATAGGAATGCGAGTAATTCGATATTTCTAATTGATGAGTGCAGTAAATAAATCGACAAAAAGTGAGAGAGATGAGTCTAATGTTGGATGTTGTTGTTCTTCTTGTCGTGGATAGGTCCACGATCCATAGCGCCCGGATGTTTCGAGTCCTAAATCTTCTACAGCTTTCATCTATTGAAAGCCTGATAATTTCTACCCAAAAAAAAAACCACTCAGTTCCGCGAATCTGCCACGAGGGGGTGTGTGGCGTAGTCATTCAAATATGTCGAAAGTAGATGCTTTCTTCATCCTCAGCTAATTCCCTTGCCCCTTACATGGTCATGGTCGATTACCCTTATTTATCAGATCCGTCCCGTTACTTAGACATAAAAAAGTAGACTTTTGATTTCATTGATATGAAACATGACAGGAGTATCAATCAAAGGACAGAGGCATTTCGTAGTACTTCGCTCTTGACAGAGAGAAAGAATAGGCACAACGTACAGGGTAGGTCGAAACCACGACAAAATGTTGGTCAGATGACGTCTGTATTTTTTCATATGGAACGAGAACGAATCTGCATGATGGATCGCGTGAATATCGACTATTATTATCTATCATGAGATAAAAGGACTGGCGCCCTGTACAAATGTCGTACGTCTAAGAAGTATCGGCAACCATTGGGTTACTTATAGGATTAGGACTAGGATGTGATCCGCCGTCCGCAGAATCTACAAAAAACACACTTTGTAATGTTTTTCCCGCCATACAGAAATGACTTCCTTTACTACACTAAGACTGTGCTGCATCACTAACACGCATGTTAAAGAAAACAAGCTCTATCAATCAATAATGTTTCTGCGGAGAGGCGGGGGCGGAGCTCGTTAGGATAGGCTAAGGATTCACCCAACCCCAATCTTTTGAAAGAGACGGAAGAAGAGAATACTCAATATTCAAACAAGGCAAGAATGTAAATATAACCTCGCGAATCAGTAGCAATGTTCAGTTCATCGTGTTCAAGAAAAAATATTTTGATTCTTAAAAGCTCGGTGATATTACAGCTTGATAAACCTCACAGCATCAACATGCAGCCGCGAAGAACCACCACACTCATTCTCCGCCTCTAAAATGGGCAAGCAGGGATTTTTACCCATGTGATTCGATCTGGTAAAGCTCTTCAAAAACATAAAGACAGCGGTCGTTCTAAAAATTTTTTTCGCACAGTCGAAGACACCCCTAAAACTTTCGAGGACACGTCTGACTTTGAACGGAGTAGCCAGGTGCCTACTGCTCCGTTCCCAATTCACAGAGTCAGGACCCTTGCTTCTGAAAAATAGTCTATAATGCTTCATATCTATACAGACAACATGCAAAGTTTACTTTATTATGATAATAGGGATAGGAAATCAATGTTTGCTCTAAAAAATTGTGGTGGCCGTACTGGTAGAATTAAGGAGTGGTCTTCAGATCATTAAGCAACGCGAATTGCTTCATGAATGGGCGCATAAAACATTTGCAGTTCATTAAATCATTATAGAAAGACAAAGAGAAGATAAAATGATTCGTGTCCTTCGTTCGAGGAGAGCCCGAAGCGATAGCGAAGGAAGGATCGATTAAAAATAAGTACAACAACTACTTAGTTGTAGCGTGGTTGTAACATGAGGAGGTAACCACTGATAAAGAATGGCTTCTTACACTTATTGTTATAATTAAGACGACACAGCAGGACGCTCAAAGGGGATGATGTCGTTTTTCGAAAAACCGCATCTGTTGTGGAATCAAGTTTTCAGGTCGTAGAGGAGGCTCAGCCTCAGTCATATTATCTAGTCGATTACACGGACGCGCCAAAGGGAGGCTCAGCCTCAGTCTTATTATCTAGTCGATTACACGGACGCGCCAAAGGGAGGCTCAGCCTCAGTCTTATTATCTAGTCGATTACACGGACGCGCCAAAGGGAGGCTCAGCCTCAGTCTTATTATCTAGTCGATTACACGGACGCGCCAAAGGATCAAAATGACGGATGAAGCGTGAGATAAGTGCCAGCGAAAGTTAGGAAGGAAGTAATCAATTTGAGATGAGTCACAGAGAACCTGTGAATTACAGACTTATAATCCTCATCAGTCTCAGCCAACACGCCAAAGGATAGTAACTTAAATAGTAATTCTGAAATCAGTCAACACGCCACAGGAGACTCAATTCTTCCACAACGGATGAAAAATCGATCCGGTCACTTACCTCGAGTTCTAGGCAGCCTGTGAGGACTCTGAGGATCACCTTCTCTCGATATTCTAGTGTGTCTTCAGTGGTAAGATGATCTTCTGATTCCGAAGAAGAGTTTTGTCTACCAGACGTTCCAGCACTTCTACTGCCAACAGTTGCACCACTAGAAGAAGATGAAGTTGTTTTCGTTTTGTTTTTTGTGGGCTTTGGACCGGACAGCGTTTCCAGTACAAAAGCGGATTTTGGTACCGTTTCTAGAGAAGGTACGCGGCGGCCCCACCCAATAGCGGCGATCACGCTTCCAAAGCTGTATCCGGTGAATGGAATGCTGCGATGCAACACTTCCCACAGTATCATACCAAACGACCACACATCAGCGGGAAAGGCAATACTCTCCCCTCGTACCGCTTCTGGTGCTGCCCAATGGGGGGTGCCGAGCTTGTGATGCCCACGAGGGTTTCTCCGGATCGCCGCATGACCAAAATCACACACCTTTGCACGCACGCGACGATTCCATCTTCTAGGATGTCTATTTGAGAGGTTGTCACACCCCACCTGCTGGGGCACTATTCCTCGGTCTCCTGCTTGATGTCCTCCTCCTACTTCACTACTTTTACCAATGAAGTCCTCTTCTTCATCATGCTCCCAGTCGTGAGCCACCTCTACGAGTACATTTGGCGATTTTAGATCTGCGTGGACGATTCCTAGACTGTGTAGGTACGCGCAAGCACGCGAAACTTCTAGGGCAATCTGCAACTTTAAGAGAGGGTCCACGCCATCGCCATAGAGACCCCTGAAGGGAGGATCCTCGTCCTCGTCCTCTTGTGCCTCAGAAGTGTCATTGCATTTGCTGTTGCTGGTCTCCCCAAGCGCTGCTGGTGCAGTTGTGTCTCTGCTGCCATCACAAGAGCCCGTACTGCCTATTTTTACTTCAGTAGTAGAAGTACAGCGAGTGATATCTTGTTCACAAGTTGATGTACTACGTAGTTGTGTGTCGGTGTCCTTGATCATCTTCTGAGTCACGCCAAGATCATTCATCTTTCTGTTCTTCCTCCTGTAATATCCTCCTCTTTGAGTTGCAAGAGCGTTGAATTCCCTGTCAACCTCATCTAGCACTATTTGATTGCGGAGCCAAGCAGCGCAGGGATCGCACGCTTGAAAGCAGCAGTCCACGTTGCTATCTTTAGAGCTACCGCACTGGCATCTTCTATGGGAGTCATATCCTTGGGAGCTTCTTTTTCATCACAACCAAGTAGAAAAAGAGCCAAGGATGATGTTGAGGATGCTTCAGCGGCAGCCTTAATATCTCTACCACCGCCAGACGCAAAAAGTCCTTTGCTAGTATGGATCAGCTCGAACAGGTTGTAAGGCACAAATTCCACGACAAGCAACTCGTCCAGTACAGGCCTGGAAGTAGTAGAAGTTGTACTCAAATTATTTACCAGGGATTGAGAACCTTGATGATTTTGTCCATCTAGTGCAGAAGTAGAAGAAGCTTTTTCCTTTGAAGTCGTTTCATCCTCCTTATCTTGTTTAGGCATACGGCATATCCCGAGAAAGCGGACAATGTTGGGATGCCGAAGGGCCTGGAGCACTGTGACCTCCTTCACAAACTCACGCCGTATCCTTAGTCGCTCGTCGCCGCGTCGCGTTGGCTGCATCTGCATCTGTTTCAGAGCAACACGAAGCGGGCGTCTGGAACGATTTTGCGAGAGGAAGTCCGCATCTAGTGCTCCGACACTTGCGAGAACGCGGGACTTCGTAGCGCTTTCGGGCAGAACGGCGCCCGCTGCTGCACCTACTATTGAACTCACACGCCTCGCGAGAGACATCCGCAGAGCTGTAGGGGCAGCATCTTCCTGATGTTCATCTGGTCTCCTAGCCGTATCAGCACCATGATGATCTCCGTTTATAGTACTCGTTTTTGCATTGAGAAAACTACTCGTGGATGGTTTTCTCGTGCTCGACCCCCTAGAAGGAGCCACTGCGGAGCCTTTGTTCTCGTTGTTCTCAACACCATCAGAGGGAGACCGCGAACTTCTGTGGTGTTCGTCCAGCTCCAGTCTAGCCTCCTCATGATACGAAGGCCGTGTCGACGAGGACGACCCACCACAAACCAAAGTACCCATTTGTCGTAGAAGATTACGAAAAGCAATACTAGTTCTCTGAGCAACGGGAGGACGACTATCTACTTCTTCACAAGTAGTTGTTGTATTCGGAGCAGCTGCAGAGAAAGACACCACACTGGTTGTAGTTCGTCGTTCTTTCAACTCTGTTCCTCTTGACGTTCCACTGATTACACTGGTTGTAGTTCCTCGTTCTTTCAACTCTGTTCCTCCTCCACCACTTGGTCGCCAGACCCCTCTATACACCGTTCCAAAGCCGCCTTTCGAGATGAAGCCACCTTTCGAGATCTCTTTAGCAGGGATTTCATGCATACCAGGAATGGGACGCTCGACTCCGTAGCTCGCACTCACGTTCGCGCCCAAATGGGTCAACGCTTCTACGTTGCACACGGATCGCTGGTGCTCTGCCATGCAAAAGATCAGCTTCTTAAAAACATAGCGCTGCAGAACGGAGGCTGAAAACATTATGTTGTGAGGAAGATGTTGGGGAATCAAGAAGAATACGAAGCAAGCAACAGAAAGTGTTGGGTGGCCTTCCATGGACTCAATATTCATCAAAAACATTCCTGCTGAAGATGATTTAATTTGCCTACTAGAATGAACTACTACCATCTTTCCAGTACGAAAAACTCCATCGATCGAAAATGATCAAAAAAGTACAGCAGTCTTGCGGAATGACGAGGTCTTCCAGGAGATAGAGCGTCGGCAGTGGCCGATGAATGTTCCCCGTGAACTGCCCTACTGCTTCCACGTCGAACGAGAGATAGCGAAAAATATCCGCTAGATGTGTCTCCTGACTGATCTCTGTTCGTGAACCTCCTGATGTTGATGTGCTTGATGTGCCAGTACAACTTGATTTTGAAGATGTGCTAGAGGCATTAATACAGCATGTACTGTTATTTGAAGAGCGGTCGACTAGATCAAACACCCCTGTGAGCGCATTGTACTCGATGCCCCTGCCAACACGAGCTCCCTTCTCAAACTGTCCGAAATAGGAATCACTGTTGCTCTCCTGCACGCCGAAACCATGCTCCAGATCGTTCAACCACTCACCCTCATATCGCGTAGAAGGTAGGCTTCCGTGGCTCCCGTCACCACCTACGAAGAAACCAGGCCTGGCAGAGAAAGTGAAGAGTGGATGAATTGACAGTTCTGTCTGTGTTGATGAGCAGAATTCAGCGACGAATATCTTTAAGAAAGTCTGCATGGTGAAGCAAATACAAAGAATGGCTCTAAGTCTAAGAGCAGAGAGATACACTAAGTTAAAGATTATCAGAAGGTATATAAATCAATACCCATTTCTCTTGTTTTTTTTCCAGTTCCCTACGTAGCAGTCCCCGTTTAGCCAATATAGAATCCCCTGTCCCGACTTGGCGTTATGTTCCCACTGACCTTCGTACTTTCTCAGTCGTGCTGTGGGCACAGGCGCATAGGTATACACGCCATGACCGTGTCTCGTTTCGTCCAGGATTTCCCCAATGTACCTGTCTCCATTGTGAAAATCCACTTCACGAACCTCTAAGGGGGTCGGACCAGGCTCATCTGGAGGTGATCTATTTTTGCTATGATGCTGTTCTTGAGGTCGGTTTGATGAGGAGCACGATGAAAATGCACTACTGGAGCTCGCCTTTGTGCTCTCGGTTGCACTCGATGACGAAGCGTTCATGATTCGATGAAGATCGCTTGAAGAGGTACTAGCTGTTGACCCACGAGCTTTTTGAGTGGCTTTCCCTCCTGATGTGCTCGTCTCAGCAGAATGATCTCGATCTCCGGGGGAACCTCCTCGCGCAGCCTGAGAAGTGCCGGAGGGAGAAGGGGAGCGAGAGCGGCTGCTACCACCACCAACATTACGAGTTGTACTCTTAGTAGATGAAGTGCTACTACTAGTGTCAGCAAACACCAAAGCCCTCCATTCATGACTCGCGTGCTCTATCCTGTGAGTTGGCCAGGAAGACAAGCTGCTCTTTGGGGCTAAGAAGTCATTGATGCCGCTGGAGGCAGAGAAGTCAAGACGCTTGTACAATTCGGCAGCTGCGCGAGTGTTTTCGTTCATCTCGAATGACATCAAGGCATTGAGGTGTGTCGGGACACGCTTCTTTGCCACAGTACCAATCGTCGCACGGCTAGTGGACAGACCACTCCCACCTAAAGACACGGCACTTGAACCAGCATCCAATTTCCTGTGAGGTACTAGCAACGAGATGCTGATCTTCCTAGTGGTGCCAGTTGTTTGTGTCGCTGTTGTAGGTAATAAAGGACTTGCTGCAGCTGTAGTGTTGTCATCACCAGCTGGACGTTGATGAGCAGACGCTTTTGCTGTACTAGAAGATTCTCCGGGTGGAGATGAGCGGCCTTCTCCAGCAGGATGTGGAGCTTCTATAATTTCTGTCGTCCGACTCCGAGGACTCCTAAAAATTATATCTCGTCTCTTGTTTTTGTTTCTTGGAGAACAAGACGAAGGAGATGCCCTACAACCTGTACCTTTCAACATCTTCTGTGCTTCATCTCCTGTTTCAGCAGCAACACTGTTTCCTCCAGCAGGAGATGCAACAGCAACACGACTACGAGGATCGTTTACAAGCAATGAGCCCATCCATGAGCCGGAACGAGAAGAGAGGCCTGGAGACCGTTCCACTACGTTGGCAATCGAGGCTCTGACTGCACTGATGTTCATGCTGTCGCGTGTCTCGTTAGCGCAGGTCTTGTTCTCCACAGAGCACAGGTCCACCAGGTCGTTGAGACCACCGCCTTCACTCAAAGCGGAGATACCGCGTGAGATTGAGATACCGCTACTGCCAAGCACAACCGCACTACAGGAATCGCCACGGCCTGGCTCGATTGTCACACGCATGCTAAATGTGTCCTCCTCCTCCTCTCTTTCGGCAGCACGAAACAAACCTCCTCCTCCTCCTCCTCTGGGAGTGCCGGTTGTCTCGCGCGGACTCTGACCACCTCCCGAGGTCGCGTAGGGACTGCGCATATCCCCTACCGACGATCCTGCGGCAGATCCACGCAAAAAACCAAAATTTCGCAGGCTACAGTCAGATAAAGACAATGCATCATGCAGACGTTCTCCCATCGGACTAGCACGTCCGAGACCCCAAGAAGCGGTGCTGGTGTCTACTCCGTGAAGATCCTCTGTAGAAGTTATGGTTCCCTCATTAGCAGAGCAGGAATGTTCCACCGTCGTACCCCGAGTCCACCCCATACCGTTGATTGCAATTGCTGGAGGTTGACGTAGGCCTTGACTTTCTCCTAAACAAAGAGGGCCCCCTAGTCCTAGACCGTCTAAAGAAGGGTCTTGTTGTTGACCTAGAAAGCTGAGGGCGCAATCTTCCTCTATGCAACTGCTGGTTGCGAAGGATCCGGCAGAAGAGATGACAGGGACGGTTATTCTCTCCGACCCCAGTGGTTGTGGTCGATAGTGCTGTTAGAGGTAGGTTTTTGGTGCTCGCTTACCCCGCTTGTTATGCATTTCTCCCTTAGAAGAGGCATAAAAAGCGGTAAGAAAAGCACCTTTAACCCACCCTTAATGCTGGTCTTGTTGGGCTTGTTTCGTAAACTGTGCAGGTTCTTGACCTGCTTCGTCTGCGCGTGGAGTTCTACTTCCCTGTAATTGTACAACAAACGTATCGCAACCGGAAGGACGAGAATTCCATGCTGAAGACCACTCGTTTACTACTTTTCTCGTACTTCTAGGAAATGTCTGTTGTGAGTCATCTCCTCCTTCGGCTACGGTAGGACTTTTCTGTCCTTGCTCTCCTTCTCCCGCTTCCCATGGTGGAAACAAGCATGTTGGCGCCGCAAGCGCAGTCGCACGCCCAACCGTCACGCAGGTGCTTCGAGCCGAGGATGCTCTACTCCCTCCAGAATCCTCCTCGCTCAGATTCAAGCCAAGGCTTTGACTTCCTGTAGCACCAGCATCCATTGGGTGCAACGGTGTGCCGCAAAACGACGCCAAGTCAACTTGCGGTGAGCCTCTCTCCAGCAGGATATCGTTTGAGTGCACACAGGTGACGCGGTAAAAAGTGCTTTTCGGATCAACTGCATCTTCTAGCTGACGTTGCTCATCTTGCTCTACCACAGCCTGATGATTTGCAGCAGACGGAGGACCTGCTCCAACTGCTCCTCCTGAGCATCCTAGACCTGCGGTTCCAGATCCACCAGCAGCTGCTGCGCGTGCCAGTAGAACAGAAGTACTCCAACTCGCAGTGATGTTCTTAATATTCCCCGAACCTGAAGATGATGTCGCAGCAATACTAAAACGAGAGTTGTTGGCGTCAGACACCAAGATCGAATCGTCAGCACTGCAAGCCGTCGTCAACGTCGCAGAACTCTCAATCGCCGGCATCTTGCCATCTTGAGCAGTATTCACCTGTTCATCGTTCTTATCATCTTCACCCCGCCTTTCATCTTGTTGTTCGACACCAATTGTACTAGAACTGTTTGCTTCAATGTCCACCAGCTCTGTTGAAGCTCCATCTTGTTCTACAACGACTTCTACCAGTGCGTCTCCTCCTTCTCCTGCAGCTTGTTGTTCACCCTTAATACGTGGCGCATCTTCACTTTCATCAGCTTCACCTTCGCCCACCTCATTTCCTTGTCGTCGTCGTACTCCAGGCTCTACAGCAGTAGGACGCGCATGCCAGGTCATGAGATGATCGCGTAGCTGAGCGGCAGACTCCCTCTTTGGCACAGTGATCCATTGCAAGCGAAAGCAAAGAGTCACCATCGGGCCCTCAGCTTTTGCGTCCGAAAAAGCGCCATGAATGATGTCAAACCCCGCACTTGCAATGATGGAACAGACGTGCGCGAGTAAACCTGAGAAGGGTTTTGTTCCGAGATCAAAAATGAGTGGTGTAATATAAAAAGAGTGTGTATACTACATCACGGTCAGCCTTTTCTGTTCTAGCCAAGAAACATAAACAAACACGGCAAACTTCACCACACTGCAGGACAAGATCAACGATTTGTCAACAATGTTGATGACATCGTAGGCCCAGTAGAAAACATCCAATACCGGCCTGATTAAGTGCTTTTATTTCGATGTTCCACCTTGGGGGAATGCCAGGCGACGGAGCACATCTCTCCCAGCATTGCACAGCGATTAAGTCTGTATCAACCTCTGGTCTCACCTGCGCGCTCGTACATCTCCTAACTGCAGCATCCTCAAAAAGCGAACGCAGCCAGTCTAGGGGAACTACATCTTCACGCGAATCGTTCTCGTCTGTTGTGCTGGTGGTGACTTCTGCAGAAGTAGAATAAGATGAATGGGTCTTGTCAGATGGCGAACTACTAAGTTGCTGCAAGGTCCTCTTCCTCCTGAGATTTAGATTTAGAAGATTATACTCCAGTGTGAAATTCCCGACCCCAATATCATCACCGACTACATAGCATTCGCCACATGTGATGTCAAACCCGTTGGCTTCAGCGGCAAGCGCAAACTGTTCGATAAAGCCCGCAGAATTGGCTCTCCGGAAATCCACACGTAGGAGCATCCCTGCAGAACAAGTGCTAGTGCAGTAGCGTAAGGAAGTCATTTTGACAACTCAAGTCTTTGCTTTCCACAACTGTGCGACGCGGATCGGTGGTTCTTTCTCGGTCGTCCGCGCAAGGAAGAAGATGGATGGTTCTTTCTCGATCGTCCGTGTGCGCGGTTGAAAGAAGAGAAGCAGGGGGTAATATGTCTCTTCTTTCAGTATGTTGACAAGTTCGAAGAAGAGTTGAAGTTACGTCATCGATTAGATTTGTAGTCGTCGCGTTCGGCTATCTCACTTCCGAGCGTCCTTCTCGGACTCGCAAGCCGTCCTTCTCGGACTCGGAAGCCGTCTAGGACTCGAAGGACCTACCTATCATCTTCGTCAGATGCTGGAGTCTCTGAGGTCCAGACTTCGAGAAGATCGAAGCCGTCCTTCTACTAGGACTCGAAGGACCTGCCTATCATCTTCGTCTTCCTTCCTGTAGGTCGGGGATCTTACTGGAGGGAAGCAAGACAGTGGTTTTCTAGTCGTCATGTTTCTTCATGTTTTCTCGTGAAAGTAGAAAAACTCATTCAATTTTTTTTACAACGCAATCTTACAAGGGAAAGGATATTTGTGTCTTCATCGGGCAAAAGAGCGAGGGAAGTATGCTCGACATCAATCATTTGCAAGCTGAAAACAACTGCAAACATACAGTGCAACAATAGAATTTAAGCTTCTCCTTCTCCCTCCCCTACCCTCTTGCATTCTTCAGATCTACCCCTGGATTGGGTTTGCTATCATGAATATCACAGCGATCAACTTGAACTTTTTCCTTGAAGATCATAGACCTAAAACTCTTTGTATTTTAGAGACTTGAACTAACAGGAAAAACAAGAATATCTTACTCTCTATCTGCTGATAGGACAAGCGAATTATGACTAGAATTTATTTGCGACTTTCCGGGACAACTCGAAAGAACTTTTTTTTCGAAGTTCTCTCCAGTGTTTGTTCTCCTTCTCTGACCCCACTATGAAGATATGTTATTTTTTTGCATATGGATGTAGGGAGAAAAAAGTCACGATCATCAACATTATACGAAATGCCATAAAAAAGGGGAAAGTCTAGAAGCAACACTAGTACTGTACGTTTTAGTTGTGTTTCTAATAACGACCATGATTATGATGAGTCGATGGCTCTATCTTGTTGTGCGAGCTCAAAAGGACAGAAGAGAGAAGCCACAAATAGTTCGACTTCGAGATATAGAGCTAAGAGATATCGATTTCAATAGAGCAGGAAAAACAAGACGATGGAAAATACACGAGCCACGATTGAGGCTGCGCGATGAAGGGAGACGAAGGAATTACAATGAATATGTGTCCACAGCACTTCGGAAGTGGGCGACGATGACTTCAGAAGAAAACATCTAATTAGAGATAAAATAAACCAAGAAATAAACTCTACCCTTTTTCGAGGTCTTGGCTGTCTTCACAGCCGAGGAACAAACAGATCTCTCAATCTCAGACCGACATAGACACTAGGCCTTCTTTGCAAAGCCTTGTAGAGAAATGAAGCCTTCTTTGCAAAGTCTTGGAGAGACCTCTGGGGAATGAAATGAAACAGAATCGTCTACACTCAAAACGCTGTACTCACGTGGTGCAAGTGGCACCAAGAGAAAACACTTTGGTGGAGATGTCCGCGGGACAGGTGGTCGACACAATACGAAATGAGATTTAGAAGTAGTCCTATTCGTCGTACGTCCGCACACACACACACTATCATTCTTGTGTGCATGGTGGACGACGGGCATGTCGCACTATGTTCAACAGGGGGCTAATGAAGTAAACCGCAGTCTTTTTGCTGATTGGGATGATCATAAAAATGCCATGTCGATTTGCTGTGCTCCAAGTAGGGGAAAAGTGTGGTGATCTCATCCTATGAAGTATCATCTTGGACGACGCGCCTCCGCCCTTTTGCAGCAATATCACAATATTCACTTTGACTTACGCCTGCACACTAGGTGTATCTGCACACCATCTGCACACCAAGGTAGTGCAGATCACTCGCATCAACTACCTCGTCACCAGGCAGAAGATAGACTCAAGACTTCATTTGCTCTTCCTCCCACCGGTTGAAGAAGATTTTCGCTTTGAGCTCGTTGAAGGCTTTCTGGATTTCAGGAGACTCACTGTGTTGCTGCTGCTGCCGGAGCTGCTGATTCCGGAGCGGGGGGATTTTCCGCGGGGGCTCCTACCACGCCTGCAAGTAGGATGTTATCATCAGCTTCGGAGTAGAGGCTCGTTGACCCTGTTTTCATAACATCAAAGAGAATACTTTACAAGTCCTCAAATACTCTTACTCTTGTTCACAGCTCTCTACTTGTGGATTAACTATATTTTTCAAGCTGGTGTTGACCATCTAGTACTTCACGTTGTCTATCACATCAATTTAACATTCGGGAAATTCCTCCTACACCACTTGAAAGGACGAACAGAGAACCAAAAAGCATAAATAAAGCAAACAATTAAAACTTGCCAGAGGCCCCTTCGCTGTCTGCTGGTGTGTATTCGTAGCATTTGAATTCGAGGAAGAATATCCTTTTCACTGCTATCGGCAACGCCTTGTACAAGCTTGTTGGTACGGGAATGAGCGGAGATGTTCGTTCCCGGTAGGCAATGTACTCCTCGCGATATTTTCCGGTGTAATACCTTTCTAGTGCCTTTCCTTCGGCTAAGGGCATGCCTGAGACGCCAAGTAGAAGCAAGGTCGTGATCAGCGGAGACAAGACTGCGAGGGCGCGGGTTTTAGAGCCGACAACTCGTCAAAACTGACCATATGAGTTTCTGGAACGAAGTCAAGTTCATTGAAAATTATGAAACTGAGATGAAGATCAACAAGGTCTTTCTCGTATGTTGTATTCGAATTATACTATGTAAACCGCAACATAAAGTAAACCGCAACATTGCTGCCGACGAGCATTGGCCTAACACAGAGACCCCAAGCGCACCACCACATCAGTATTTCACCAAAGTAGTTCGGGTGACGCGACCAGTACGAGAATTAGAGCGTCTTGAGCGCTGGTCGCGTCACCCGGACTACTTTGGTCTCAATGACTTAGCAAGTATCATTTTTGAGTTTACTCGGATATTTTCAGTTTACGAGTAGTTCGGGTGACGCGACCCAAGAAGGCATCTCAGATGTTGACGAAATTGAAGAAACTACTGAAAGTAGTGCGTTCAACGTTTTTGGCCAATACACCTAAGCCTTAACACAACGCCCGCGTGCAAAAACCGCCAGCGCGTCCACTTTTTACCCACATTGCTTTGACGATGTCGGAATGAATCTGAGCGAGCAAGCCCAAAGTGAAAAGCCCTATGCAGATGTAGTTAGAGCTCACAGTATTTCATTTTCTTAGCCCAGCTTCTCAGAATTCATCGAAGAGGAAGAGAACGGAAAAGATTAAATAGCTCTGAACAAGTAAGATCGATGAATCACCGCGAGCCGTAATGTAATCGCCAACATTCAAAGGCACGCTTTCCGTTATACCATCGAGCACAAGTACAGGCAGCCCGACGCAGAAAACCCACACCGCCTGTAGGAACCAGACGATCAAAAACGTAAAGAAATACGGCTTCAGCTTGTCGAATCGTCCATCGCCGCCTCGCTCCCTGAGATGTGGTTCAACATAGAAGGTAAGTGTAGATGTCGACATCCTCAGAACGATACGATGAAAGTGCCATGTGTGAGGACAAGATGAGCGAAGGAGGTGTCGTCACGATTTCCGCACTAATATTGTGTAGAAGGAGTAGTATTAATAAGATGAGCCTAGGACTTTCTAAGATCAGTATTTCGGTGGAGTAAGAGTAGTCTATCTAAAAAGTACTTTGCTCTCCACGCCAAAAAACTAAGCAGCCAGAGCCTCGAGGCAGCAAAGAGACAGGATATGCTGATTTGTCTAGGATTTCCCCACAGTTCCTCACCACGTAGTATGAAAGCGAGAACGACAAAGGTGAGACTGTTGATGCCCCCCAACGCATCATAAAAAGCTTCCGTCTGAAAGGTGAATCCATGGATGAAACCAAGCAACTGGATGCCACCAGTGAGCCCCGCGGCCCACGAAAGCACCGTCGGAATGTCTTGCTCAATCGGCATGGTATTTCGGAGTTGGTTGTAGTAAGGATGTTGTGTGTGTGTCCATCAAATTCTTAAGTTAAAGAGGAAGCGTAGGTGTGCTGGAGACGTCACATTATAAGCAGCATACACTGGCTCAGTAAATGAGGAACAGAAAGAAGTCCCTCTTAGCTGTCTAATATGTCCAGTGCGTTCGTTCTATATTCACAAAGAAAGGTACTCATACTTCCTTGTTTATAGGCTGTTTCGACGAGGAGAGAGTATAATGAAACGGGAAAATGAGGAAGTGAAAACACCAGTAGACAAAAAACGCGTAAGTACAAGAAACCAGTCTACGCACGCTGCGAGCGGAGGACACTCTGAATCAGACAATACACTGGTCAGGGGGTAAAAACACTAGGCAAAATAGGGGAAAATCTCAACAAGTGCTACCGCTTCTCTTCTTATTCTTAAATACAGATTTATCCTGTGCCACGAGTGGTGTCGCAAAACCTCAGCATAACCGATTTTGTATCTTGAATACCAATTCCCAGCGAACAGGGAAAGCCGCGCAAGGCAACTGAGAAGCCTCGTAGAGCTTAGCTTCGCCTGCAGGGAGGATGAGACTCCGCCTTTTTGAATTCAGAAGCTATACCATTCGGAGGAGTATCATGATATTGATGATGTTCATTCTCGTCAGAGGACATCACAGCATCAGAAGATGTATCGACATCCAAGAGGGTATGAATTTGGTCAACGGGCTTCGGCTGAATGATGATCAAATCGCTGTTGTGACCATTCCAGTACTTGTAGATGTACAAGTCTGGCCTCTTGTCCTGTAGCATAAAGACAAACGTGTTACACATACAATCCTCGACCACGTAGACCCAGGAGTTCGCATCCTTGATGCTTTGACTGCGAGTGGCATCTGCTCTTGGGCTGCTTTGAAAAGTAGCCGCGGTAGGATCTCCTACTCTTCTCGGAGTGCTTTCCTCCGCATCACCAGTACTCCCGCTGTTGCTTGAAGATGTAGAAGCCTGCGGAAACAAGCCCACAAAGGTCCTAAACGTGACCCACGCCGACTGGCTATCGTGCTTTCCGTCATCTACCACGAGCATTACAGGATAATCCTTGGGAAACGAATTTTGGACACGGTCTAAAATCTGTTGGAATATGCGGGTTTGGTCAAATAGGTACAAATGTGGACCCCACCATGCACTAGTTGATGCCTTCTCATCGTAGTTTCTTCTTGTCTCAGCAGGCATTGGTACCCGTGAAGCAGATGGAGGACACCTGACGACGTTGTTCGCCGAAGCTACCTTGTCATTAGAGCTACCGCGTCACATCCCTGAGCCCATCCCTGGGCCCTTTTTCTACTTGAAAAAGAGGCCAAGAATGATGTTGAGGATGCTCTCTTGGTCGCCTTAATGTCATGTTGAAGAGCAAGGTCGGCAGCCGTCTTGATGGGTTCAACAGAACTCTCATCCACACCGACCGCTACAGACTCCTTTGAGCCATTGCCATCCTCGGTTGCTGTACCCGCTTCACCTTCATGTAAAAACGAGTGAATTTGACCAGCTTCTTCCACCACACAGGAAAGCCGATCTGAGTCTGAAGCTGGAGGTGTCTGCGGCAAGAGTGAAAAAGCTCCTTTCTCCGCCAAGTTCCATCTGTTTTGCCAAAAAAATCTGCTCTCCAAATCAAATCCATGTACCATGGCATTTCCCCCAAAAAAATCTGCCCACATTGCCAGTCCTGCACCACGTAGTACTCCGATTTCAATCACAGCGAAAGGGCCGTCTTCTCGTTTCCTCTGGAGTAGATGCCACAAATGACGGACATAGTGAGTCGCATAATTGTGCGATTTGCAGGCTTGATTTGCTCTCATCCTATCAGAACCTAAAAGAAAAGCATCCTTTGCGACCGGAGTGCCACCACGAAGACCCACTGATTCTCGAGAAGATGCTGTTGTTGAGTCGTTTGGTGCATCATCAGCTTGTTTCACATCAAGGACATCTACATCACCAGCAGGTTTCTCATCCGCAACCATCACTACCTTCAATGGACTATCACCCGCCTCAACAGAGCCTTCTTGTGGTACAAAGGCGATGTGATCCTTGACACCGCATCCTTCTCCGTATTTGGATTCCAGATCCCGTAAACGTTGGACATGACGCCACTGTGGCAGTGATAGTTGGTATAAGGCATGCGTTCGACCCCAGGCATTGTGACCCTGTGCCTCTAAGATGACACCTACATTCGCAGCGCGATCGAATAGCGAGGCGTCTGACTGTTGATGATGGTCTCCTCGGGAAGTCCTCGAGGAGGTATAATTAGTAGTTGTAGTTCTGCGAGGACGTTCAGGTTCCTCAGCTGATGTTGCTGGTGCTTCTAGTATATGAAGGGTTTCCTCATCAACAGCCGTACGAACTACTGGAATCTCACCCCTCTGCTCTGCTTCTTTATAGGGAATATAATCGGAAGCGAGCACGTCGCGATGCATGTGCAGCAACTGCGTAGAAACAGGCGACAAGCCGATATACGGCGGTCCGAAATGGTTGTAGTCTTGATAGCGCGCATGCGTTTCACGCTGTGTCAGCATCTTGTAGGCTAGTCCCTTGATATGCGTCCAAGCATTGTTCAGGGAAACCGCGAAATAGTAGTAAATGTACTTGCTTATTTGTGTATGCTCTCCCCCACCTGATGCTGAGGCCGCTTCTTGTGCACACCCCGTAACATTTTCAGCACCTACTTTCAGCATTTCCCGCTTCAACCAGACAAGAAATTCTGCCAAAGGTGCACTACTATTTTTATGTGCCTGCTGTTCCGCCCTCACGATCACCTTATTTGTATAGGTCGCGGCTTTCCCAAGAGTCCACGGTAAGAGATTTTTGTCTCCCGACTCGGAACTCCCACCTTCTGACGAAGCTAGTCGATGTTCGACTATGATCGCATTGTATCTTTCAGTACTAGCAAACACGGATCGCATCTCCTGGATGTCGGTCGTGTTGTTCCCTAATGACTGTCGAATGTATACAAGATGGTCCTTGACTGCTGGAAACGTACTACCATCAGTGATATCGCGTGTCGAAGGACTCCGTGATGTGACAACCACAGGTACAAAATCTGGGTCCAGGAACTCGGTAGTGTTCACCGTCGTAATGATTTCCTCCCCTCCGTCTGGCGTGGTCTCTTCCACATCTAGTACTTCGCCAATTATTAGAGGTTGCAATTCGGCATCAGAGCATCCTTGACCTATTTTCCCCTTGAAAAGGAGCCAAGGATGGTAGTGAGGGATGTAATTCGGAAACCCGTAAAATTATAGTACCAGGAGACACATGAAGATTATTGCCCTTCTTGATGTTGTCAGTCGTGTACCCATTCACTTGTTGTGATCCATCTCTACGCACCAGCAATATTACCCTTCGTCCTCCTACTGCTTCCTTAACGACACTACTACCAGCTAGAAGTGTCGCCAAAGACTCGCATCTTGGCAATTCAGCATCGTAGGCGTTCAACCTATATCCGGCCAAAGCATCTACGCTCGAAGCAAAACGACGGTCGAAAACACGTTCTGTTGGGTGGATCAGAGGCTGGACTGCGGATGAGGCAATAGGAAGGAGAGACGTCCACACACCGCAGAAAGCGACGCCCCAGCACATGCAAGTGGATCGTAAGCGAAACATCTTCGACATTTATTTTTCAGTCAACTACACCTAGTTTTGCTTCATATGGGAGGAGTCAGCAAGAAAGTCGTTCATATTCACCTTCATTTCTTTACGAGTAGTGGTACTCGATAAGCTCCATCTCCCCTCTCTTACATGATGGGTGAACATCCTAGTCGCATTATCCCTCGCAAACGTCATGTTTTTGTATTCCTCCCTGCGCGTTTTTCTTTCAAAAATTGCATTCATGTTTTCATATGCGCATTGACAACAAAACCTTCAAAATCGAGCATGACATACGCATACTGCGATTGCAACAATATATTCATGACATAAGGGTCTAGAAAAAAATCAATAGAAGTTTCATGACATACACGAGTTCGAAGTTGTAGTAGGCGAAATGTCGCCACATGCGTCATCCCTTTTCATCATCTCGTTCTGTCATATTACTTTTTGTCCTTTTAATAGATCATGACATACAGTTCATCATCTTGCCTAATAGTATGGACCATTTGATTCAGTAAACTCTTCCAGGTACTGAGCGCTCTGGTGGCAACGTTGGTAGCTCCTTGTCATTGAGCATACCAAACTCGTCATCAGGACCATGCTCGAGATCGTACCGTGTGAGTGGTTGCGCATGTCCATCCCCAGAAACGTTGCGCCGTAATTTCCTATACAGGAAGTACAAAAGCCCACTCGCTAGTGCAGCAGCAAATAGGTTACGGAGCCAATAACTCGACGTGGTTGCTTCGGTGGCCTTTTCGCTGGAGGAAGTGCTTTGGCCTTGGGATTAGAGATTGAGATCCGTTTACAACGCTGTTTGTGTTTCAAACGATGTTTCTGCTTCACACCAAGAAATCTTATACCAATAGATTTATTAACACCACCTTATTATACTGAACATATGTATGACACCCATCGACGGAAGACTGAATAGACACTCTTGCCAAGGCGCACCGATCAACGAACATAACTAATTATCCCAGACGGAGGCAAAACGATCGGCGCAGGTCTAGTTCGCACCACTCCCGGTGAGGACTCTGGTCGCACTGGCAGTACCGCACCCCTTCCTGTTCTGCCTCCTGTAGTGATCGCTGTAGACGACGCAGCAGCAGCTTCATCTGACGATGTCGTAGCTGCGGAACCTGATGTGCTAGTTGACTGTCCTGATGTTCCTGTCGCCGGTTTCGAGAATTGTTGCTGTCCACCCATTCCTCCAGTGATCAGGCTGACGTATGCTCCGAGCGGCCAATCGACGCTGTTTCCATGCACATTGTCCGTGAAGTGGAATTTAGGTGCCGTTGTTGACCACTTATACAACTTCGAGAGCAGAACGACAACGTAGCACGCATCGAAACATCGGTCAGAAAGTTGTTCTGGAGTCGTATGTTTGCCAGAAACGTGGGTTTCTTCTTTGTCATACTCCTTGGTCACATCCGTTAAAGACATCGCGCATAGAGCTGTAGAAACGGGGGTGGATTATGCGAGGTCGCTGTGAGAAGCAAAGTCAATCAAGCTTCGTTTCTACGTATAGTGTAGTACAGGTATTTTGAAACTCAAACTTCTTGTTCGTTGTAAAACGCAGAAGTAGCTGCAGCTACTAGTGAGTCACTACATAAAAATAGTACCTTCAGTCGCAGTATTATAATCCGCGATGCTTATTTTTTGCGATGGCGGAGCCTTTAACAATTTGAAGGAGCGCAGAAGCTGGGACACAAAATAGTATGCCGATATGGAATAAACCGAGTCTGTGTGCCCGTCTCCTTGCTGTATCGTCTGCAAATCGTCTTTACCTCAAGAGGGGAGGAAGGGAGGTGTGTGACCCACTAATTTCACGATGATGTTTAGAAGTGGAAGGGGAATTCTTTCAAGTTCAAGTTTCAATAAACACGCTAGAAACATCATCAATCGCCCCGTCGTGATATAATCAATGGAGTAGCTGCTTCTAGTGCATGATCTTCTACCTCATCTCCATATTAGAAATCGATCAGTACCAAAATAAGACAACTTGTCCTGCACATACGACTTTCCATCGACGATCCGGCTTTGAAAGACACTCCAGATGCTGTCTTGACAATCGCTGGCTTTCCCACCAAATTTACAATGCTTTGGATTAGAGATTTCAACATCGCCGTCAACATCATACTAGTTGTAGCACCCCTATTCCTTCTTATAAATTCCAGTACAATTAATATCAAATACAAATTGATAGTGTCCTCGTGGTCCAAAAGCCAAAAATATCCTTATCAACAATAAACATAACTTTCACAGTTGCCGGTGCATGCGTGTAGAACTCCTTCATTCCGTATCCGAGGAAACTTCGGACGAAAATATCACTCTGCTTCAATTTCTCGCCTACAGCTACTCTCTCCGGCACAGCAACTTGAGTCGACGCGCCTCCTAAATCAACCACACCATGCATCTTTCGTTCGAGCATACGGAGGCTGGTGGTGTACAGTGGAATTTGGTGGAAAATCTAGTACTCCTTCTAGTACATGGACAACTATTATAAACCATTCAATGAGTAAGTTGCATAGACTCAAACACGGTGTGAGTATCAACAAATCTCTCTTCAAACGCAGAAATTATACTCGTGACTGACCGCGCCGCGCAGAACATTGACGGAAATGAAAGCGGAAAACCCTTCCTCTTCTCCAGAAAGGGTTCGCAATTGCAAGACCTGAAACTGGATATTGTACTTTCGTTCCGTTTCTTAAAGCTCAGCCTTCAATGGTCATCATGACTCTGAACGGAAGGGACCCCCTTCAAGGCTCTCCCCTTTCTCTTCGTTTTCCCCCCATCTTTCCTCAAGGAGTCGCCTCTTCGATCTCAGTGACTCCAATCTCAATGGTGACCATTGAAAGTTGAGCCTTAAGTTTCACTTACTAAGCGTTTCACGTCTGCCCACAATTGTGCATTCTCGGTCGCCGATAACAAGCGCGTTCCCGCTGTCCCGAGAATGGCTAGAGGTGCTGGTCTGGTGCCGGGAGATGCTGATAAACTACGTCTTGGGTTCTCAACTGAATCATTGCTGGTCTTGATGTCTTCTGCCTTTGGTTTTGATGTCTTCTTGTCCTTGTCCTCGGTGTTGTTCTTTTTGTTCTTATTTGCTGCGGCCTTGTTGTTCTTTTTATCTTTTTTTGATGACTTGTTCTCTCGACCTTTGTCATCATCAGATGAGGATGTTGAAGAAGCTTCCTTATCCTCCTGCTCTATTGATCTTTCGTTCTTGTCATCATTGGAGGATGTTGAAGAAGCTTCCTTATCCTCCTGCTCTATTGATCTTTCGTTCTTGTCATCATCATCTCCTCCCTCTTCCTCTGCAGCGTTAACATTTGCAGGACTATTACTGTCATGCTCTTTCGAGTTAGAAGAAGATGAACTGACTTCGCCCACCTTTCCTTCTGCTGCTGCTGAGGCGCTAAAACCTCCAGATGAGCCGGCATCTTCTCTCAGGCCTGAAGCATTTTTACCTCCTTTACCACTACTTTTTCCACCTCCTCCACTAGGGGTCCAATGTGACATGCTGTTCATCATTTGGGAAAGCCACTCGTACATATCCCCGAAGACAGCCAGGAAGCCCATAACGGCGCCTCCAGATACAGGCTTTGCCGTGTTTTGGTGACCGGAAAATTGTGAATTAGAACTATGAAGACCAATGAGAATAGAGGATTATAGGTATTCAAGAAGATGTAATCTACTCAGAGAAGTCCATTCCCATAACTGCTAAGCTGCCCAGGGGTAAAACTGGATAGTCGAAAGGTTCCCCATCTTCCAGTTCTGCACCAGCACCAACCTCAAACATCGACGGGGGTAATAAACCTGCTTCCCCAAGTGCTGCAATTGTTGATGACGAAGAACTCGAACTGATGTTCCTATTGTGGTTATTTGGCTGTAAACTGTCCTGACTCGATGACATCAGAGCACTCATTTCCTCAAGTGAGCGCTGCTTTCCAGCTGTGCAACCGAGCGCCTTAAGCCTTGCATAGGCCTCTTTCTTAGACGTTGCGCAGTGAGGGAGTCGTCAATGTTCATGTTCGTACTGACGGCCATGATGAGTAGTACCAAAATAATATGCATGACGTGTAGTACTGACGAGGACAATGGAGTTCATATAATTCAGTACTTCTATCTTCTGCCTCTATAGATGCGATGCCTTAACTCTTAGAAGTTCTGCGAGTCCACCAGCGAACGCTGCTTGAGCACCTACCTTTGCCAGACCGCCTTGCTGCTTGCCGATCGTCTCGATCACGGGGCTTCCGGCGTCACTCGTCATGTTATACACCACGTATATACGTGTCCCAGTACTGCCTGCGTCCCCAACAACGCCGGCATTGGAATGTTAGAACTTGTTGGGGACGCAGGCAGTACTGGGATCTTTACAACACTTTCTTGTTTTTCTTTTTCATTGAAAGAAACTGATACTGCAAACTCATGTCTAAGAAAGTACTAGTTGTACCTTCGAAAAAAGTGTACATATCTAGTATCGTGTTGAAGATCTCATGTCAAGACTGAAAACACCATCCCATCTTCTGAGGTTGTAATGCACACCATCACATAAGTACAGTCAACGACAGAAGCGACATCGGCCAGCGCCGTTGGGAGGGCACCAAGAAGGAGCAAGCGGAGAAGCAGGAGCATGTTGCCTGCTGGCACTCCGAAAAGGGAAGTTGTTCTTGCTTTGAGTAGCATCAGGTTTTACTACTTACTTATAACAGAATTCTTCTGCCCTTCTTCAGCTTGAACGACAATAGTAGCACTGTTCTCGAGGAAGCATGACCGCCGATACTCGTTGTCGTCGCTAGAGGGCAGTAGTTAATTTAAAACCATCTGCGCTCACTCCTCTTCATGGATTGTCGTTAAAGAATTTTTGCGGTAAATAAGATATAGACATTTCATCTTCGCAAGAAAATAGAGGGAAAGACAGAGTTCTGAGAAAAGAGTGAGGATGATGACGAAGACAGGTATCTGTGAAACGGGACGCTAAGAACCGACGATTACTCAGCACGCCGATTTTGTTTTTCGGATTTTGGAACAATACAGTCCAATACTAGACTCTGTCTCTAAACTTCAACACGTCGCTCACAGGTCATTCGTTGTTGTCACTCGAAAACACGATATTCGTTCTCCTGACCATCGTCATGGCAGCTTCCGATGGCAGCTTCCGACGTTTAGGAAATGGCTACTTACGTCATTATATGTGCAAAACTGATGTAAGTACCAGATACAGAGGAATCAAAGTCTAGGGATCTGATCACAGTTTTTGCGGAATCAACCAGGAATCGACAACTTTCATCCGCTTTCTAGCTGCTCATCATATGTGAAATTCCTGATGCATAGTGCATGCTAATGCCTTCATGAACACAACACCTTTAATTCGGTAAAAAAATATTAATTATCATTGATTGTCCTACGATCGATCCCCAATGCTCGTTAGCAAGCTCTGTCGACAGTGTTCGTATATGAAGGTGTAGTTGTCCTTTAGTATAGTGTTCCAAGTCAAGAGTTGTAGTAGTGGCATCGGTACTGGAACTTAGTAGTTGTATGAAAACCCGCCAATGCTGCTTGTCTACAAATTGTCTATGTGTACTAAAGAACTGATCGATAGTACCAACAACAATAGCTGAAGATGTACAATGAACTTCGAATATGTTGATGAAACTACCACCTTCGCTGCCAAGGATTGAAATTCGGTCTACCACCTCCGAAACCAAATGTCGTTCCTCTCTTTGGCATGTCCTTCTTTCGTTCTCGCTCCTCTCTCATGAACGCTATTAGCTCGTTATAGGCGTTCCCCATGCGCTTGAATCTTTCCGTCGCTCCAGCACGATCATTCAGACACTTGTCTGGGTGTATGTCTCTCGCGCGAAGTCTATACGCTTTCTGCAACACTTCCTCGGAGGGTGCAGGTTAGAGGGAGGACTATTGATCCATCGAAAAGAAGGAGTTTATCAACTCAATGAGAGAGTATCTTCCATGTGTACGATGATCTACATTTTGCCGTCCTAGTATTTTGTACTTAGAACCAGCAAAGAGTTTACAGGTGCTTTCCGTAACCACTCACCATATGAAAACCTAAATTATCTTGTCATGTGAGACTATTATATGAATCATCCAACTTGCACAGCTACAGTATAGCCATACAAGAAAAGCTCTCTTGCCCCCTGTTTCCACGAGTCTGCGTCGATTCCTAGGAGCTTCAATTTTCGGACTTTAGTCGCCACCTTCGCGACATCATAAACCGTGACGTAGTCAGGAACGGCAAAGCTGTTGGTTGGTTCCCTGTACGGGAAGCGTTTTGGATGATCAGAACTAGAAATATCTTCCTCCTCTGCTCTAACTACTGGGTCTTCGGAGATGAAGGTAGAGCTAGAGCCTGCTGCCCCAAAATGGTCACCACGTCGATCACCATGATATCCTCCTGACGCATTTTTGTCGCCATGCGGACGGCCAAATTCATCATAGTCATCTTCTCCGCCACCTGCATAACCCCGTCCACTTCCAGCATAGCCCGAAAAGAAATCATGATAGGCGTTTCTGTGACTCTGATTTCGATAATCATCTTCGGTATCAGATTAGAGCTATTGCGGTGAATGTTGTTGCAATCATGACCTCTTTGATTCTGCGCAGGGCAAGGAGCCTAACTCTAAGGAGGCAAGAACAAAGAGAATCACCAGAAACAAAAACATCACTGTAGCCGTAATGATCGAAATAGCTCTTGTTTCCCCCTCCGCGTCCACGGAAAGTCTTAGGCGGATCGAAGAGGAGTGTGTCGTCGTTCGGGTCGATTCCATCTAGATCGATACTTGAACCTTGTATTAGAAACGCAGACCTTCTTTGCTATCAGTTTTGATGATTTGGATCGATTCGGCAAAGTGCCTAACATTTCCCTGGCAATTTCTCATTTGCTATCAGTTTTAACCTTTGAGAACTAAGTACACAGAAGAACTAACAACCTGAAAACCTGCCATAATTCCACTTCCTCGCCTCCCACCTGCCAACTTCGCAACGATAGCACGTAGCAAATCCGCTTAGCACGCGTGATGGCTACATGCATGAGACGACACTCTTCCGCAAAATGAGAATCGATCTCGTCTGCATCAGGCCAAGCAAACTTCTGCTTTTTTTCGCCTACATGCTTCTGCGGCTTAGGCTTTGGGTCTTCCTGTATAGTATGAGTGGAGCCAATCTAACTAGGAAAAGTAAAAGAAATGAATGTAGATAAAGGATAGAGAGCAACGCAGATATTATTGTAATGGCGATGCTAAGATGTGATAGAGATAGATGTAAGAAAATTGGATTCATGATTTGCTGCCTCCTATAGGCCTTCGTGCTACTTGTTTTTTTCGCCTTCGTAGGCTGCAAACACGAACTCAATTCATCGTCGTAAGAGAACAACAAGACGAGAAGTCTTTCTAAAGCAATCTATTACCCTCAATGTGCTCGGCAGATATCCTTCGTTGAAATGCGGAATGAAAACGTATTTCCACTCTCTCCCCTTGGCTTTGTGAATCGTACAAATCGTCACCTTCGGTTTATCTTCCTTCTTGTTCCTGCCTGATTTTCCTCCGTTATTTAGAAGAGGTTCCTATTCGTCGCATGCGCATCTCCTACTACTTACTACTAAACATATTTACTACTAAACTTACTAACTAAACTAACTTACTACTACTACTACTATTACTAAACAGAATGTGCACTAGTGGTCTGGTGAAAAAGAATTGAATCAATGACCTACTCGTATTATTCATAACGGTCTTAAGTTATCACCCATCGCGACGGAGCCGAGATATTCTCTTGCAGCGTCTTCGCCTTTCGCATAGGTCTTTTTAAGTTTGGGGCTTTCGCCGCCTACAGACGGTGCGTCCTTGTCTTCTTCTTCTGCCTCATCATCGAGCTCTCCGAAATCTCTGGCATGCCGGATAATACGATCCACAGCTTTGCGAAAGCCCTGTTGTTTCCGCTCTAAACGAAGTTCTGCGTCTGTTTTCTTCTTAGGTAGAAAGTCGTGCGAGCTTTCACACCCGTTCCACTTTGACGCACCAGCACCACCGGACGTTTTTGCATTAGTAGTACTACTAGCACTACCATGATGTTTCTTCCCGTTCTTCTGCTGTTTATCAGTATGACCTTCATCGAAAGCAGCAGGATCCTCAACCTCCTCGTCCTCCGAAGAATCTTCATCATCGTCCTCCTCTTCCTGAGCTTTTTTCGACTCCATTTCCTTCACTGACTTAGGGACGCGACTACTTTTGACGTAGTAGTCTGTTCGATCTACAACCAGCTGCAAGAGTTCGTGCACCGCGAGATCTTCGACTCTCAATTCTTCCGCCCCCTCGTCCACCAATTTCACAAACGCAGACAGCCCAGTTCTGTACATTGGTGTCATAAAACTCACGTCAACTGGCGCATAGCGACTCCACCATGCCGGTGCAGAGGAAGGGATATTCGGATCCTCTTGATGCTGGGTTGATGATGTGCTATTAGAAGAAGGTGATCATCATGAGCTCTTTACTCAATTTTTCTAGATTCTGATCCTGATGATATTGAAAATTCTAGCTAGTTCTCAGAGGAATAGACGTCTGCCTCTGCGCACTATGCTACCTTGTCCGGATGTTGAAACGAACTCCCTTCTAAGTCATATTCTGGCCTTAACCTTCGCCTTCTTTTTGCGTCCCCCTTTTGTCAGCGCTTCTTCTCGCTCGCAACTGGCTAGTATGCGTTTCGCGGTGTCGTAAGCTGAGCCTCCACGGCCCTTCTGTTCCGCCTTGAAATTGTTCAAAAAGGCCTCCCCTAAGTGACGCGGTGGCTCGTTCATTACAGCGAAGAAGTGCACGTCACTACCCGGGTTGGCCTCTTAGAACTGTTGCATGCCGTATTTAAGTCGGCTGACCGACTTTAGCAAATAATAGCCACAACAAATAGCGGGCGGGGCGAGGATGGCCCGGGGTGGGGCGGGCTGTGTACTAGCTACAGTCAGCACTCCGCGCCCGATCTAACGCAAGAAAGATCGGGCCAAGCCTAATAAGCTACCCAGCCCAAGGCCTGGAGCGCCTCCAAGGCGCGACAAAGTTACAGACAAAGCTCAGACACTTGGTTACAAGTAAGCCACATCGCACCGCCGTGGCACTGCTGTCGGTCGATCCAGTCCCCGCCCTGGAGGACAAGGACGGAAGCGACAAAGCCACACGCGGTGGCCGCTGGCTGCGACGCGTGCGTAGTGATGCCACGCGTACACAGACATCTGGGAGCCCCTTCAGAAAAGAGGCCGAGTGCTTATATTGGTCGCCGAATCCTGAGGGGACGCGGCTGCCTCTGCATGTCGAGGGGCCGCCTGTGCTTTTCCTAGAAACAACGAGAGCAATCACGCGCGCTATATCTGTGGCCGGTTGGGTGTCATTCTGCTGCAGTTCTGCGCACTTTTCCACATCGAAGGGCATTCTCTGCTTGTTTTAGCAGTGCCGCCATTGTCAGCCTGCCAGCAGGCCTTGACCTGCGGGGCGGCGCGGTCGCATTCTTCCGCGGGGGAGCCTGGTGCGCCGCTTGGTTGTGCACTTCTCTCGAAGATTTCCACAGCTTTCACGGTGCTGCAGGCGGCCCGAAACAAATGCCCCCCCCCTGCCTGGTTGCAGTTCAGGGCAAGAACCGCTGCGGCTGCCATGATAGATTGTCGGGCCCTTGGAGCCCGTTAGCAGCATTCAGCAAATCTCCTCACCTCCCTCCACCCCCGATGCATAGGCCCAGCCGGCGCGTCTGTCATGCTCAGCATGGGGCCCACCCTCTTGCCTCATGCCTTCATGTGGAGCCCACGACGCATCTCTCGCCATGTGTAGGAGGGGCGCCCTTTGCTCCACTGTCAAGGCCGCGTCGCTGTTGTACCGCGCTGCGGCGTCGCTGCGGCTGCCAATACATAGCGACGCCCGCTCTCGGGTGGTCTTGCCCGTCGGTCCCACCGTTTTCGGCGGAACAGGTCTGATGGTGTCCGCGATGGCGTAGTTTGGCCGGAACGGTGCAGGCATGAAAGCACCGGCGCGGGCGCTTCCCCGGTGCCTGCGCGTGCCGCGCACGTCTATCATAAGGGGCCCGACGGAGTGGCCCCCCCGTTCCTCTCCCCCGGGCTGCAGCCGCACCACCCCGGGGCCCTCCGTTGGGAGCTCGCTAGCGCACGAGCGACCTGATCCGTCGCTCCGCTTGAGCCGGGCAAAGGCGGCGGCGCAAGCTGTACCCGGGGCGCCGGCATTCCCACCGCGGCAGTGGCAGACGTTGGCGGCCTGGCTCGAGATTCTAGCAAGGCCCTCGGTCCTCCGCGCAGTTGTAGCCCCCCGGGCCGCCCTTGGCGCCTCCCTTGACGGTCGGGGCGGGGGTGGGTCGGCGGCCCGCCTTCGTTTCCTCGGTTGAGGCGCTGTTCCGTCAGCCTGTGCCTTCTGGGCGCTCCCCTGAAGCCGGCGGCGTGGCCCTGTTCCTTTTCTCCGCTGCGGTTGGGCTGGGTGGCATTCCTGGTGTGGCTGAGCTGTTCGCAGCACTCTGTGCAACTCATAAGCAAAACCACCACGATCATTTCATACAGGCACATAGAGGAAGGCGCCATAAATAAACAAAGACAGATAGGCAAACAAGTCCTGCGCCTCGGCCTTTTCGAGAAATGTTGTCCGCCCCAAAATTTGGTACGGAATTTCGATCCCTTTCCGCGTAAACTCGTCCTCAAAAGGCAGGGCACAGTTACCCTGCAATCGTCCGAACTTCATGTTTCGCAGAAGGATGGCAAAGTCAGACCAATTCACAGGTTCTCCACCTTCATCGGTAGAAGCGCCTCCACCAGATCCATGCTGGCCAGTAGAGGTAGAAGAACTGTTCTTGTGCTTTTTATCACCTTCAGCGTTGCGGTTTTCTTCTTCTGTTGAAGTTGTAGGGCCTCCAATGCCTTCGACGTTCGAGAAATTCGTTTTCTTCTCAGGTGCCGTAGACTTCTTAGACATGTCCATCACCAATCTCTTGATTTCTTGTGCTACTTTTCGTGCCTCTGCGTAAGGTTCCTCCACTTTCCACACTCGCACAGGTTCCGACAAAGACCCCCACGGTGCCTTTGCTTGCAATTTTTCGACATTTCCACGTCGGAGAACTCTCGCGGCTACAGCTAAGATTCGATCGGTGCTCCGGTAATTTTCCTCAAGGGCGACTTGCTTCACGGCGTCGAAACCTAGTCCTCGTACAAATTAGAAATATGGAGACACATCATGGACGAAGGGATCGCTTAGGGTGGAAGTGAAGCACGAGTCAAAATATATAACCCTGAAGATACCGGCTTAATGAAGCGCCTAAACATATTTTGCTCGCCACTATTAACTACTCCATCTTATGTCCACCCGTCCATAACCAAAGTTCATTGTGAATCTATCGAAGCTGTTGGGATGAGATCCAGCAAAGCTCATGATGAGCTGATCTCCATCCCCTACAGCCGAAATGCATGAGCGCTGACAACTATTGGCAATCAACTCTAAAAGTTCCAGTTGCACTATCGACGTGTCTTGGTACTCGTCTACCACGATGAACGGAAACCTCTGCGCAACTGCTTCTGCAACGTCCGTGTGCTCGCGGAGTAAGTAATGTGCATTCCACAAAATATCGTGAAAATCCATGGCGCCTGATCGCTCCATGAAGTCTAGATAGAATCGGAACGTCCATGCTTCCATCGTATCCTGCGCATATTGTGCAGGATTATGTCCTCTAGTCTTCTGGGTATCGATCCACCGCTTTTGACCTTTCACAGCTCTAGGTTAGAACTAGCACAACTCTAGTCCATCTGCAAGAGTATCTTGGTGCCCGTTTCCCCTTGAGAAACGGGATCAAGATGCCGCACAAGAGTATCTTGGTGCCCGTTTCCCCTTGACAAACGGGATCAAGATGCCTGCTGCGAAGATACATTTGTTGTAGCATCTTAACTATGGTCAGGCGCTTTTCCCAAAGGCACTGTCTGCCTTTTGTTTTTCGCATTCGGTCCATGATCCGCGCGAAATAGGACTGGATTCAGCTCTTTGCGGAATTCGTAAAGTAAATTTTGTCTCATCCACCGTCTCCACTCTGTCTTTGCATGTAGAGCGTGTGAAGCATCGCACGTCCGATAATCTATCTTTTCACCCTTTGCTCCACGTTTAGCAGATTTAGCTCTTCCTTTGCTCGTCTGCTGCTCTTGTTCTTGATTGCTATGATTACGAGCGTCTGGCTCTAAATTAGAAGAGTGGATCGGTGATGCTGTTGTCACAATATTTTGCCATCCGATTATATCATCTAGGAAGTGTCTAATCATCAACCCGTAGTTTCTTTTCTGCGGACTGAAAAAGTAAGATCCTTGTTTCTACGGGCACTAATCTCAATTCCACACTGCTAGCAAAAAACCGATACAACAACATTTCTCTACCATCGAAATCGATGTTCGGACAAGCAAGCCTTAATCAAAGTCGCCGACTCGCTTTTACTTTTTCGTCGTTTCGGCGGTGGAGCTTCTTCGCTTGATGTCCAATCGACCTCTAGTACGCCATCTACTTCTCTGTAATGCGCAGGAGGCCTTTTCAGCGTAGAAGGCGGAGAAGCTTGCTTAGCAGCACCAGACGAAGTAGACGATGTTGCTTTTGCTGTCACGTTGCTTTTGGCTTTGGCTGAGTTAGTTCTTGTGCTTAAACTAGCTTGATTCTTCTTCCTTGCTGCAGTAGTTGAAGATGATTTTGTCTCATTCTCTCTTTCTTGTTTCTTCGATGCGGCACTACCCTGCGGCACCGCATCCATCTGCATGATCGATGCTGGGCTACGCTTTACCGATTCGATGTAAGTCCGAAAACTGTCCTCGTCTCGGACTTTCTTCGGTTTTTCTTTCAAAACATCCTCCACCGCGCGTTCACAAGCCTCCTCGTAGAGCCCAGGGTAAGCTTCACGTGCTTTGACAAGCAGTTCCGACCAAGGCCTAAATTTCTCCAACTTTGCTTATGAAGCTGACGGGACAATATTATCTTTCTATTTCTTTGCTCATCCATCCTCAGAAAAATTAAATAAATGGGCAATTTGTCACAATTGTACTTAGTTTTCTTCATTATCACTGTGGCTCTAGTGGTCACTCTCTACAACAACTACAACTAACTAGCATTGTTTGAGGATGATACGTAACGAAGAATGAATTTCTTTTCATATAGCTTCAGCTGGAAACAAATAGCGGCTCATTTCGGTGCGCCCGACCTCAAAGCCGTGCTCCATCATTGCTTCACGGACCACGCCTTCACGTGCCGCATCAGAAAACAAAATGATAGGTCTTTTCGAATATTTTTGACGGAAAGCAGGATCACGACTAGCATTAGGTAAATTCGTCGTCGGGTTCGTCTTCGAGTTCGTACTGTTCGTTTTCGTTCTTGTTTTACTAGAAGAAGTTTTACTACCTTGTCGAGAGGACGGGGAGTTCCCTTTTGTTCTAGTTTTCGTATTTTGTTTACTTTTCGTTCTCGTTCTAGAACCCATCCCTTCATCAGCCTTGACGTCTTCCAGCATCAGCACATCTTTACCTGTAAAATTCGAGCTACCACATTCACATCCTTGCATGCGTCCCGACTGGTCCCATTTTCTACTTGAAAAAACGAAAACCAAGGAACAATAGATACTTTGGAACTGGAACCGCATGCAAGAACTGCAAAAATACTTACAAGCCTTACTAGTAGAAGCAGGCACATCAACATCCTCCTCTTCTAAGTCGTCCATTCTACTTTTGAATTCTTCTTTTCCATCTCCAGGAATCCTCTGCCAGTATGCGCCAACGATCATGTTTGCTAGTCTATGAATCGTGCAAAGCGTCATAGCCCCTTTAGCTTGCGGCATCCGGGTTGCATTAGAGCTCGAGGGTGCCCTAATTCATCTTCTCAGGTAGACGCGGATCAAAGAAGCTTCAAGGTGAGCTTCTCAGTTTCAGGATGAATACCCAACCAAAGACGTTATAAGGCCATTGTTAGGAACTCCTAGGAACTACAGGAAAGGAAAAGTATGGAAAATGACAATAGTGAACTTGGATAAGATAGCTACTACAGATGTCACTAAGATGAGCCCTTCAAAGTGTTGGGTTGGTGAGCAAAGCAACATAATTGCGAGACGATCCCGCATCTCCTTTGCCGCGGTGTTAGTGTAGGACAGACAGACGATCCGGGAAGCTGGCACCTTGTGCTCGTTCATCAGGAATTCGAGGCGGCGAATCACCAGAGTGGTCTTGCCGGTCCCTGCGCCCGCCTTTACTAATAGCGGAGCAAAAGGATCCGCCAAAGCAGCCTCAAGTTGCTTTTCATTCAACGAAGACGACTTACCTGAAGTGGATGAGGATGAGGGCTGCGCAGTATTCGCACCAAACGGACCACCTTCTGCTGTGGACGTTGAGTTCTTCCCACTCCTGCTCCTCCCCGATCTCTTCGTCTTCGGCATTGCCCCATCTCCACTCGTCCCTACCCCAGGTCCTGCTAGTGGAGGACATTCCGCGTTAAAGGCATCTTCCCGTATGAACCCGTACTCAAGTCTCAACGAGTTCCTGACCGAGGCATCGAAAGCAGCAGTGCTGCTCGATGAAGGACTAGAACTAGAAGTTGTTGTCTGCATCTTTTTTATCTTATAACATGGATACATCACACTACTAGGTCTGTGCACTCTTATGATGATGATGATGATGATATACCCAGTCTTGTTTACTGACGGGTGTGCATTTTGAATTATGTCAACATGGATGCATCATTACAACTATTACAACTTCATCTTCATCTATGTCGTCAAATACAATGTGCATTTTATGGTAACTACATCCATAGTTCTTGCAAAAAAAAATTACTGACTCTTCAGGTCGTTAGTTTCAACGTTGCAGGTGCGTCTGTCCAAGTTTTACATCCATCTAAGTCTGTCAAAAAATCTGCCGTAAATGATCACACATAAAGATCCCACCCCAATTCCTCCAAGAAGAAAACTCTCAGTTTTTCTCTGTGGTCTTTACAGATACGTTTTACAACCCTATTTCACCAGCAAAGAGAGGCCTGAAGAGAGATCGAGTGGTGTACCCAAGAAGTGGAGGACCTACACAAGAGTACAAATTCATGTTGTAGCGTGGAGGGTAACTTACACGCCGTCCACGTGACGTTAGACGCGCACTAGCGTCGAAACATTGAGGATCTTTCGCAGTGTTTCATGCAGAAAGTGGAGTGTGCATTTTTAAGGTATAATCCATCGTATTCCCTGTTGTGGTCGCGCCACTTTCATCAAATAGATTGTTGTGAGTCATAATAGTACTGTTTCCCTGTGTCTTCCCGTGTTCAAACAAAAAACAGAGTGAAAAAACCGACAAAGAAAGTCATCAAGCAAGTGTGTCCGAAAATTCAATTGTGTCCCCTATTTATCCTGTAAAAAAACCATATTAAGAATCTAACAACTCTTAGCTCCCTCCATGATTTTCATTATAAATACTTATGTTATTCCCTAGACTACACTAACAAGTCGAGCAAATTGTTGATCTTCGATACGAGAAAAAAAAAGTTTTTGAGATACCCAACGAGCTTCAACTTCAAGCAAGCTCCACTTGAAGATCGATGAAAAATGGCGAACCCAAAACCGCAGCTTCACGGGTGACGGACTTCATCATTTTTCCTCCACAGGAATCTATTTCCCCCGTAGCAGCACATCCATCGAGCAAAGCTTTTTCCACCTCAAATTGGGGACCGCTTTCCTGTAACCCCGTCTCGGCTTCTCCAGGACACAGAAACGCTTCCGTACCCTTTACAAGGTTATCTAGCATGTGCAAGTCACGGAGAGAGAGATAACGAACCGCTGAATCTTTCTTTTCACGCAATATTATAATTCCTGTTGCAGTTCCTGCGGCAGTTGAGGAAGATCCACTTGAAGTCGAAGTTGGAGAAGCAGATCCTTCCTCGTTCTTAACCTCGAGCTTCGTCTCCTGCCTGTCGCTGCCGAAGCACTCTAGAGAAAGCAACATCGTTTGAATTTGATGCGCGAAGGATTTTGAACCCATCTTGCGCGTTCCAATTTCGCGCAGGAAATGGAGACACGAGGCAAGTGAAAACAGCTTCACGTGCAGAAAGGCGTAGCCGATGCCCACTACGTCCAAATCACAAAAAGCTGGATTCACTTTTGGAAACAGCCACTTATCAAATATACTCCGTATCGTCATGGGAGACGACAGCTTGACTGAGTCCTCGGTCGGTTTTTCCGTGTTATGATCTTGTTGTACAACTAAGCTGTAGTTGTATGTAGTTCTTGAGGTGGTCGCATCGTCGTCCACACACGGAGCGTCGACTTTGACTAGCGACACCAACATTTGCTTGACATTCCGCCACTCGCAGTCCTCTAGAAAAGGTGGCATTAGAAGAATAATTCTGGGCTTATTATAACTACCTAGTTCTTGTTCTTCTGAAAAAACCGACGTCCATACTGCATCAAGGTCTTCAAACGGTGCCAAATTCCCATTCTGAAGAGAAAGAACCGAGTAGGCTCACCAGTTGAGAGACCCAAATACATCAGAGACCGACCCAGATACATCCTGATGCCTTTTAGAAAGACGGTCGAAGCCTTAACAAAACATGCTGCGTCGCATACCATCCCAGTATCTCTTCATGCCGCAATCCAATCTTAGCAAAGGCATGCACGACCTGGACTCCGTGATGAGGAAGAACGTTTTGACCTCCTAAGCTTGGACGTTGACCATGACTGTTGTAGTTCACCCTCTTCCTAGCACTCCTTTCCCTCGCACCTGCATAATAGGCCTCTGTCTGTTCTGCCCGATCAAGATTTCTTTGGTGTGCGTTGGTTTGGTCGTCGTCTTTGGCACAAGTAGAAGCTGTTGGAGGCGTCCTAGTAGTTCCGAATGGAATGCACCTTTCTAAAATGTGCGGTGCCATTTTCTCCAGGAGTAACTCAGGCTTACTGCTATACGAGGGCCACCGTGTCAGCGCGTTCGCGACGATAGCTAACTCCACACCGTTTAAGCTTGCCAAAGTTAGAGGTATAGGAAATTCATCTCAGGGATCATCACCTGGGTCCCTCTTTCCTCTTGTCTTTTTCTCTCTCTCAGACGCCTCACTTGGAGATGATGAATTCCCTACACCCATAACAAAACATTGTCCTTGTAGAGCAAGCCGAAGATCACTGAGTGCACCTCCGGGAGAAACAGGATCACTTTGCTAGTAGCGCAAATCACCTGCACCAACTCCACCGGTTTCATTTCTTGCAGCCTCAAGGGCGTCCGACAAAGGAAATCCATCAAACGCAGAGCAGCCGCTAATCGTGTCGACTCGCACGCGTCAGGTCCATGGCACAGATGATTAGAAGAGGAGCTCGCTTTTGGTACAGTGTAGTACAACAGTCCGTCGTTGGTCACAAATTTCTATCCAGTCGGTGCTGGTATGATCAATCTCTTTCAGAAGTATGCAGTTTCAGTTACAGCTCAGGAGAAAAGATAAGTCTAAGCGAAAACGCACAAGAAGAATTATAAACTCTCTCGACAGCCTTAATCTGTGCACGCAGTCGCTCAGCACGCTTGTCTGCTGGGGAGGGAGAGACTGGGAGAGTTACCTTCCCTAGCAGACGATACTCGTCTACTTCTCCCGATTCTTGTCCACCAAGAGAAGGCTGGTGTGCAGCAACATCGGTTTTCGTAGTCATGGGCACGCAACATGCAAAAGCCTGAGCATTAGCCAACTCTGTGTTGGCGTTTGACCTTCTTGAGATGTCATCATTTGAAGTAGCCTCTTCCATCACAACTTCTGCAGTGGCAGAACCAGTTTCTAGTTTTTCTTCACTACTACTTGCAGCCATCAGGTTCTTCGGTGTTGCACCAACAATTGCAAGCGCGTTCAAAAGGTTCGCTTGCTCCTGCGGTTTTCTTAGAAATACTACTGACACGACCTCATACGTTGCTGGCCTCACGTATATTCAAGATATGTCAGACTGGTAATTCATATCGAAATAGTAATGCACACAACTCAAACTAGAACTTGCAGTGTTGAAAATAACAACTCGAACTGTGCCAACTCGTGCCATCAAAAATGGTCAGTCAATCAATCAATCAATCAATCAATCAATCAATCAATCAAGTGGCGATGCGCGGCAGTCCGAACCCAGCGGACGTGACCGTGTCACTGCTCGTCGTGCCTCACTGAGTATGCCCGCTCACGCGAGGTCAGTCGTCAGACGAGGGTACGTTTCATAAGTTTCATAAGTTTAGTTGTGGAGCTAAACGCATGATCTGATTGACGTAATCATCATCGACGATGCGTCCTTGATTCCGCACCTCCAACCTCGCGATCGCATGACAAACATTGGAAAGCGGCCGCGCAGTCCGAGGTGGGGCTCTTTTTTTCACTAAAGCCTCCAAAGCCTGTATGGCGGAATGCTATTTAGAAGAGGCAAATATTAACGTTAAGTGGGTGCTTTCTTTGCGGCGAAGCAGAGGAAAATAATATGCTGACGCTGTGGTACGAGAGATCATTAATATCGCCGATCTTCATCATCTACAAAATGAACAGACATTTTGCTTAGACTCCAAAGAAAAATCTACTTCAAAGTAGCCGTAACATTCTGTCGCAGAGCGATGGAAAGTCGCACTCGAGTCAGCGAATTCAGGAGTGTTGCATAGTCGATGTCATTCATGTCCGACCTGAAATTAAGCTCCACTGCAGCTGCCTCAAAGAATTGCAGCTCAAAACGATTCATTTCTTGCGTACTTACATTTCTTGCAATTATCCTGAGAAGGAGACAGCAAGAGATGTTGACTTGTAGAAATGAATTAGAATTGCATTGAGCCTTGTTAAAAGAAAGTGTTCCCCGTTGCCTCGAACAAGTGACCCCCTGACCTTTCCTGCACACTGGCGAACGCGTGACACAGAAGGCAAAGCTGTCTTGTCGGTAGCTTTTTCACGTGCTGCGTACTGAACTCGTGCACCGTGCGCCAAAAGTCGTGTTTTCTATGAAAGTGAGAAACACATCTAGAACTACTTAGTTGTAAATTCCTGGGGCTAACTTAGTGTTCTTGTTTAAGTTGTTCTATCCAAAAACTAAACTGGAACCTTTATTGTTCTCTTTTAGGATCTTACGTCATAGAGAATGCTGATGAACGAGTCCCTACGTTCACATTCAAATGGAGAAAGTAGCCTTTCCTGTCCCTTCTACCATCTTACGTCAGCATACGAGAAGATGATTGAAGAACGAGTCCCTACGTACATATTTGAATCAAATTTAAATAAAGAACTATAAGTTTAACTTAAAATCTTTGGCCCTACTTTGGTCTTTTGCTTGACTTGGCGAATGCGGAGAGACACAGCGCAAATTCGATCTCCCAAGGGAATTTGGCACCGCTTGAAGACCTTGATGCAGTATGGACGTCCATTTTTTCCATCCCTCACACCATCGAGGCTCCCCCTTGATTGATTGATTGATTGATTGATGTGCCTGGCATGAGGTCGATGTTGAAGAGTTTATTGTGTTTTGACCAAGAGCCTCAGCAAACCCCTGGAAGGTGTGTAGCTTAAAGGGGAGCCGTGATGTTTGTCTGCCTAAGCAGATGGAAAAGACTACATCCATATGTAGAAACTGCAAAACCAGATGGTCTAGGAGGAACCATCTTCGATAATGGAATCTTCGATGATGATGAAGCGCCACCACATTGTAGAACAAGTCTTGTGGGACAGCTGCTCGTTGGTGTCGATGAGGGGGTGGCGGAATTAGAAAACGAGCTAAAAAGCTGTGCGGATGGAAATGAAATTCAACGTAAGCGTTCAATTATCAACTCCGTAGGAAAGTGTTTCATTACAGTGAATACCATGGAGCAATCATCCAACAACCACACACACACACACACAAGGTACGTGAAAGATACCAGGTTATTGATCACCCCAAGACCATATTACTCTATTGGCGTCTATTGGCGCCTCATTTTCGGCTTATCCTATGCGTTCCAATATTGAATGTCTCTAGGACGATGAGGGGGTGGCGGAATTAAAAAACGGGTTAATGCGCTAAACTGCTGCGTATGGAACTATAAAATCAAACTATATAAAATCGGACATCTTGTTTGTACAATATTACGAGGACTTAACTGAAGAAGAAGGCGTAGCATGTCCATGATGTCCATGTAATGCTTCTCTACACTGAATGTCACGCGACAATTCTGGTAGTAATCGCAGGAATTTATCAGGCAATGCTCCCAGTGAATTCGGATCCGCCCCTGCTGCTCTGTGCAGAGCATGCAAACGCGCTGGCAACGTCGACATTTTATTTATGCGTTCACTGAATCAATGGGGAAAAAGCTAGATAAGAAACTACTTTTTACTTACAGCCTATGCCTTCCTGCTCTCGATCTACGACTCATCTCAGTACCTATTGTCAGTGTCAATCGCACTTTTAGTTAGCACTCTTAGTGTAGCACTTTGTTGAAAAGCTCGTAATTCAACATCTTTGACCTTGTATACATCATTGATCGTAGTTTCATCTCACCTATGACCATGATCCATTACACCAGGTGCAGTTATTTCGAAACTCACGGCAAACCACACAGATCAATACCGATTCTGCTTGGATATGACAGCGAGAACTCTACTTCCATAAATGACAGCTCGAACATGTAAGTTACACTCGCTATCATCTTCGACTCTCCAATGACTCCTTCCATGTGAAACGCAATGAACATCCTTACAGCATAGAATCCGCCTGCGACGCTACCATAGGAGCGCTCCTGCTGCATCGACAGGGGACAACAAGCACGGACGAAGCGTGGAACCATTTCTCAAACACGTTCCTTAAAAGAAGGTCCCTCAAAGTCCTCTTCTAGTGAATGTTAAAAGAAAGTCCCACATAACACAGTCCTTTTGTGCGTCAAACTCAGGTAAAGACAGTGTAACTGCTTTATATTAGTGTAAAAGTCTTTGCTTCTATAACACTAAAAACGACAAGGTCATACCTTTAGCAAGCCTCAATCCTAAGACAGCGACATCAACCACCCTGACTCTAGCAAGAGTACTCATTGTGTGCGTTCCTGATGATGTCGCTCTTAGCATCCGCAAACTCTTGCGTTCATTTTATGCTTTCAAACAACGACGTATTGATTCCCACCTCTTTTTAGAATGAGAAGGTGTAGTAGATCATCCCCTGATGATGTATTTGCCCTTCTATTTCTTTGTCTTTGTATCAAGCTCTACTTCCTTAATATAATGTAAATAGTCAGTATCTTTCAATATTACGATGACATTCTCGTCTATGTCAGCATAGCTCCTCTTATGCGCCTCCACCTCGTGTGCTTTCAGCATAGTGAAGATCAAGCTACTTCAACAACGTCACCATGACAAGGTCGGGTAACAAAAAGCTTCATCGTCACAATGTGAAAGCGAAAACCGGATCATACTTCGAAACGGCGATGCGGCTCCCACGACAACTTCGTAAGTACCTGATAAGTTAGGAAAATGAATTTATGGGTACTCAAAATCAGAGTCTGCGTGCAACCTTTGTCAAACTGTAAGTATGTTGACATGTTGTCGTTTGTTCCATAAAGAAGTCTTAGTGAAAATGTAGTTCCATACGGTCCTATTTCTAGTTCTAGCACTAGAAGAAGTTAGTGAAGATGTTGGTTCCGTAGGCATCGAGTCATCTTGTAGTTTCTAGTTCTAAAAGTGCATACTCTCAGCAACGAGGAACGCAGATAGGATAGGATAGGACAGGGCCGGAGGGAATCAATTTCATATGCCAGACCTTCTCTACTGGATTTACGAAAACAACTGCGTCTCATAAATTGATAGACTATGAAGAAAACAATTTACAAGACTTTTAAAGACTCCAGTACCGTGAAAGCCCATCTCCAAGAAAAACGCCCTTCGTCGCTGGGTTCCGATCGATTCCTTGCAGCGAACCTGACGAGTTGGTGTTGAATTGTATAATGAGGGTTAAATATGCAAATTGAGTCTTGTCCTGTTAACAAGCTTTCTTGACGTACGTGAAAAAGCTGAGCTTGAACCCATTTGATGATAGAAATAAGATCATCGTCTCCTACCATGGTCTCATGTTGTAGTCAAGGTGAAACTATACAGTGGGAAAACCTTTCCTAGTAATCCATCGGTATGTCAAGTTTCCGAGTAGTGATGTACATCTTCTAGGCTGTGTAGCGTAAACTGCTTACATTGGTAGCTAAATAAAAATATGTATGCTTAGTCATGTACCGTCTTTTCCTCTATTCATCTGCGTCTTCCTCCTCCTCGGCTTCCTCTGGAACACCCTCTTCGCCAGCTTCTTCCTCTTCTTCAACAACGTCATCCTCAGAAACTGCGTCATCCTCCTGAGCGACGTTATCTCCCTCAGCAGCGTCATCTACTTCGACCTCTTCGACGTCCTCGTTGGCGCCCTCGACTTCGACCTCTTCGTTTTCGTTTTTGTTATTTTTCTTCTTCATTGATGGTGTATCCTTCTTCTTCATCGGCGACTTTTTAGCCTTTGCCTCCTTCTTCATCGGCGACTTTTTAGCCTCTGCGTCCTTCTTCATCGGCGATTTTTTAGCCTTCGTGTCCTTCTTCATGGTCGACTTCTTCATCGGCGACTTTTCAGCCTTCGTGTCTTTCTTCATCGGCGACTTAGCCTTCATGTCTTTCTTCATCAGCGACTTAGCCTTCGTGTCTTTCTTCATCGGCGACTTTTTAGCCTTCGTGTCTTTCTTCATGCTGGACTTTACACTTTCCTTCTTCGCGTCCTTCTTCATGCTGGACTTTCCGTTTTCCTTCTTATTCTTGCCTGCAGCAGCCTTCACGCCCTTCTTCATACTGGACTTTCCGTTTTCCTTCGTTTTCATGGCACTTTTCATCACTGCCGTTTTCGCAGCTTTCTTGTCCTTGGAAGCGCCGGAAGCCGACGACTTGACCATAGATTTCTTTGCCATTTTTGCGTTTATCGAAAAAATGCAACTACGGGAAATAACGACAAGTTCTCAATAGTCTTGTAGCGCGGAACCTACCAAAAGTAGAGGGGAAGAAATTGTAAAATCTTGATTAATAGAGATGGTGACGAGGGAAGAAAAGATGTAGTTTGAGTACTACTGCTGCAGTTGTACATCAACAAGATGATGTCTTAATATGCTCCTGTTTTTGTCAGGTGCGAAAGAGATAATTTCATTGATGCATTTTTTCCAATCGTGAGTGTGACAAGACAAGAGAAGACACATCATCCATTACACGATTCTATTCCTTCAAACCCTAGCACAGAAACGCACACCTTTAAGTATCACGTCTCCTTCACAAAGACACTTGTTGAAGCTTCAACTTGGTGTAGACACTTGTCTTGGGCTTTTCCTTTCGGAGTACCATGCTCCAGGAAGATCTGAGTCAGTCAGTCAGTCAGGCAATCAGTCAACTATAGGCGGCCGTCTAACGAGCGGCGGTGCTGGATAACGGAGGAACAAACAGACCCAGGGCCAACTCTGGGCTGTGCAAGCACGACTGCGTTCCCGCTGACCTAGCCCGCAAAAGATCATCTATAGCAAAAGGCCGGAGGCTAGTCGCCTAACGTAGTCTGTTACAAGGAACCTCAAGCACTGAATCAACAATATGCGGCCGTCTAACGAGCGGCGGTGCTGGATAACGAAGGAACAATCAAGCAATGAATCAATCAATCAAGCAGTCAGGGGCTCCCGCCTCAGCCCTGCGCATCGAGAACCGGATAATTGGCAGAAGTTATAGTAGAGTACAGACAGCTCAGACTTTGTTCTTTTTCATACCAGGCACAACATGCACTTCTCAGGGATGTTCCTTGTAGGTCGAGCACAATCCTTGACTTTTCAAGCATTCATATTTCTACGTTCACCAAGAATGCGCTAGACTGCGCTGCACGATGGATTAAATGTCAAATTTTCGTTTCATTCTTATGCAGTCAAGGAAATCTTTGCGAGAAATTCTTCACTACGGACGCTACTTCTCTTTTTCGCAATTTGGAGGTGTGTTCGTGCAACAAATTTGAATTAAATTGAGGTTGTGTGGAGAGATATGAGGTGGACATCAGTTGATGACCCATACGAAAACGAAGCATAGATAAACGTAACAACAATTTTCACATCGGACCGACAAGATTCAAGACCTTAGACAAAAAAAGAGCTGACTTCTTTAGGACAACAGATAATTTCAATGCAAGCTCCTACATAACAGCGAGGAATTATGACAAGAATTGTCTTATTTTCAATTCATAAATCTTGGATAATATTTAGCAAATCTGGTTTACACTTTTAGTTTGTAGGCTCATAGTGCCAGCATTTGGTTTACAGATTTTTAATATGACGAACTCGGAATAGATTATGATAAACTATGAATATCTGTCATTGGTTTAGGTATTTAAATCAGGTGTCTAGCATGAACAAGATCAAGAAACTTTTGTACTAGGGAATCTGAAACCTTAGAAACTTCATTTGATCACCTGAAGAAACAAAGCTCATTACTAGAAAGTCCTTGAGATGGCATGGTGCTCCTTCAGATGGCATAGTGGTCTTTCAGAATATGCACAGTACTTCCCATTGTGAACAAAAGGATTTTTCATTAGGACTGTTTCTTCATGACAACTGACTCTTCATGACAACTGATTCTTCATCAGGACTGGTTCTTCATGACAACTGATTCTTCATCAGGGCTGGACCTGTGGGTGTCGAGAGAAAAGTCTGTGGATCGGAAATTCTGAACAATGGGGATGAGAATAACAAACAAAAATTTCAAAACTACAATATTACTTAAAAATATTATCAAAGATTCTGAACACTGTTCATCGTGAGGAACAGTGTTCAGAATCTTTGATAATATTTTTAAGTAATTCATCTTGCAACACTATATCAATTGGACGCGGACGTGTACCACGACCGCACCTCTAAGAATTATATATAAGCAGAATAGGTGAAGGTACCTCACGACTCCAGCTAATCGAAATAGGTGAAGGTACACAGCACACCCACTGACGCATCCACTCCATTTCACCTAGATCCACTCCAATTTTACCATCTCTTCTTCATATCGTATAGTCTTTCACCTGATGATGGAGGTAACATTTCGGGTCATCACCTGATCATGATTGAGGTAAAATAAAAATTTCGGGTCAAAAGGATTGGCAAGGAAAAGTTCGGGTTAGTAAGTCACTACTTCTACGAGCACTGAGCTGTAGTAGAGTCGATCCACTGATGATGATCTCGCAGCTTGTGTGTTCAATACTAGAGTTGACCTGCTAGGATTCTGTCTTAACTGGGAGATCTCTTTGCTAGTATTGTCCAGGAACATACTAACCACGACGACCTGCGAAGAGTATCAAAAATCAGGAACATACTAACCACGACGACCTGCAAAGAGTATCAGAAATTAGACCGCATGGCTCTAACTTTTTCTATCGTTCAGTAAAGTGCAACCAGTACTGCAACTGTAGTAGTCCTACCTAAAAGATCCGCTGCAGGAGCCGTCTGCGCAGGAGTTACCATCACTAAATTCATCCTTGACTTGCTGAGGTTCTTTCCCCATCGGACTGCGCGCTTTTCGTTTGCTGCCACCTTTGCCGCTATTAGAAGTAGTAGACAAGTAAATCAGAGAAAAAAAATGAAACCTGTGCCCTCCGATCAAGGATTATCATTCCCTGTGAAAGTAGATATTATTCCCCATGAGAAAGTCTTGAGGCTATAACTCAAGTCATTGTACAGAGTTAGGACGCAGTGCAGTGTAAACTACTAGCTACTGTAGGATTAGATTAGAGTTGTAGACCCAGTTGTGTCTGATCTTTTCCCATCTGTCGCGGTCCTATTCGAAAACAGTCGCGCAGCTCCATCTCCGCTATGATTACTGTCTATGAGTTCTGTAGCTCCTATTTAGGTTAGGTAAAGTTAGGGATCCTATAAATAATCGGGGCCCCCTTCTTGTATTTAGTAGTTACTAAGTATTTTCTTTGGAGAGATAGACCTAGGATGATTTTTATGAGGGATGATCTACTAGATATTATTAAGTACTATATCAAAACAACAAGTCCTTAACACCAGGTTTGCCTTTGCCTCGCATTACTTGTACAGACCCGCGAAGGAGGGGGGTCCGTGCAAAAACAGCGCCGCCCTCCGCAACAGCGCCGTCCCCTGCAACAGCGCCTCCCTCTGCAACAGATTTGTTAGAGGTCTCCGTGGGAAATTCAATATCTCTCAAGGAAATTCATCTGGGAGGTGCTTTTTTCCTCTTGCCTTGTTCTCTCTCTCTCAGATATGAGTCATCTGAGAGATGATGAAAGAATTCCCTACAAACACCCATAAATTTAGCAGATCCTTTGCCGGCCAGAAAATTGGCCCCCTCTGCCTTGGGACCTGCTGTTAGAGGAGCAAATCAGCCACATCTTCATTACCAGTCACTTCAACCGATACTCTTACTGCTTATCGAGTAGCCCCTTCTATTCCACTTTGTGCGTTCACCTTTTGCGATCATCAGTTAAGATCCGAATCGAATCCCAAGGAGGAACAGGAGCGAGATGAGCTAATGTGGGACTGAGCCTAATCTTCAGATCTTTATTCCTGATGTAATCAGATCCTAGTCTAAGTGAGATCCTAGTGAGATCCTAGTCTAGTTGAGATCCTAATCAGATCAAAACAAGAGCAAGATGTGCTGTGGGACTAAACTATTGTGTGCCTTAAAGCTCCGGCCTCGGTACCTGAAGACGCTTCGGGATTGCTCCCCGTTTTCATCTTAGAGTTGTTCCTTAAGATGTCGTATCCTCTGAAGAAGGAGATATGCTGGAAAGCCATCCTGAAGTGACATCCTGGCTGAAACACGCTTAGTATATTACTGTATTAAGCAGCTGGCTAGCGCTAGTTGTAGATACATCGTTATAAATTGTTGGAGAGCCGACCTAACTACGAAGATATTATATCCTCTTCACAGCCCTCCAAAGACAGATCGTTATGAATTCTAAACATTCATCCAAGCAATGAAATGAACCGAGGACGACCAAAATACTGTACATTTCTTCAGACAAATTCGAAAATTCCAAACAGTTTATCCACACGATTATATCTTCACAGCGATATCTTCACCACCCTCTGCGTCTCCGTCCTGAACGGCTTGTGGATTGGTCACCTGTGGTATCGCTGTGCTAGCGGCGTCCCGACCAGCCCCTGTGGTATCGGCGTGATCTTCCGGCGTGACCCCTTCGGAAATCGGCGGCTGCGGGCTCCCGCTGTTGTTCTCCTCCCCGTCGAACTTAGAGCGAATAATGGTACCGCTAAGCCAACCGTCTAGATTTGGCGCCAATATCTAATGATATTACCGTCTACATTGGAAACGACAATAGTCGTTGCATGGTGGGATAGACCTAGGAAATGGCGGAAAAGTTAACCGGTCATTTTTTCTTTATGTACTTTAAGCGTCGCGGAAAGTACTCGTATACTTTTCCTGTGAATGCCTCTTGTCTTGTAGATGGCTCCTGTTGCAACGGACATTATGGACAAATACAAATAGAATGTATATGGACTCTGCTAAGCAATCCAAATATTTATGTATGAGGTTATAAGTGAGTGAGTGAGTGAGTGAGTGACTGAGTGAATGCATGTGCCTAGCATGAGGTGTTGCAAATTGTTTTAACATCGCTACGCGATAAATTATAAGTAACTGCCCTTTTTCGAAGCTATCCCTGAGATGCCTTGTTTAGTAGGGGAAGATGACTGGGTTAAATACTACAGAAGAGCTCGGAGATTAGCAGCCTTAACATCTCCGTTGCTCGCTTTGCCCTCCTCCTTCACCTCGGAAACCCCAGGAGGCGTTCCTTCTGGGCTAGCAGGTGGTACTTGTTGTGCAGGGTCTGGTTGTGCAGGGTCTGGTTGTGCAGGGTCTGGTTGTGCAGGGTCTGGTGGTGCAGTGTCTGGTTGTGCAGAGTCTGGTGGTGCAGGTGCTTGCTGTATACTAGCAGATTCTTGATGTGGTGAAGCCTCCGGCGCTGTTTCTCCAGCAACTTCACCTTGCTCTTTACGATTTTCTCCCTCTGGAACGGCAGCCGGCGCGCTCCCTGGCACACTTGCAGACGGACACTTGCAGGTATTAGAGAATGAAACTCTCAGAGCGACACCAAAGGGCAAAAACAGCTACACCAAGGGAAATATAAACGGCAGCGCGAAATAAAATTTTAGATCTTCTTCTGTTTCTGAGTTAGGAAAGCATAAATCAATAGGATAGAATGGGGCCGTGCCTCGGCACACGCCGCCACACATGTTCTTGAGTACCACTACACACAAATATAGATCTATAATGACGTTGCGGCCTAGTTATCGGTGTCCGACTTGAGAATGAGGTCCTACTCCAACATTGTACAGATGACGAGCAAGAAGAAGTTCTTGCAAGGTGAACCTAGTTGAACAACAAAGGAAAAGCTACCATGAACAATCAAATAAGCAGCCATACAATACCTCTTCACCATGAAGATCCACTTGCCTATCCACGTCTTTTCTAGCTTCTCAAGTTCGGCTTCTTCCTCCGCCACCTCCGTGGCCTCTTAGAATGTACTCGAACTCGACCTCACTAAACAATAATTGTGGTAAACCCATCTTCTTGGCAGGTGAACACAACACAATAGAGAGAAACTACTAACCCTATGTATTGGTAGGTGAACAACATATCCCGAATAAACCCCCGTGCTTCGCTTCATGATATCCGTTTCCCTTAAATACAAGAAAAAGATCATGAAGAAAGCTAAATAATGAAAGGGCGCAAGAACTGATTAAGTAGTATGAAGAGGACTGGTAAACTAATATATAGAATCAAGTTGTAGTGGTCAGAAGATGAGGGCTGGGTGTCGGTGACTGGGCCTGTGAGCTTCGGCTTACCAGCATCGCCGAAGCAAGTGAAGTATGGAGGAAAAAACAAAATTATTGTGGACTCAGTCACTGGAAAGAAGGAGATGCGTTTCGTCTGTAAAAAAGAGCCTTAGCCCTTGTGTCTTTGTTCCGCGAGTTTGCGCCGGCCCTCTTCAAGGTTTTCCTTCGATTTCACCAGAGAATTTTCGTTCCCTTGTTTTTTCGCCCTGTTATGGAAGAAGGCTTTCAGCATCTTGGTCTCATTAGAATCTTCTAAGAGATCTGATAAGAGAACAGATCAACGCCTAAACAACTAAAATTTTTTGCCATTGGCCTGTTGTATTAAGGCTCGTTTCATATTAACCACAAGATTCGTGTAGGCTACGTGTCATCGACTGGTGTCATACTAGCTATCGTAGTTTCCTCAGCTGTCATTTCTATCAGAAAAGGTCCAATCATTAAATACGTGCTCTTAAAAAAAAAGTATTCGTTTCGAATTTCTATCAGAAAAGGTTCAAACATTTCTTCAAGGAGATCACTCTCAGAGACGATCAAGACTCATGTCAAGAGGATGATCCTACTGCTACTTACTACAATTAGAAGCCTTAGTTGAGTCGACGTTGAAAAAGTTACAATGACCTGTTGTGAACTGATGTTGTGGTCCGAAATATTTTCACTATTTTTTGTACTCCCTCGTCTAGCCAACCAATAATGAATTCCCTTTCACGGTTTCTCAAGCGTTTTTATAGTTGAAAATGTTGAATAGAAATCACTTAGACATGATTCGGACCGAGAGACTAGGAAACAGAGACGAGACAAGAGTCGACAACTACTCCAGGACTTAAGAGTGATTTTGCCTTGGAGTGGCCCATCTGTGTTTTGGCACTTGGTGTCCTGCATTTTATCAAATTCTGCGATGGTCAACTGTCTCCAAAGCGCCTTCCACTGGTTAGAGAGCACCACTTCCTAATCTACCTTCTTCTCGTGTTACAACGACCCCAATCTACCATCTGGGCGGCCGAACCCCCTAATTTTTTACCTTGGTGGTCCTAGCAAATTCATAGGAATATAATACAGGGGAGGGCTGCAAAAGGGTAGTACCAAGATGCCGAGTGAGATAGAGAAAAGCTGACCATAACACTGCTTTCGATTTGAGCAGGCGATCCGCCCTCTGCGTCTCTCTTAGCGCACGCCAAGCAATCCCTATGTATTTCTATTCGATAAAGTAAAGTAGGCAAGTAACTACAAACGAGAAGAACCGAGATACTGAAGAACAAAGAATAGCCTTTAAAAGTTACGCCCCTTATTTCAGTTAGTAACTCAGTTATAATTTCCTGTTTTCGATTATTTGTCTCCCCGCTAATAATTGCGGGGATCATAGGAAGACTCCCTTTCATCTAGTTTCTAGTTCTACCCCTTATTAAGAAAGTTCTACCCCTCAAGCTGGACTGAAGACTGCCTCCACGGGTGAGTACATCCAAGAGGCGTCCCCGAAAGTGTAGTACACGAAAGGGAGAACGCTTACTACCCACAATCAGTGTAAACAAAGCGCATACCCTGATACCCTGATACATAATGGCTCCTGACTAGCCTTAACTTGCAAAAGCTTGCTGTCCTCTAAAGCTCTCGCTTCGTTGTACACCTTGTCGAGGTCATTGCACTTCTTAGAGCTGTGGACTTGCTCGTCAGGTCCGGGGCCCACTTCTCATATTAATTATAAAAATTTAGGTCTTGTTACTCTTCGGAGCAGTTGTTGATATCAACTTAATCGAGACTCGTGCGTCGTGCCGACATTTCATCCTTAGAAAAAAATTTTCTTTCCTAATAATTTTCTAAGCTGTTTTTCAACCTATGCACGATGATCTCGTAAGCCTTAGAATTCAAGAAACGACTCCTCTGTAAAACTGAAAGGAATTTCTTGTATCTTATGCAGAAAAGTGTGAATAAAAGAACTTACTCTTAAACTCTACTCCCCCTTCACGGTTGAAGCCCTCCGGATAGTACTTCTCTTGCGCAAGTTCTTTTTCTGCACCATCCTCCGCACCAGCAGCGTGGCCATTCTTAGATCGACGTAGTCTAGAGGTAGAGGACTTAAGCACTCAGAAGTATCGTATTGCTTACAGGGATAAGCCTAAGAAAAGAGGGAAAGCTAACCGGCTGTCTCATCTAGTGATGATGATGATGATGATTGTACCTATTCTTGAGGTGTTTAGCACTACTATAGACTACTTCCCTTTGCACTTCCTGATGTGTTGTCTATATATTTCCGTCCTTTTTGCTCTTGCTTGTAGCGTCATTTCCTCTCTGTATTCTAATTCCCATTTGCATTTTTTGCAGATCAGTTTGCCCTTTTTTTCACTCGCCCAGCAGTGTGGTGGTACTACGATTTTTGTCAGTCGAGCGTCTGAACCAAAAAAGGGCTTCCCAGTGGCCTTGCACATGACGTGCGTCTCC